CATTCCACACATTAATGCTCTCTCCATTCCCCACTCTCCAAGCAAGCCCATCCCGTAGTAAGGACTTTGCACCCCAAATACTTCGCCACGAATAACTTGGGTCATGACCCCTATTTGCTTTAATCACATCAGAATTTTTGAAGTATCGTGCCTTTAAGACTTGGTACAACAAAGAATTTTTATTAGTGAGAAGACGCCAACATTGCTTTGCCAACAGAGCTTGATTGAAACACTTCATATCACGAAACCCCATTCCGCCTTTTGCCTTTGGTAAGCATAATTTATCCCAAATATGCCAATGTAGTTTCCTTGCATTTTCTCTTGACCTCCACCAAAATCTATTTAGCAGCGTATGAATTTCATCGATAAGACCATCTGGAATTTTAAAAATGCTCATCATATAAGTCGGAATCGCCTGCGCCACTGCTTTGATAAGAACCTCTTTACCCGGCTTAGACAACAATTTTTCTTTCTATCCGTTCAATTTCTTCCAAATCCACTCCTTTAGACACAAAAACACAGATTTTTTAGATTTACCAATAATGGTCGGCAAACCCAAATATTTTTCATGTCTGTCCACTTCCCTAACACCAAGAGTATCAACTATCAATTGCCTCATATCCCTCGGAATACATTAGCTAAAAGCTACTTCTGTCTTACTCAAATTCACTTTCTGACCAGATGCTCTTCCATATTTACTGATTATATCAGCTATTGTCGAACATTCCCGCAGATTAGCTTTTGCAAAAAGTATACTATCATCAGCAAAAAATAAGTGAGATATCCTTGGCGCCCCATTACAGATTTTCACACCACTAATCTTCCTCTCTTCCGCCGCTTTCATTAGCAGATTAGAGAAAGCATTCGCACACAACAAGAACAAATACGGGGATATGGGGTCCCCTTGTCGGATCCCCCTAGTGGGAATAACCGAGCCCGATATTTCACCATTCACCTTAAACGAGAAGGAGATACTTCGAATACAATCCATAACTCTACTAATCCAACTCTCACAAAAACCCAGTTTCCCCATCACCCTCTCCAAAAAACACCATTCCACTCTATCATACGCTTTGCCCATATATATCTAACTTCAGAGCTACATTCCCCTCTCTGCCTTTCCCCTTTCTCTTCATAGAGTGAAAAATTTCGAAAGCAATAAGAGCATTGTCAGTAATCAAACGACCTGGAACAAAAGCACTTTGACTCACAGAGATAATATCATTAAGGAAAGATTTTAATTTATTGGCCAAAACCTTAGATATTATATTATAAATTACATTACAACAGCTTATAGGTATGAACTCTGTCATATTTTTTGGGTCATCACATTTGGGAATTAAAACAATGCATGTTCTATTAATTTCCTCAATATTCACCCCACCCCTCCACCAATTTTTCACCAATGTAACAATGTCGGGACCAATAATATGCCAAATTTTTTGGAAAAATAAAGCGTGCATATCATCAATACCGGGTGCTTTGTTTGGATGCATTTGAAAAAGCGCCTCCTTTACTTCCATATCACACGGCTCCACACTCAACACATTATTCATTTCCCCTGACACACGACTCTCTAACCCCACCAAAGCTTCTTCCATATCAGATGGGTTGCTCGTAGTAAATAACCCCGCAAAATAGTCCTCGACTATCGAACAAATCTTTGTATCCTCCTCACACCATATCCCATCTTTGTCTACTAACCCATGAATTGTGTTTTTCTTCTTCCTTGAGCTTGCCTTGTGATGAAAGTATGCCGTATTTTTATCACCATCACGCATGTCATTTGCTCGAGCACGAGCATACCAATACGAATCTTCCCTTTGGCGCAACTCTCCAAGCTCCCCTGCCAACTTTTCACATCTATGCAACATTTCTGCATCCACACTCCCTCCTTGAGCCTTAAGAATCTCTTCCTCTAATTGCCGAATCTTCTTCTTGGTTTCACCGAAAGACTTAGCAGCCCATTTCTTAAGTTTCTCCGCACACCCTGCAATACGCATATGAGCTTCAGTCCCACATCCATTAGCCCATGCCTTTGCCACAACCGAAGCGCACTCATCATTTGATAACCACACCGCCTCAAAATGAAATAGATTGTTCTTCCTCCCCCTTTTGTAGTAATTAATTGTATCAAGCACAATAGGAGTATGGTCCGATTCTTCCCTATGGAGATGTCTTACAAAATTCCTTGGGAACATTGAACACCAATCATTATCCGCAAGAAACCGATCAAGCCTTTCCTTCACTGTAGACTCCGGTGTTTTACCTCTTTTCCAAGTGAATTTATTCCCTGTATACCCCAAATCTCTTAGACCACATACATCGATGGTTTCTCTAAACGCATCCATAAACATTCCCTCCTCATCGCTCTCCTTCCTTCTCTTCCATGCTTACAATTTCATTGAAATCCCCGAACATGATACATGGAATAATACAATCTGTTTTAAGGGTTCTCAACATTTCCCAAGTTTTATATTTATTTTCTGTTTCCGGCCAACCGTACACCCCAATCGCTCTCCACACCGGAACACCATCCCTGTTCAACACATCCGCTGCAAAATGGTGTTTTGAGAAAGAAATAGTGGCAACATTCACATCCCTCCACCAAAATCCCATCCCCCCCGATCGACCATCACTACTCAAACAAACACCATTTTTAAAACCACATCTTCTTTTTATTTTCTCCAAAACTGTAGAATCAATCGTCTCCATAAAAAAAAACCACTTCCGGCCTCTCTCTCCAACATAAATTCCGGAGAGTCCTCTCTGTCCAAGGGTTGCCAATTCCTTGGACATTCCAGCTCAAAATTTTCATTTCTGTTCGAGGGCCGGGATTGGTTCCCACCAATAGCCTCTACTAGATTTAGAATGTCTCCAGTAAATTGTGGTAAAAACACCTTCATTCTTTTATCACCCTTCTCCTCATTACAACATAACATTTCACCATCTCTAGAAATAACACTCCTCTTTTTAATCCCTGTCATTCCTTGCCCCACACCCTCACCCCCAACGTCAGCCCTCAGCATCAGTGTATCCTCCTCGATTCTATCATATCTTTTCCACCCTCTTTGAATTCCCTCATTCCCAATATTTGACCCCACTGCACTCCCTGCCTCTTTACTGATAATAAGCTCATCACCCCTTGTTGGAACAACAAGTGTGTAGTGTGTGAATTTTGTGAAAAAACTCAAAGTCCCACATTGGTGGGAAATGAGAGTTTTACTCTCTTTATAATATAGAGAGTGGGCTAAAGGGGTGTGGCCCTTGGGCTACCCACATTTTGTGGAGAGGGAGGACCTATATGGTAAACCATATATCACACACACGCGCGCCGAACCGAACCGAGCCGGGCTGGGCTGGGTCGGGTCGGGTTTGGGTTTGGGTTATTAAACAAACTTAATTTTTGTTACCGGTTTGATTAATATTCAGTTACAAAACGTTTTACTGTTTTGGTTTAAATTTTTCCGTTACATTGCTTGATTCTCGTTGCTGTTTTACTGCTAAACGTTGCACCGTTACACTGATTTAATGCCTTGATTCTTGCTTAATGAATACACTAATTGCAGTAAACGTTGCTAATCTTTCTCCCGTTTTCATGCTTAAGCTGTTACGTATCTTTACCTATAAAAGGACGGTTCCAGCTTTGTTTTTAAATACACGGAAAAAATACAGAAAACCACTTTGCAAAATATATTTTCTCTTCCTCTCAAAACAGTCGAGCAGTTTCTTTCCGATTTTCTGGTGTTCCGTTGTCCGGTGGTTCGGTGCAAAACCGCCGGTATTTTATACTTGTGAAAGACTGTTTTATCCTGGGGGCATCCGGTTTGGTACGAGCTGCTTGCACAAGTTTGAGGCAGTGCCGCGAATGTTCTAAAGAGAGCGACATAGTCCGCGACTCAGTCTTATTCTCGGTAACATTGTTCTTACTATTTTATTTGTGCAATTCCGTTTATAACAATCCTCCGAGCCATACCCCCTAATATTGAAACATTTCCACATCCGTCACCCAACTCTCCTTCGACATCCTTATTTATCTCACACTCACTACTGCTTACATCAGCCCCCTTACCACCATCCTCCTGCTGAACATCACCATTCCCTGGAAGGATAATCTCATTCCCCAAATTTCCAGCCTCGCTCGTACCCTTTGTTAACCCAAAGCTCTGTTCAGTAGCAATCTTTCTCAGTCTCAAAACTTTCTTATTCGTAGTGGCATCAGTTTCTAGCTGCAACATAGCCTGTCTTTTTATCTGTTTCCAACTTTTATCAGGGGAAGTTGGCGATGAAAATTGTAGTCTCCTTGCAGCTCCAATCGGACCCAACTTGATGGTGGTACGGCTTGACGTAGTCGTACCGTAACCCCCTTTTATTGTACTTAATTTATCACTCCACTTTCTTTCCTTCTCCCTCATAGCATAGGTTTTTTTTTTTTTATTATTCTTCAGTGGAGATGCACGAAGCCAGGCACCGTATTGATATACTACTACATTCTCTTGCTCTTCACTAGATTCCTTTAGCATACACTCCTTATCAGTGTGGTCTAACATACCACAAAAGAAACAAAAATCGCCCAATCGTTCATACTTGATGTCCACCCATTTCATCCCAGAGTCAGATGTTCTATTTGCCAGAAAAATACCACGTCTCAATTTTTTATTCACATCTAGCAAAATCTTGATCCGCATAAATTCACTCCACCCCAATGGGTCTGAATCGTCTAGCTCAATAAAACCCCCCATGGCTTCCCCAATTTCATACATCACTTCAGGATTCCTCTTGTTCAAAGGAACATAGTATAAGCGAACCCAAATTGGTGAGTTCGTAAACACAATTAGAAGGTTTTTCACCCCCTTGAAATTCCTTCAGAAGCAGTAACTTTTCATCAAAATTGGGTGAGAGATTAGTGATTAATTAAATTTGGTTATAGTTAGTAAATTGTGTTTTAATTTTTTAATTGAGGGTAAAATTAACATTTGACTAGTTTTTTTTTTACTAAAAGTGGAAAGAATTTTTTTTGTTGCTCATAATGTTTAGCGGACAAAAATAGTAAAAGTTGCAGAAAACATTTAACAGAGGTAGTACAAAGTTTTCGAACCAATATTTCAACCATTCACCTAATTATTTACGGAGTAATTTTTTTTTTTGTAAAAAAAAAACAAATAAAGCTGAAAAGTTGTAATAAAGGAATAAAATGAAATTCCTGGATAAAAAAAGTGTACGGAAAATCAAATTTCACCCCAATATTACTAGTCCCCACCAGTCAATGCAAGGACGTTGGTAATACTCTTCTTCTTCGTCTTCTCTTTTCTCTCTCCTCCACTTTCTTGTCGCATTCACTCTTCAGTCTTCTTCTGCCATTTTATATTGCTTAAACAAATCATTTCTGTAATATTCAACAAATATGGGTGACCCACACAATCCAATTACGGTAAAAACCTTCAAACCCCACCATTATTTTACTCTTTTTTTTATTGTTTTTTGAGTTTATTTTGAGTTGGGTTGTTGATCATCTTCGTTGTTGCACTACCCACAATTGCAATTTTAATTTTAATGTAACGTGAAAATGGGGTTTTTTTTTTCTTGATTTATTTCCTAAATTGGCTATTTTTTGTATTTTGTTTGCATTTTTTAGCATATATTTTGTATTTTCTAGCATTTTACTTTGTGGGTGCAGTAAAATTATGAACAATGTGATGGTATACATGTGGGTGAAAATGGGTTTTTGTTCATTTCACTAATTTTGTTACATTTTTGGATAATTTGTTTAATTTTTGGCTTTGAACTGTTAATGGAGGACTTTGGAAGAATTAGGTGAAAAATAAAATTTGAAGATTTGGGCTTATAATTAGGTTTTGCACTTATGCTTAGTTTGATGATTTTGCATAAATTTACTCATTATTTATTTATAAATAATTTACCCACACCCTTTTCTGATTTTCCTTAAATCCCAGTCCCCACAGCAGCAAACTCCTGAACTTTTTAATCATACTTGGGAACAAAGCTCTAAAATCTGTACATTTTGTTGCTTTTAATAAATAATGTACTGAGTTCAAAAAGCTTTTATTGGTGGGAAGTCATAGGATAGTAATGGGTTAGGGTTACCACAAAAATCTGGTAAGAATAGCTTATTGAGGTCAAAAACAGGCCAGAATGATTAATGTTGCAAATCAAGTTCTGCCAAAGTTATGGTAAATGGGTAGCACGTTACTTAGAAAATCTTGCTTATCGTGTTTTTTCAATTGTGGGGAAAATTTGGCTTAAAATTTATTATTAATGCAAATCAAGTTCCGTCAAAATTACAAGGCTTTGTGGTAAAGAGTTCATACAAACATTCTACAGGCACGAATTCCTAGTTTGTCTTGCTCATTAGTCATGAGTATTAGTATATAAATAACACAAAGTACAACTATATTTTTTAATGTTAGGCTTATTTTTACTGTACTAAGTGTATGGGCCTTTTGTGTTTGGCTTTTTTCTAGTTCTCCGTGCCTTTGTGGAATGATTATTAAAGTGGGTTGTAGCTTTACTATGAATGAACCCAAGTATAAATTAATTTGTTTGTCATTCACTATGTTTCTTTCTTCTCCTTAGATTTGCTTACTTGCACTTTTTGGTTTTTTTAGTGTATGAGTTTCTGGAAAAATTGCATATTATTGCATTTTCAGGTTGATAATTTTTTTAGAATTCATTTTATCATTGTAATATTTTTTTACCTTGTATAAATTTGTTCTTAATGGAGATTTGATTTGTAAATGTTCCTTGGGTTACTATTCACGTGTTTCGTGCTCTCTTTAGCTTGGAAAATGGGTAATTAGCTCTTTGTATTTTTGTCTGATTACTTGGGACTTAATACTTTTAGATATAGCAAATTTGTGTTTAGTTAACTTCTCAATGACTACTGTCTTGCATCTTATTTATGTATACTTTCTTTGAATTTTGTTTATTTTAATATGTTAATTTATTAAAGGCTTAATTGTGACATTGTGTAGAGAGATATTACCTCTTAGATTGAGAAATATGCAATGATGTAAAAGGAGCACATATATTAAATGCCAATGAAATCTTAGCTCAAAAGCATAGATTTAATATTAAAACCTAAGATGCTATGTTTACAACATTAGAAGTAGAAAACTAGTTGCGAGGAAGAGGATATTGTTGTTGACCTTTGGGTGCAAAGAGGTTCACATGTTGAGCAATGACAATGTCAATAGGTATTGTGTTATTAAGTTTAAGGTATCCTTCTAGTCTGGTTGAGAGGTGAAATTGTAAAAATGGGTTGAAGAATTCAGCTTATTAGTAGAATCTCCATGCATTATTAGGCAGATAGAAACTTTGACTTTTGTCATGTCGCTAAGCTACTAGTTGATTTTGTTGCATTCAAATTAATATAAAGATTACATGGTCTTGTCTTTATAACATTTGATCATCCAGATATTGTGTTGATCTAGGCATTATTTACTAATTAAGTTTGATTTATTTTGTGATAATATCCTTAGTTTCCTTGGAAGGGAAGAGGGATAATATCAGCTTGTCCCACTCTTTTGCTTACAGTCTTTCTTAGTTATTTATGCTCTTTTAGCATCTGAAGGATTATACTGTTGATTTCACCTGTTTTATGCATATTTGAAAGTATATTTTGCTTTTCATTGTTTTAACTTGTGGGGGCTGAGACCACGTTTTAATGGCAGCATTTAGGTGTATTTATGCTGTCACATCTTGTTATTAAGTGATAGACTCTTATAAATCCTTGTAAGCCGTGTTTAAGTTACTTTTTTTTTTTGCTACAATGTGATGACACACAAGACTTTAGGATCTGTTAACACTTCTTCACCACATGGAAAGAAGGCAGATTTGAATTATGCTAATAGCTGCCATCAATTTTCATTTGGATTACTTCTTTTGTATTCTGTAAATGGGCCATCAATTACATAATTTTCTCAAGGCTCAGCGGTGATAACTTGTATTATGTAGTCTCTATTGCGTTTCAATTATGATTAGTGTCATATGAAAGGTCCTCGTTTCAATTTTGACTTAAATGAAACATATAACCTTTCATCCCGTGGTTCTGCCTTCTTGGTGTTTGAATCTTTCTTATAGCTTATTTGTTTGCTTTATGTGAAGCAGCACTTGCCTTTTATCGTAACAAAGGTTGAGCTAATTTACCCGTGAAAAACAAATTTTGTCAAGGGACATGGCCAAAGTAGAGGGGTTATTGTCCCTTAAAATACTTGTTTCTTTTGTGAATAGTTGTCTACTTCATAGTTTCATTTCATGCATGAGAATTGCACTCTGGCAAAACACATTAATCATGCATGATTGCCTTGCCTTGCCTGTACTAATGTGCCTTTCTAACTTTCTTTGGCACACATCTTTATTGTACTATTGAATAGTTAGAGACACTAATTGTCCTTAAAGTTGCGTGATTTTGCAAAGGCCAGTGATACTTGAGCATTATATTCTCCATGCAAGAGCAACTGTTTTAGGAGCTATGTAGATTGACAGTCTAAGATTTTCTCCTCTTATGTGCAGGACAAACCATGTGAGATATGTGGGAGTGTTGGCTGGGTAGATCCCCTCAGAATTTGCTCTAAATGCAAAGTAACCCGTGAACACATGTATGGTAACTTATATCTTCTGATTATTGCAAATTTTAGCCATTAGTTATAAGTCATTCTCTATCTTGTTTTGAAGTTAATTAATGTCTTTAGAAAGGCTTCTCTCTTGACATTTATTCCACAATATTTGATTGCTGAAGTTGACTTCTGAAGCTATTGTTCTTGGCCATTTGGGTATATTGTACCATACTTATCTTCAGAGTTGGAGATTGTTCACATCCTTAAGATCATTATGTCCCTACTTTTCACTGCATCTTCATCAATCACAAGCAATGTTGCATCAATTATCATACACAATATCACTTTTTATATTAGCTGCTAGAGCTGGAAAGAAGAGGGTCAGGATCATGGTCCTTCTATCTTCCTGAACGTGTTAATTTGTTTACAACCTTCATACTTTTTTTTTGTTCATCATGAACTGTAAAAAGATAGTAAAGGGGGGGGGGGGTGGGGTGGGGATGGTTGTGCTGTAATGCCCTTTAAGGATAACTTGGATTTCTTGAAAGGCCATTAATAATTCCATTGAAAAACTGATTAATTTTGAGTGTTTTGATGGCCTCCTTTTTGTTTGTATCTGAATTCCAGCTATTGCATGCGAGTAGCTTATAATGGTGATCAAGAAAAATGGGTTTGCGAAGAATGCGACTCCTCCAATGTTGCAAATCAGTTGCCTTCGAAACCAGGTATCCTTTTGAATTTCTGGAAACATCTGTATAATTTTTTCTAGCAATGACTAATTTGTTCTGCAGCTTCAAGCAAACAGCCTAGTGGCACAGGGCTGAGGTTTTCAATCAAGAAGCCCCCTCCAAATACAAGGGTGCAGTATATATCACCTGAGGAAGCAATAGTCCTAGAAACTGAAGCAATGAGAAACAACTTATCTTCTCCAAGCAAATCATCTTTTGCACATAGGTCGCCAACACCATTCAGAATTAAACCAAATCCTACAGTTGGGATTTCTCGACGCAGGGAGCCCCAGAGTGACTGGAGCTTGCCTAGCGGTTCAAAAGATAGGAAGTCTTTAGCTTCTACTGGTATCAGACAATTCAGAATCTTTTTACTTCTATCCTGGAAAATTTCGTGGAAAGATCTGTGCCTGTTTATTTTTTGGTAGGGTTTAAATGGTTAATTGCTGGGCATAACATGGATAATTTTTTATTTCTGAGATTATTTTTATGTATAGGCAAGGAAGAAATGTTTATTTTGCAGAATGCTTTTGATCTTTATGAAGCTACTCAGATAAAGTTGGCAAGAGGGTAAAGATACCTAAAATTTGTGGTAATGCAAATTAGTCTATTTGAGTTAGCTTGGGAAAGGGGGCAGGGAGTTTGTTAGAAGGAATGGAAAATGCTTTGTATAGAGGTGGTTAGAGAGGGTTAAACAGAAAATTATTGAGAGGTTTTCACTTTATTTTAGTTTGTTTCTGGGATTGTTCAGGCACTCGAATGACTCGGATTGTAAACCTCATTTAATGATTTGATAGCATCAAACTACAATCTACTATCATTTTCCCTCAAATTCTCTTCTTAATCCTCATTTCTTTTTTTGTTTTCTTGTGTTTCTGTTGTATTACACCCAATCCTGGTAGAAGTACAGATAAATGAGTGTAGGATTCTGTATGTCTAATCCTCTCCCATTTTTTTTTTTTTGCCACTGAAGCTTGTTTAATAGAGCTTGTTGCTATTCTGGTACCATTTCTGCTCCTGCAGGAATTAGACTTAGATAAAGTTTCAATTACTAGCAGTTAGGTCCTTTAATTTCTGCTTGTTAATTTTAATATAAATTGACCCTGTGATGTCTGTTTACTTGTAAGCTGTATTTTGCTGCAACACAATGTTTCACTCTTGAGTCTTAATTTAAGCTAGTGGAAGACCAAATTGGCTAGATGTGTCGTAGCTGTTAGACTTGTTACCAATTACTGTTTTTGCAAATAAATTTTGTCTGATAATAATAGCTGACCTGATTTCTCATTTGTCCATTTATTTCCAATAATATACCCATGATATATAGGTCTGGATTCCTTTTATATGAAACAAAGGTATTGCATTTATGAGGATTGGATGAGTTTGTTTATGGACCCTTCTAAAGATTCTGTTGGTTTGCTCTTCTTGCTGGAGTAATTGTGGTTGAAATGGAGTATCAAAACCAATCAGTATATGTGTTCCAAGCTAGAAACCTTTGTGGTGTAGTCATATTTATTGTTTTATGGTATGATTGCACGAGTGTTTCCAGGGGTAGCTTTGATTCACACATTAATTGATTGGTATGCCCATCTCTTTCTAGTTTCTGACATCTCTAGTCCTCTATTGATATACCTTTGTCTTTATGTAATTGGCATAATTCTGCTTTCTGTATGAGTGGTTTGTAATTGATAGTATTGTAGTGTAGTCTAAACATGTTCTGAACTTCAGCTGTGGAGATGGAGAACAGTAGAAAGGTTCTAATTTGTAGTATTGCTTACTTGTATAAGCTGTATGATTCAATAAAACTTGGAACAATACGTAGAAGGATTTTCATTATAAAATTTCCCCGTGCTCTTCCTAGCCTTGTGTCATTATAAAAATGAAAAAGAAAAATAGAGCAATGCATAGAAGGATTGCATTTCATTCTGAATCTTAAAATAGTCTTTGAAAATTTACCATGATTTTTATTTATTTATTATTATTGTTTTTTATATTGAGTGTTTTCCATCTCTTATAAATCCTTGGAGTTATTGTAAGTGAGAATTTGTTTTGGGCCTTTTAGGCTTTAGAGGAAACACATTATCTGATAAAGTTTACTGCTTAATTTGTACATGTTCTTTGTAACCTGAAAAGGTCATTTTTTGCTATAATTCAATGATTCACTTTGCTGCTGCTTCCATCGTCTTTTCTCATCTATTTACTAGGGTATGTTATCAAAGCATGACACATTTGTGATCTCTTTGGCAGTGGTAGAGAATTCTGTATTCCAAAAAGAGCATGCTTGGCAAGATTCATCGACATCTAGACGGTCCTTAGCTAGAAATACGCAAACATCAAATGTTATGCATAAGGAAAAAGGTAAGCATCATCTGTACATTACTTACCAGCGCATGAGCAAAAAAGCTCATATTTCTTGCTATTAAATTCTATAATATGCATTCTTGTTTAGATTTTCATGTATGTGCTAGCAAAATGATGATTTACTGCGTTGCTAAGCTTGAACAGGATGGCCATTCTCAAACTCGTAGTCTCAAGGAATGAATTATTTGAAGTTGAAAGATATAACAGAAAAGATTGGCTTAAGTTTGATGAAAGGATTATTTTATAAAAAAGTAAGACTAATGTAAGTATAAGGAAGAGAATGAGGTACATCTACACTACAGAGTGCATATTACTTCGTATTGAAGTCATGAAAATTGAAGACTAGTGTGAGACCATGAGTGCAATTTTGGGGTAGGTGATTTGCTGTAAGTCCTAATTTTTCTAGGCATGTATAGCCTTTTTTTTTTTTGGGTGGCTGTGTTGTGCGTCAAATATTGATATTGTATTAGATTGACGAGCTCTAGAAGATCCTTATGGCTGAAAAGTTTCTCCCTTTTACAACTGCGAAATTTTTTCAAGATTGAGTGACATTGTCTTTCTGTGTATTGGTCAAGGCATAACCTCACTTTTCTTCTCACTGTTTATTATGGTTCATTGACTGCTAACTCCAACTTCACTTGTGTAAAGATGGCCTATTTTAAGCCTTTTTCCCCCCTTTCCAGTGTCAGCTAAGAGTGAACTGTGAACAAACCACATGACTAGCTGATGAATGACTATAGCCTAAATTCCATTTTCCTGGAGTTTATGTTTGTGACCTCCATTTGACAAAGATCTCCCTTATGCCTCTCTATTTCAGTGAGCCAAAACCAATGTTTATGTATAAGCGCGTTCCTGTAAGTAATTATGTATGTTTACTATCTTGTAACTATAAAATTGAGTTTTTTTTTTCTTCCCTTTGTTTTATTTTTATTATCTGCCTGATTTACAATAGACTTGCTTTTGGTTGTTATGTTTGATTATGCCTTGTTAAATGAAGGAATGAGTTTAAGAAAAGCTCCTTAATTCATGTTTAGTTAAATAAAAAGGTGCATCCACTGGGCTTCAGATGAGATTGTGATTTATATGGATTATCATGGAATGTCATAAAAGAAAGTCTTATTAAGTAATCTACTGTCTAGCTCGGAATTTTGAAATTCTGTATTGTCTTGTAGCTTTTGCTTTTCTGCTGCAAAATGTACTACTTAATCCCATATTCCCAAGTGCTCAACTTGTCTTCGTGTGCGTTTTCTAGAAGCATCTGCACGGGAAAGTCCGACTGCTAAGCGTGTGACTTTTGGGAAACTTCCCAAGCCTGCTGCTCAAAGAGACAATATCAATTCAGGCCATACTTCCACGCAGTTAGGTCAGCGTTTGCCTGCTGTAAGTTCAGGTACGTTGACACTTGAGAAATTAATTTCTGATCAAGTCAGATACTTTAAGGATGAAGAATCTTATTATGTTGTTTCATCAAGATTTTCCTACTAAATGTGCTCAGTAAGATACAACCAAAACCTTTCTTTTGCTACTATACAACCAAAGCATGATCAACTTGTTGATTCTTTACCTATATCATTCTTATATTTTATTTTTTTAGCTGGCCGTTGCAAAATTTATCTTTCTCAACTTCTTGACCTTTGTTCCAGATGGATGTGCACAGCAATTTGGTGCAAACACTCCTGCTGCTGAGCTTTTGCCGAATAAAAATATTTCTAGAACTGATATAAACTCAGGGGATACTTCTCAGTTAGTCCATACTTTTCCTAATGTAACATCGGGTATGTCTATGGAAGTATGTAGATTAATTGTTTGTCTATTACAGAATTACCCAGGTGCATTTGGCTTCTTAATTTTAACCAAATCAGGGAATTTGTGTTCAAAATGCTTATTATAAAAGTCACAATCAGTTTTCTCTCTGAAAGCTTTTTAGTTGTGATCATATACATAAGCATTGTGCCAAGCTAAGTTTGGCCTAGTGGAAAAGAGAAACTCCCAACCTCAAGGTTGGGGGTTTATTTCCCACTTGTGGCACGTTGGGAGAGGGGAACCCTTTACCTTTTCCCCCACTCCTAAAGGGTGTATAGCCAGCTAACACCAGCCTGGTTTACTGCATTTGTTGCAAAACATATGTCCTCAAGTTGTAGTGCTGTACAGCCTACTACTTTCCAGACTGAATTTCTCATAGTTTAATATGTTTGACCAGGAATGGATGTTTGTATTGAGGCTTGGAATAAGAAAACTGATCCTAAGGGGAGGGAGTCTCCAAAAGTTACAATGGTGTTTGATAGCCATCTACCTAACCATCCTGCAATGTCCCCGACGTGGAGGTGATATACACTTTGCTTTGACATATTGAAGATTATTAATTTGGAGCAGTTTTTGTGAGGGTGCACTGACTATTGATTTCATCCCTGCAACATGTTTTTACATGAAAAGTATATAATCTCTTAAATTTTAGAAGTGCACGTTAGTTTGATGAGGCACACGTTTCACATCTGTGCTTTGCACCTAGGGACTAAGGTCCCTGTTATCTTGTGCCATGAACTTTTTCAAACACAGATTTGGAAAACTTATGCCCCCTAAATATATTTGGTACGACCCTATTCCCTGTGGAAAAAATTGGAGAATTTTCTGGCTCCTCCCAGTGTAGACAAGAGTGCAAATTATTCAACATTGCAGTAGCCAAATTTAGCAGAAGCTACCACATTATAGCTGATATATGCTGAACTGTAAACATTGCCACTTACCTGACTTTCCTATTCTGACATGTGAAATCTTGTTTGCTTCGACAGGGGAACTTTTCAGATCACAAATGATGTTGGGCTTTGTAATATTTTCAATGACATTCAAGCACATCCTCCTTGTAAGGTTCACAGGAAAGTGTACCAGGTGTCGAAACAATTTCCCAAGACACTTGCATTAAACATGCTGCCTCAAAGGGATTATTGGGTGGATATCTTTGAGGACGATGTCCCTGGTGAGCTTCACATTGGCCTATATTTTCTCCCTCCTAGGCTGTCCAATAAGAATGGAGGTTTTCCTGCATCAACTTGTGACCTTGAGCAAAGATACTATTCCCTTTTGGACTATCTTGATGAGCATGACTATCTCTTGAGAACTAGCTTTGATGAAGTGGAGCTAATTGTTTTTTCCTCTAAACATTTGCCAAAAGATTCTTGCAGTAAGCTTTGCCCTTACTCTTTAAACTTGTATTTTTGACAACTTTATGTCTCCAACTTAATGTCATTATTTCTGTTTCCTTGTGTTACCACAGAAATAAATCAAAAGTCTTTCTTGTGGGGAGTCCTCCGTCCTTCTGTGGCTAAATTTGGAGCATCCAAGACAACTATTCCTGCACAAAACTCTGAGGTGATAGATGAGATCACAGAACCGTCAAGAACGAAGTCTTTGTCAGCGAGGGATGATGCTGTCCATTCTTCATACAGCCAGCAAGTACAGCAGCCAATGTCAGAAGAGCATGAAGCCGAAGACATGGTTGTTGATATGTTAGGAGGAAGGGAATTGGATAATATCGACATTGTTGTTTTAAAACCCACTGTCAATTCATGTGATGGCCTCATAAAAAGTGAGATAGAGACAGGCAGCAAGGTCAAAGCATCGCCAAAGAGCACAGGGGAGTCAGTACTTGAATTCTCTCCGATCAAAATTGAAAGAGAGTGGACTAACTCAAAAGCAATAGAGGACACTGGCTTGGAATTCGAGAAAGAATTGCAAAGGAGTTTTGATAGATTTGCAGCATTGATGGAACTAAAAAATGCAGGCAGTTTTGTAAGCAAAGTCAAACAAGAGGCTGATGCCCAAGAGCAGCTATTCTAAGCGATGAGCGTGATAACATCATCTGTAATTAGACAGTGGACAGCATTAACTTGTTAACAATTAGGCAATACCAGAAATGTACAGCAAACAGCATACAGGAAATTAGTGAGCTACATCAGGAATCAGTGTAGATATAGGACAGAAATAGCTTGGTTTCCTCAGAAAAGAAGTATGCGCGATGGCTAATTTCAGGGATCTTTACTAAGCCCAAAACTCGATTTTTTTTTGTTTCTTACATCATACAAGTATTTTTCATGTGGGAAATGGAAAATTGTGTTCGTTTTTTTTCTTTTTCCTGCGCCTTTTTTTCCTCCCTTTTGGTAGAATCTTAACTCATACAAACTTGAAGCTTAAGTTTGGATTACACTAGCTTGTTATTGTTGAGGAGAAATGATTGAACCTTGAATGATATAGATGCTGAATCTTATAAATCTAAAAAATGAGCTTACATTTTTCACTTTGTTCATGTAGCAAAAAGAAGGAAAAGGATGGGAGGGGTATGTTATTTTGTCAATTTCGGGTTCAATTTGAATTTCTAAGAGTTTACTCTTAAAACCTTACTCGAGTATTTTTCACGGCTACATAAAATAATGACGCAAAAATCGATATATTTCTCGATATTCAAATGAGGTTTTTATGGTTTTTTTTTTTCTTCATATAACCGGAACCCGTGAATAATACATAAAAAGACGATGAGAGGTGAGTACGGAGTACTCCATGGGCCTCTTCAGTTCACCTCTTAAAATAAGGTGATGTGAAGGGACCTTACACGGAGTATTAAATGCGACAACGGGGTAGAATTTTTCTTTTTATTTCCTCAATTCCTCCTATACTCTGAATCCTTCTCTTAACAATGGTAGCGCCTGGAAAATGCATATTGGTTTCAGGTGCCCCAGTAAGTAACACCTTTTTTTTAATTAATAATTCTATTTTCATCAATTTATGAGCTTAAATTCTTATTCTATGATTATTAGGGTGTAGGAAAAACAACTTTAATAATCAGAGTATTGGAAAATCTGAGAGCTTTAAACCCCAATTTGAAGGTCCAAGGTTTCTATACTCGTAAGTAATTCTATCCAATTATGCTGCCCTTTTCTGCAAATTTTTTATTCAAAGTAATAATTTTGATTAATATGAAACTTATGTGATAATGATGTGATTGTGTATTTGGGAAGGTGAAATTAGACAAGGAAATGAGAGGGTTGGTTTTGAGGTGGTAACTGTGAATGGTCAAAGAGGTACCCTTGCTTCTATTAACAATCCCAGGTACAAACTTTACCAACCCTTTCATATTTGTGTGTGTGTGGAGAGATATAATGTCTGGTAATGATGTAGACGGGATTTGATTGCGTATTTTGGAATTCGTCCAAAATGACTTTAATCAACTAAGTTGGTTGACATCCTCGGGGGCTTTGAACATTTTTTGTGATCTAATTGGGATAATTGAATGTTTACTTTACAACTCTTGTGCTTATAATTGGGATAATTGAGTGAAAGTAATGTCATATCATCCTTCATATGAGAAGGGGTTTTAGTCTAGTTTATTGAAGAGTATGTTATCACCAAGTCAAATTGAGCTTGTGAACCCAGATAACCAAATGAGATATTATGGGGTTCTTTATTTCCATATATGGCGAAATTTCCCTTTATATTATGAACTTGCTTATTGAGATTGGCAAATGATTAACTTTGATTTGAAAATCTCAGGGTCTTCCATTGTTTGGTATTGTTTCGATTTAAACATGAATGCCTTTTTGGTTGTTTGATTATGCTTTCAAATTCCTGTAATTCTGAAAGCATGCAATGATCTGCCTGAGCTGTTTGAAATTTGAATTAGTGGAACAGTTGTATGGGCATTTCACTTACATTAGTTACCTATACACGATTCTCACTTGTCGATGGAAAGAGTAACAGTTTCTGGTGTTTTCCAGCTTCCTTGTGAAATAATTGTTTGCTGAGAATTATGCTTTGCCTCTCCTCTATCCCACCAAGGCACCAACTGCCTATATGTTCATGTTAAACTCTGCCTTAATTGTTATTTTGAAAGAATCTACCTTAATTGTTTGTTGAAGAATATCTCTAGCCTCATGAAACAATGCCTTTCACATCTAACACATTTTTGTATTGTGGCAGCCCTGAATCTGTGCGGTGGCCTACTGTTGGAAGATATCGGGTGGATATAGCTTCTTTTGATAATATAGCTTTGCCTGTGTTGCAGGTAACTTGCACTGTCCTAACTCTTCTGTCAGGTGAAAATGAGTTTTTTTTTTCCTTCCCCCAAGACTACTTCAAATGCGATATAACTATCCAGTGAAATTCTTATTACAAAATATAATAAGCCTTACAAAGTTGCTGCTTGGATTATTCGTGTAATGCTTGTGTGAAAACTCTAAGCCAACTGAAATTATGTCTAGTATATTATTGCTGAATACTTGACTGGTTTATGTTTTAAATCTGTTGTTTTCAATCTTGATGGAGGGAGTTTCCTATATTTTTTTCTGATTAAATCATAGAAGGTAGCGTTGTATATCAAGTGCTGACTCTGAAACCATTTTAAGATTCAGTTGTAATAAAATTTACTCAGTAACAAATTATTTTATGATTTCAGCAGCCAACTATCTATAAAAACCTTTTGATATCTGTTTAAAGATTTATCTCTCATCCGGTTTTTGACAGCCTAATTTTGTCTTGCCAGATTAAAGAAGATACGGACTTGTTTGTTATTGATGAAGTTGGTAAGATGGAGTTGTATAGCTCATCATTCTTTCCTGCAGTCTTGAACCTCTTGAACTCCAATATCCCTCTCTTGGCTACAATACCAATCGCAAGACATGGCCGAGATATACCCGGAGGTATGGTAGCTAGTGACTTAAGCTTCTTTGTTCTCTGACGAGTCATACTATCATTTAGAATATATATATATATATATACTCTTAAGTCTTTTACTATGTGTTCACACCGTATTCAGTCAGTGTTACTTGAGATTATTCATTGTATGACCAACTCAAGTCTCTTCTATCCTTAATTCGTTCTATATGTGTTATTATCTGTTTTCAACATTCAAAGTTGCTTTCATGAAAGTTGCTAATCCTTTACGCTGTTATTGACATGTATGCAGTTGCAAGGCTGAGAAACCATCCAGGGGCAATCATCTACACGCTCGACCCTAATAACAGGGATACATATAGGGAAAGGGTTTACTCTCACTTGGTTGATCTATTCACTAAGAGTTAGAAGTTGCAGCCATGGTGATGTTTTTGGGGGATCAAAAATGGTGTTTGAATGAAAGATCCAATTTGTTCTTTGTTTTATTTTCTTGGTGGTGTGTTTGATTTTATAATCCTATGATTATAGTCCTTACTGATGGTGTATGTTGTTTATATAAAAAATGATTTGAGAATGCTTTAAAGGATAATAAAAGTCAAACTAAAGAAAATATAGGTCGTAACTTCTTCAAATCCGTATAATTAAAGCAATGTAAGTGTTTCGGATTTGGTCCTTGAATGGACGTGCAAAATAAACCCCAGGGAGTGGACCCCGAGGCAGAGCCTCCAACGCCCAAGTTAGATGCCATACAATGCATGTATTTGAGAGGATTTAGAGGAGAGAGTGGAGGAGGATGGTCATCTTAGTGTAAGACTGACCTCTCCTTTACCTTTGGCCCCTTGATGGATATTTATAGTAGTATAAGGGTGGGCGCAAATTCTTTGCTACAAAAGGAATCAGAATGGCTTTGGATAAGCGGTAGTGGCACTTAAAATTTTTTGCTCCAGACATCAGGCTGGCCAACTGAGTGCAGGGTGACTTAGCAGTGGCATACCATACCAGGGATTTGCTCAATAGCATCCAAAACCTTATTCCTTTATTTCACTGTCTTAGTATTAGCAAATGTGGGGATTAAGTCCCTTTTTCTCTGCTGTAAAATAAAAAAATAAAAAAAATCTAAAGTTTATAGAGCATTTTTAAGAGAAAAATCCGAGAAAAAAAATCAGTCAAAATGGTCAAAATAAGTGTTAGGTGGGGCGTACAGACGGAAAATCCACCAGATTTTTAAAATGGGTGGTGAGCATTTATTTAAAAAATTAAACGGGTGGTTAATTCAAAAATGGTTATATTTTTGGGTGGTAATTTAAAAAATAACCTAAAAAATTAATAAAATTAAAAAAAAAAAAAAAAAAAAAACCCTTAAATTTTAACCCAGGCACCACCGGCGCCGGTTCCCACCACTGGCGTCGGTTCCCAGGGTCATCACCCCAACCCAGCCGCCCCCACCGTCGTCACCGAATCCCAGCCAACCACCCTCGGCTGACGAAACCAGCCAACCCAATCTCGTACCCTAACCTCAATCTAAACCAGTCGACCACCCCATACCCAACCCGATTTGGTTTTCGGGTACGAGTTTGGGTCCAAGTGAGGGTGAAGGTAAGGGTGAGAGACTGAGAAGAGTAGGGCAGTTTGTAGGTGTGGGTTGGGATTTCGGCAATTCAGCAACGATTATGGGTAGGGCAGACGAGTTCGACGACGGTGGTTTCGGCTGTGTACGGTGGTTCGACGACGGTGTGGGTTGGAGTATCGGCTGTTTAGGTTGGGGTTTCGGAGGTTCTGGGCTGGGTATGGTGACGACAGTGGTTCAGCGACGGTCTCGGAGCCTTGGGGGTTGGGTTTGGATGACAGTGGTGGGAACCCACCGGCGATGGTGGCTTGTTTAGCATTTTAGGAATTTTTTTTTAATTTTTTTTAATCCAATAGATGATTGACACGTGTACCGTGTAGAACCCACTTAACGATTTTTTTAGATGACAAAGTTAAGTGGCGGTGAAACCAATTTTTTTATTTTTTTGTGGTGTTATAATAAAAGTTTTAAAATTTGTGGTGTTATAATCAATTTTTGGGTTTTATTTTGGTGTTATTTTCTAAAATTTCCTTATTATTATTACTATCTCCGTAAAATGTTACGTACAGCTTTTGAATATTTTATATCTCACAAATAATACCTCAAAGTTGCACATAACATTTAACGGAGGTAGTATTAATAATTTATTGTGAACATTGTGAGTTGTACCTTTAAGACTCACTCCAATGGTGAGACTCAAGTGAGTATTTTTAGGATAGAGAGTATTTTTTGTAATGTATACCAATAAGTTGGTATTTAAACTTAGCAACTCCAAAAGAAAGTTACTAAGTTTAGATACTTAACTTTGAGTCTCATTTGACAAAAAGTGTGGGCCTCTTGTCAATATTCGAATATATTTTGTAATTTATTTTAGTTTTACTTTTTTTTTTTTTTAATCTTATGATATTTGATAAAAAAAAGAAATGGATTTGGTGGACCATAAATTGAAAGGGGCATTTGTATACTTCGTATTTTAAGAGAGTCTCACAATTGGAAAATTAGACTTCACATGAGTTGCTAAATTGAGAAGTGGGTATGGTATCACCATCGGAGGTATAATAATAATAATAATAATAATAATAATAATAATAATAATAATAATAATAATAATAATAATAATAATAATAATAATAATAATAATAATAATAATATAATAATAATAATAATAATAATAATAATAATAATAATAATAATTAAAAAAAAAAAAAAAAACCCAACTCATTTTGTATTTCAACATTAAAACTTGAGTCTCACCATTGGATATGATCTAAATGAGCATACTTTAATTGAAAAATTGCAATTGAGACATCTTTCCCTTAAATTTGATCTAGTTTTTTCAGCGTTTATTATTTAGGAGAAATTTAATCAATGAAAAAGAGTTAGAATCAAATTAGTATGGAGAACCTATTGTTTATCAACATTTAATGATATGGTAATGAACATATAGTTAAAGAGATAATATATTGTTGAGATCTTAATGAATGAATATGTTCATTCTACTATAATCTCCGCAAAAATCAATTTTTTTTAAATAATAACTAGCAAACAACATCTACTAGTATAGATTATGACGAAATATATATATATATATATATATATATATATATATATATATATATATATATATATATATATATATATATATATATAATATGTATAATTTGTTTATAAATCAAGGTTTAGGCTCATGTGAGAAGAATAATTTATGTGAGAAGCATTACATAGTATACGTACCATCGGCTTGAATAAATCTAAAGACTCTAATATTTGCACTTTATTAGTGGCAAAAGGGTAAATATAGGTATATTTAAGTATTCTTTTATTTATTTGCACTGCAATACTCCAACTTTTGGACCTCATATGCTCTTAGCCTTTTCTTTTAAAGATGATTCGTCTTAATCAAATACGATGCGTTTCTGCAATTTTTGGGTAACTTCACATGTTCAAATTATGGTCCATGATTTCTCAAGAGTAAATTATATACCTTGCCACTCAGATGTAAAATATTAGGGCATTTCTTGTTTCTAATAATTGATGTTGTGACTCGATTGAAAGAATGTAAACTCTTCTATGACGATCTCGTGAGTGTATTATGGCAAACTTAGTAGGTGATGATTAATTTTGGATCTTAATTGGTAATATTTTTTTATTTTATTTTTTTTTTTTTTTTTTACTTGACATATGTATAATGCAGAATCAATGTATTTGTAATGAAGACTTAGGGCCTGTTCACATTTACTGAATTGAGCTGAGCTGAACTGCACTGAACTGATTGGAGCTGAACTGAATTGATTGGAACTGAACTGAGCTGAAATGAATATTTTATGAGAGAGAGAAATCAAGAGCTGAACTGAACTGAACTGATTGGAGCTGAACTGAACTGAACTGATTGGAGCTGAACTGAACTAAAATTAAGTAAATGTGAACAGGCCCTTAATGTATCATCAATTTGTATTAGATGTATTTGAGGTAGTTTGTAATGAAGACATAATGTATCATCAATTCATATTAGATGTATTTGAGTATTTTGTGGAGTTTAGATCAATGCTGAGAGATATTTGTACATCTGATGGGCTAGGATGCATGGACACTTCATCCAACTGTCGTGTCCAGGTCGGACGCCGTGTCAGACACCAATACCCGTGGGACACACGACGACACGTCTCGAACTGTATCCTACTATGATATAGGTTGTTCAACTTTTTTTTATTGAGAAATTTTAAGTAGAGTAAGATAAATAAGGTAATTGTTAAATGATATGGGTGCCTTCATGTTGTTATATGATACTATATAATATTATGAGACGAAATGTTAAATATATGGTCAAATTCTTTTTTTTTAAGGATATTTTATGAATATTAACATCCCGTACCCGTGTCCCTTATTTTGGGATAGACGCTTTACCGTATCCGTTTCGTACTCGTATCCGTGTCCGTACCCGTTCTTGTGCAACCTAGCTGATGGGTACATATATAGTGCAAAACATTGATTTGGCATTTTCTAATGGGTCAAAGCCCTCTATTTTGAATTGTGTCCTAAACTAAAATTAACTTGAGCCTATTGTTTTGTTTTGTTTTCTTTTCTTTCTTTTTTTTTTCTTATATCATTCTCATATAAACTAGATTTTGAATGTATATATATATAGTGTATCTTCAATGTATCTATTATTTGCTTACAATGTATTCATATTGAACTTTCAAAGTACTCAACTCATCATGCTTCTCACATTAAATATGTTTCTCACTAGATCCCAACCTAATAAGTCATTATAATTTTTTTTTTTTTTTTGATAACATAATGTACTACCTCCGTTAATTATTTTGTGTAACTTTAAGTGGGTTCACGGTTGCTAATGCAAAAAATAGAGGGCATTGATTAAGGGATAGTTAGATGGAATTAATTAAATTAGGAGGAGAGAGAATAAATGGTCCCCCCATGTGCTTTAGTGGGGAAATCTGATTCCCTTGGTAGGAAATCAGATTCCCTCCCCTTTTTTATCAAAAATTTCAAACATTTTGAAAAATTGGGTGGGTTTAAAATTCCCTCCGCCTTTTTTTAAAAAAAAAAACTAGCATTCAATTCTTGACATCAACATAAATAGAGCAGCAATCAGCATTTAAGAGGCTTATAAAAGGAAGCCCCCATTGTCAACCAAGCTTTGATAGTTCAAAGCATTAAATACAACCATCATCAATGTTTAAACATAACAACCAAATGTTTATCCCAAAAGTTAGACCCTAAATCCTGAAATTAGCCCCTATTAACCCAAAAAATTAAAACCTAGGCTACATTAGTCCTGCACAGAGATATCCACCATCATCAAGAGTGTTGTTGCCTCGCTCTCTATGTACACAAAAGTGTAGGGCAGCTTCATCTTCACAAAAAACTTCATCTGCCACCCTTACAGCATCATCAACAACCTGAAAAAGGAAGGGACCCTAAAAATGGCAGATTTCGATGAATCTCAACAGTTTGATATCGATGAATTGCTGACAGAGGAACTAATGACAGAAATATATTTTGAAGAGGAAGAACAAATTCAAGATGAAGACATAGAGTTGTATGATTCTGACAATGAAAACATGCAACATGAAGAAGAGTCTACAGAAGGGACTCAAGAAACAAATGAGCCAGGTCAGCAAGAGACCATCCATCAAGATCAATATCAACAACAAGGACAGAATCATGCAACAACTACAATCAACAGAAAACAACTTACCATGTATCAGAGAAGAGAGATTGTTGATGCAATGTTGGTGAAGATGCAAGATGGAGCTTTGCCAAGAGGATACAAAATGCAACTTTCCACACAATTCAGAGTGCATAAATCAACAATCACCAGAATATTCACAGACATAAAAAAATAGATGGCAGATGGGAATATGATTGATGTCAGGACAAAGAAGTATGCCAAGACAGGTCTAAAGCCAAGGGAATTCACTGATGAATTCCTACAATCAGTCTCTCTTTATTTAAGGCAGACAGAGAGGTCATATGCAGCAGCACTCAACATTTCACATGTCACTTTGCACTACTTGAAGAAAAAGGGAAGGTTGAGAACACACACAACAAGTTGCAAACCAGCACTTACAGCAAATCACAAGATAGCTAGAATGAAGTGGGTTTTAAGTCATATAAACCCTGTTGAAGGAAATCAGGACCCCAGTTTTGAAGACATGAGTTATGCCATTCACATAGATGAGAAATGGTTCTACTTGAACCCTGACAAAAGGAGGTTTTATCTCCTTCCAAGTGAAGAGGATCCATACATGGCACAACAGTCAAGAAGATTCAAGTTAAAGGCAATGTTCATGGCCATTATTGGTAAGCCATTGTATGGCATAAATGGTGAACTACTACATGATGGAAAGTATGGGATTTTCCCATTCACAGTCCAAGACAAAGCAAAGAAATCAAGCAAGAACAGAGCAGCAGTAACAATGGTGACAAGGGCCCTTCAGAATGTAAACAGGGAGGTCATAAGGGACATGTTACTTAACAAAGTAATTCCAGCAATCAAGGATAAATGGCCTGAAAGTCTGCCTAAAAATGTTGTCATACAATGGGACATGCAAGGCCACATCAAATACCAAGAGATGAAGAGTTTGTTGCAGCAACAACATCCAATGGATTTAATATTCAATTTGTGCTCCAACCACCTCAATCTCCTGATCTAAATGTGTTGGATTTAGGTCTTTTCAGGTCTATCCAGTCCTTACAGTATCAATCTTTTCCTAACAATCTTGATGAGCTAGTTGAGAAGGTGATTGAGTCATACAACACATTCAAGCCAGAAATCAATAAGTACATATGGGTCACTCTACAGAGATGCATGACCAAAATACTCAAGGCATAAGGTGGGAATAGATACAAAATTCCATACATATATGAACAAGAAAAAACTTGAAGATCTTGGCATTCTGCCAAATCAAGTGTATGTTCAGAAAGAGATAGTGCTAGAGGCTGTAGAGTACTTGAACACAATGTTCAGACCAGCACCAGAAGAGACTCATGCAGCAGCAGAGGACATGGAGGTGGATGCAAATTAGACAAGGGTACACATCAACTCATGACAACAACATATACTTCCACACATAACCATCTGAAGTTTGTTTTTTTTTTTTTTAATTTTTTTTTTATGTTTTGCAATCTAAATGAATAGGTGGTTAGGTGTATTTTGTGTGTTAGAGTGTCATATACCACTAAGGCAGTGATGTGAAAGTCCAAGTACTCATGTAATAGGCTTTTTGTAGCCACATTTTGAATGGAATGAAAATGGTTAAAATGTGAAGTCAAAAAATCCATTAGAAGTTCATAAGTTTGTTGAATATAACAACTCAAACAAGTTTACCTCAACATCACTCACAAAATTGTGATTGATGGAGCAACATACTTGTTCAAATTGAAATTCAATGGAGTCCCTTCATCATATGGATTACACAATAACAACATACTCACAATAATAAAGGGACTCTACACTGAGTACTACAAAGGCAACAATGAGGGACTCACATTCAAGGTGTTCTCTTCCACAAAGGTCATTGAGAACATTATATGCAACACACAACCCAAATTAGCCTCATCATTCATCAACCATATTCCCTTATAGGCCAAAACTAGTTCTAACATGGTGATCACACAAAAAAAAATACATTTAGGGCCATTAACACACATCAGAACCAGCATTCTGTCCACAAAGCCATCATACACCAAGAATCAATCAACAAACAACAACAAGAATAAAGCCAACAATTACACCAAAAATTAGCCAAAAATACTCCAGCAACAATATTCAGTCACCCATCAACACCCACAACCAGATTCAAGGCCAAAAATAACCAGATCCAACAAATTATCCACAACCCATCAACAAACACAAACAACAACATTGAACACCAAAAATCAATCATTAATTTGGGACTTCATCAACCACAATATAATTAGCACACAATCAAACAGATCCATCAATAAATAGGGACTCAAATAAAGTAAAGAATAAATTAGGGTTAGGAATCGTTACGAGAGCACTCAGAGGGTTGAACCCTAGGGTTCATCCGTCTCACGTAGCAGTGCACAACAGGGACAGAGGAAGCGGCAACCTTTGGCTTCTTGGAGGGTGGTTCCTCATCAGATGACAAAACGATGTACTCGTTGTCAGGGAGCCCACGCATCCTACGCAACGCCACACGCGCCGCCTTCCTCCAAGTACGAACCTTTGGTGGTGGGCGTTCCCTCTTAGATTTGGGCTTAGTTGGGGCCACAACATTCCCCTCTCCACTCTCAGCCACCAGATCTAGAGGAGCCTCAGAGAAATCGAGTGACTTCCGACGGGACTCACCTTGTCCTTCCTCCCTCTTCTGCTTTTCTTCCTCATCTATGCTTTTAAGGACTTGACCCAGAGCTCTGTAGGTGTGTAAGGAACAATAGGGACCCGTTTCACTTGACTCATAGAACTGACGAGGGAAGGGAGATCCAGTCTCAAAGCAGTGGATGATATTGGAGATCAGATTCTCCTCTCCTTTGTCGTTGGTTGCCATGTAAGCATCCTTCAAAGGATCCAAGTTAACCATTGTTGAGGAGGGAGTTGTGTTTGAGAAAGATCGAAGGAGAGAGGAAGTGGGAAATCGAAGAAAAGAGGAGAGAGGAAGTGCAGATTTGGAGAGAGGAAGTGGGAAATCGAAGAACACAGGAGAGAGAAAACCCCAATTGATGAAATAGGGTTCATCTCGAGAAATCTCCATAAGAAATAGAGAAGCTCAACAATCATCATTAATTGAAGGTGGTTGGGAATGTGAGTAATGAGATAGTTAGGGGGAATTGGGGGTAATAAATGGAGGGAGTCATTAGATTTAGGTGATGTGATTAGATTAGGTTAATATGATTAGATTAGAGTAAGGGCAAAGATTAAAATAAAAAAAGTTAGTTAAGTAAGGGTAAAACTGTCATTTCACACTGTTTTCCTTACTAAAAATAGGAATAAATCTGAAAGTTGCACATAATACAAAACATCCCGAAATGGCAAAAGTTGCACATAACATTTAACGGAGGTAGTATAAAACTTACTTGAATATGATCAAAAGCAAAAATCAAGCATTCATAGAACAAAAATCAAGCAAATATCATAACCACTTTAAGTAGATCACCTTCCACCGGATAACAAAATCAATCTATATAAAACCCCTATTAAATTTATAAAAATTGAGAGTGAGGGATAGCTCAAGTGGTTAGGGCTTTCCTCTCGATTTTAGGAGATACCCCGCCCTTGTGACTCTCTTAAGACCAAAAAAAAATTTAAAAATAAATTGTTATTATTGCTTGCTACTAAAAAAAAAGTAATAAAAAAAAATTGTTATTATTGCTTGCTTCTAATCCTGGGCACCGTGCCGTGCAAGGCCGCCGCGGGCCGTGCCTGGCGGGCCACGGGCTGGTTCGTGCCGTGCCGGTCGTGCCGGCGGGCCCAGGATTTCGTGCCGTGCCGTGCCGGCCATTTTCACAGGCCAGCCCACGGCACGGCACGGCCCTCGTGCCTGGCGGGCTCGTGCCGTGCCGGCCACGTGCCGGCCTGCGGGCTGATGCAGTTTTCATTTTTTTTTTTTTTTTTTTTTTTTTTAATGACAACATTATAAATTAATAAGTTTATAATGTATATAAGTTATAAAATTATAATTATAAGTTTTATAAGGTAACTTATAAGTTTATAACTTATAAGTTATAAGTTATTAAGTTATGAATTTTATAATTATAAGTTGAATATTTATGTTTTATAATTTGTATATTCAATATTTATATTTATATATTTACTTTATACTATTACTTTAAAATTTAATGTTTATGATTTATTAGTAATTGGTATAATTTTATTTATTTTTAATATGAATTTACAAATTGTAACAAAACGGGGAAAAAAGGCAAATTGGACTTTGGATGTGAATAATGCGTACTTTATATTATTATTACTTGAGTTGAGAAAATTGTACAATGATAACAATGATAAAAATCATACAATGATGGTATTAAACAAAAATTGGAAAATGATAAAATTGATATTTTTAAAATCGTACAATATACAATAATTGTCTATTCTTCTTCTCCTTCTTCTTGCTCGTCTTCGTCTTCGTCTTCGTCTTCGTCTTCGCCTTCGCCTTCAAGGTCATCGGCTAGTTGCATAGATTGGGAACTAGCCGAACCCGAACCGGAAGCGGAGGTTCCTTCTTCGTTGTCGTTGTGGTCGTAAGAACGGTCTTGTGAGCGATTTTCCGCATCCAACCAATCTTTGAAACACACGCACATTTCTAGTGTTTCGGGTTTTAGACTTGTTCTTCTATCGTCTAAAACCCTTCCGGATGCGCTGAAAGCTCGTTCGGAGGCGACGGAGGAAACTTGGATAGCAAGAATGTCTCGTGCCATTGCCGCCAAAGTTGGATGCTTCGAGCTTTGTTGTTTCCACCATGCAAGGAGGTCGAGGCTGTTTATCTCATCGTCGTCCATGCCTTTGGTGAAGTCGTAACTCAGGTACATCTGCAACTCCGAGACGTCGCTTTGCGTTCTCCTGATTGATGAATCACCTGAAAACCTTGAAATCAAGTTAGTAGCTTGTGAAAATAAATGTTTGGCCTTCTTACTTACGTTTTTGGATGGTTGGGAAGGCCCTGAGCGAGGAACGGTGCCATATTTGGCTTCATAGACTCTATATAAAGCAAAAAACTGATCCTTCACATTAGTCTTATAGTTTTCTACATCATCGTCAAGAAACATGCATTGAAAGTAAATGTCAACTAACATAAATGTGTTTTCATACTTTTGCCTAGGATCTAATATGGAAGCAAAAATATAAATCAAAGGAATCTCACTATAATATTTACGCCACTTTTTTTCCATTGCTGGAAGATACTGATCATAATCACTTTGATCGCGATGATCAGCGAAAAGTTGGGCGAGTAAGCATGCATTAGAAAGAAAGTTTTGAGCACAAGGATTGTAAACAGTAGAAAAACAATACGTCATGTTATATAATAACTGTAAAAATTGCATATATCTTTCACAGTTATTCCAATCATCATCATACAAAGCATTTTGTGGAAATTTTTGGTTGTAAAATAATGTTAACGGGCCCTTGTACTCAATTGCCTTTGTTAACATGTCATAGGTGGAATTCCACCTAGTTGGGCAATCGGTTCTAATTTTTATTACCCTTATCTTTTGTTGTTTTAGAAAACTCTTCCATTCTTGGTATCTCATGTTAGAGCTATTAATAGACATAATAGCATCTCTGATTTTGCTGTAGTATGGGCCAATTGCCCGAACTCCATCCTGTACACATAAGTTAAGTACATGGCAAACACATCTAGTATGAAGAGCTTCACCGTCTAATAGTACATCGGTTAAGTTTTGTTTGATAAGATTAGCTGTGTATGTCATAGAGGTTGCATTATCAAAAGTCATAGACATCATTTTATCTCGAAGGTTGTATTCGTCTATTGCTTGCATTAAATGGTGAGCAATGTTAATGCCGGTGTGTGGGTATTCCAGCATTTTGAAATGTATTATTCTTTTTTGTAACATCCATTGATCATCTACCCAATGGCAAGTCACACATAAATAGTGATATTTATAACCACTATCCCAAGAATCGGCTGTTAAAGATACTCTACAGTTAAGGTTACTCAATTCGGCTTGTAACCGGACTTTGTACTCTAGGAAATTTTACATTGCGGCGGAACGAACGGTTTTCCTAGAGATTCTTTTATGTTGGGGTTGTAGTGCTTTGTTAATGTAGGTGTTGAATGCGTCACTTTCCGAGAAAAGAAAAGGTTGTTCGACGTGTACTATCATTTTTCCTAGTTCATCCCTATCCCTCTCGTAGTTGTATGTAAAGCCGTATGGATGGAATTGGGAAATTTTGGGCTGGGTTGGATCACTAGCTGGTTTTGCACAAGCTTTCATGTGTCTAGATAAATGTCCCGTCCCGTTTTTGGTAACTGCCGTGAATACACTATTACATGTTTTACATTTTGCCCATTGTTCACCATCTTTACTTAGGACAAAATAACGCCATACCTCACTCCTTCGGTTTTTCAAAAGTAGCATCTCAGTTTCGGTTAACCATTCATGATGTGTGTGATGGTTAGTAGGGGGACTAGTGGGAGTGGCAGTAGAAGGGGTAGAACCGGAGGGAATTCGGGTACTTTCTTGGCTACCTTGGCTAGAACAATAGTTTTGTTGATTACCGATATAATTAGGTGGAAATTGGTATGGTGGTAGTGGAAATTAGTTTAGTGGTGGTGCTGGAAATCCCGACGTATTATATGGCTCATAGCCCGGGGGGAAGTAAATGGGGTCATTGGTTTGACTCGTAATTTGGGGGCTCGTTGTATTTGGTGGTTCCCTAGAACTACTACTACGGATAAGTCGGCCTTTCCCCCTAGACCTAGATGATGGGTTGTTCGATGCCATAATTAACAATTAATTTTTTAATAAAAAGTGGTTAACTATAATAATAATAATTAATAACAACAATTTTAACAATAAAAATATCAATAATAATAATTAATAACAACAACTATAACAATAACAATAACAACAAAAATAAATAATAACAACAATTGTAACAATAATAATAATTAATAACAACAATTATAACAACAACAATAACAATTAACAACAATAATAATTAAACAAGATTATTCTAATAATAACAATAAAACAATAATAAATTTAAGATTAGTTTAGATCTTACAACCGTGCTTCAACGCTCCACTAATTACGATTACGAACTTTTTAATTTTTTCCGATATTAGGAAAATAATTAGAGAATTTAAGAGAATAATTAGAGAATTTAAGAAAATAAGGATTATTAGAGATTTAGAGAATATAAGAGATAAGAAGAAGAGATTGTGATTTGGGAATGAAATGGAGGTGAGTATTTATAGAATTTTTGGCAAAAAACTAGCCGTTTTATAGCCGTTTATAGCCGTTTTATAGCCGTTGGCCCGCGGGCCGTGCCTACGGGCCGTGCCTGCGGGCCATGTCCGTGCTCGTGCCGGGCCGTGCCTGGGAATTCTCCACCGTGTCCGTGGCACGGCCCGTGGCACGGAAGTTGAACTTCGTGCCGTGCCGTGCTTGACTTCGGGCCGTGCCGGGCTGCGCCGAACGGCGGGCCGTGCCGGGCGGCACGCGGGCCAACCCGGCCCCTGCCCAGGTTTACTTGCTTCTCAAAAAAAAAAAGTAATAATAATAAAAAAAATTCCCTCCAAGTCCAAAAGGATTTTTTGTTTGGATGTGATTTAAATTTGAAATTAATCCATAAAAAATATTTAAAAGAAAAAAAAAAAAAAGTAAAGTAAAGTACATAGATTCAGATTCTTTCTTTCTTTAGTTCGAACTTCGAAGAGTGGACTAGTCTTTTAAACATTTGACTTTTTTAGCAACCAAAATTGGAGAGAAAAAATGGCGGAAGAAGCAGGACATTCCCAGAGAAATGATACGGTGCGACGAAGAGTAGGGTTAGTCTACGATGAACGAATGTGCAACCATACTACTCCTGATGGTGATGATCATCCTGAATGTCCTGATCGAATTAGGGTTATTTGGAACAAACTTCGTTATTCCGGTCTCACTGAAAGGTTTCTCTTTTTTCCCCCTTTATTTCTATTTTTAATTTTAATTTCAATTATTTGTTTGCTATTTTTTCTGATTTTTGGTTTTTTAATGTGGTTATTATGTTAATTTTTTTGTTTTGTGTGAAAGTTGTGCAAAATTGAAGTAGAATTTACTATTTTTATTGGGTTTGGGTGATGATTTGTTTATGAAATTTTTTGTGAGGAATTTGGTGTTATGATTTGTTTAATGTGTGTGGTGGTTGAAGTTGTTTAGAATTGCTAGTAGACGAACAAGGGGATTTGTGTATTGTTAAATGAAAGAGGTTTTGATTGTAGAGTTTGAATTTGGTGGAGTAGGGACTATGGTATTCTTAGCAAATGTATAATCTTTTGTGAGGATCTTCATGATTAGGTCTTTTTATTTAGAATTGCTAGTAAATGAGCGCAAATTTGTGTAAGGTTAAATGAAAGAAGTTTTGTGTAATGGACTGATGTTTATTGCTAATAACAGTAAAATTATAGAGAAAGATTGATTCTTTGAATAATGTAGATTATCTGATTTTTGTAAGTTGCAAGAATTAATAAAGATGGAAGCTTTAAGTTTGATTGATGATGGAGAAAGGGTTACAAGGGATAATGTAATAGCTTAAGGCTATCAATCTTCGATAGTGAGTTTAGCTCACAACTCTCCAATAATGGCTTTAAGCCATAACTCTCCAAAAGGTTCACACCAAATTTCTACCTGCCTATTTCCTTTCCTTCCCTTCCCTCTCTAATTATACTAAGGACTCTTAACCTAGTGAGCTAATATTAGAACACCTATACTACCCCTCCTTAGGTTGATCTATCACATTTTGATTGTAGAGTTTGAATTTGGCGGAGTAGGGACTATGATATTCATGATTAGGTCTTTTAATTTAGAGTTGCTAGTAGATGAGCGCAAAGAAGTTTTGATTGTGCATTCGAATTTGGCGCTGCAGTGTAGGGACTATGTTATTCTTTGTAAATTTAGTATCTTTTGCGAGGGTTTTCGTGATTTGGTCACTTAATTTTGTTCTTTAAGTGGAAGCATTTGGTTTGAATTAGTAACGAGAGCCCCTATAAATTGGCCTTGGTAATGTATTGTGGGACGAGATTTGTCTACGGTCTAGTACGTGTCACTATTGAAGTTCAGGTTGTTATTGTCTTTAAATTTTGTTGGTAAGGTTTTGTGTACTTTATATGGAGTTTGCTGGACTGAAGGAGAATGGACTATCCATAGGTTATTTAGGCTGTGGACGTGTGCAGTTCTAGAGAATGGTTTACCAAATTCTTTGAAGACGTGCAAAAGATGTAAAGGATTGCTTGATGTTGTGCACCTTTTGCATCTAACTTTTATGAACAACTATTGTGTTGGAACTTGGAATTAAGTAAATGATCAAATCCACAACTTTGTATGGAGAGCAAAAACAGTGGGAAAGTGCTATGTTGTATACTTTTAGATTTTTCTGCAATCATAACAATGTATATTTCCTTTGAAAATCTCAGTTAACGGTAACTTCAAGAATAATATAAGAAAGTTCAAATGTTAACTCACCCTAAACTTTATGTTACCTTTTTTTCTAGGGATAGTACAGAAAAAGTGTTTGCTGATATAGTCTTGTGCAAATCCGCAGCCTCTTTGTGGTCCTGTTGTGGTTGCTTGAAAAATGAAAGCAGTGTTTATGTAAAGCTGTGCAAGTTCAGTATTATTTTTTCATGAGTACCTTATATAGTTTAGAGCACCATTATACTGCAACTCTATTATTGAATGTGTACTCTAAAATTTTATATTTTCCTTTCTCTTTTTTCAGGTGTGTTGTTTTGGATGCTAAGGAAGCAGAGGATAAATACATACAATCTGTTCACTCCAAAACCCATGTTGACCTGATCCGCAATATAAGCTCCAAGCAGTTTGATTCTCGCAGAGATAGGATCGCTTCGAAATATAATTCTATTTATCTTAACAAAGGTTCATCAGAAGCAGCTTATTTAGCTGCAGGGTCTGTTATAGAGGTAATAAGTTCAGCACAATGCTGAGCTGCTCCAATTAATGGCTGCCCTTGATTGTTAATTTGTTATAATACACTGTCCACTGTTAAAATTTGGTAACTTTTCCTTATAATGGAATTATGCAGGATCTGGATACTGTGACCAAATTGGCATAATTTAAATCTATAAATGTTGAAAGTGTGTTAAAAATTAGTTAGCAAACTATTTAGGCTAGTAAATAGAAATAATAATGATACTACGTTAAATCTCGTAAGTTTTTTATGGTTACTATTTGCTCACAAATTAAGCTTAATGGAGAGAGTGTTGATGCAGTGAGTAGGTGTAAGAAAAAAGTGGAAAAAGTAAGAGACCGAGAGTCAGTGGAAAGGAGTAAATATTGTGGGGGTAAGGAGGGAAGGTAAATCTGCAAGCAGCCTTGTTCATACCATTGTAGGGAGTCTGTTATGCTGAAATCTTTAATGAAAAGTCATTGACTATTTTTACTCCATTAAATTTAATCCAGTGATCCAGTCTGTGATCTGTCTACTGTTGGTGTTTCATTGTATGCCTTGTTACAACTCTTACAAGAGTCCTATTTGGCTCTTCCTTATTAGCATACTTCCTCTGTTTTTTTACAAGTGCGAAGTGTAGGAGAAGTACATTTTTTTTTTGTGTGTAGGAAAGATAAAGGGAGATAAAGAAGTGGACCCAGGTGATGAGGAGAGAGATAAAGAGGGATCATTTCCATAAGTAGTGATGTTGCACTTATTAAAAAAATGGAGGAAGTATATATTTCTAATATCATGACTCAAAGTCATTTCATTGTAGAGGAACTTCTTGTCATTACTTTTCTCTCTAAAAATCTTTAGAAAAATTATGAACTTTGGACGTCAAATATTTGTATTGGACAAAAATGCTAGTTCATGGTTTCTCTTGCAATTGCAAAGGCTTATTTCTTTTTTTGCCTTTTTGCTGGGGACTAGGCCACTGGGTGTTTTTCCTTCGTGTTGTTTGTATTAATGTTGTTATGAACTAAAACTAAGATGACTAGGCGGCAGAGAAAGTAGCCAAAGGGGAGCTTGATTCTGCTTTTGCAATTGTGAGGCCTCCTGGCCATCATGCCGAGGAAAATGAGCCCATGGGTTTTTGTATGTTCAATAATGTGGCTGTTGCAGCTAGTTATCTGCTGAATGAAAGAGTGAGATTTCTCTGCTGACGCCCCCTTCCATCAGTTTATTGAAGGACCTGAATTTTTTTTTTTTAAAAAAAAAAGAAGAAAAAGAAATTGTTTGTGTTGATTATTGATTGACTTTACTTTTTTTTTTGAATATTTTGTTCCCAGGCAGAATTGGGAATTCACAGAATTTTGATTGTTGATTGGGATGTTCATCATGGCAATGCCACTCAGAAAATGTTTTGGAAGGATTCTCGTGTTCTTTTCTTCTCAGTACACAGGTAAAAATTAGAAAATTTTACTATGTCTATTCTTCGAATGGTTATGTAATATTTTCCGAGTGTTTCATTTTCTCTGTATGAATTCAAACAATTAGGATACATATATCCTTAATATTTTTATTCATTGGCTCGTTGTATTTTTAGGCATGACTTTGGATGTTTTTATCCTGGAACTGATGATGGCGATCTTAGTATGATTGGAGAAGGACCAGGGGAGGGATACAACATTAATGTGCCCTGGGAACAAGGTCGATGTGGTGATCCAGACTATTTTGCTGCTTGGGACCACATATTGATCCCCGTTGCTAAAGAATTCAATCCAGACATGATTATAGTTTCTGCCGGGTTTGATGCAGGTTGATTAAGATGAAATTGGTTAATGGCTTTCATTAATTTCTGTGTGAACTGTGTAGTACCGAAACAGTCCCTAGTTATTAGACCATTGATGAACAATCAAGCTGTTCAACTATTGCCCAGGCCATTTTTTATGCTAACTTTGTTGAGATTTTGACAATTTTATCTATTTTGTCTAATAATGACATCCAGTAATTCTTTTCTCTTAAAACTTTTACTCTTTAGTTGTCAACTTGTCATAATATGATCTTGGGATGCTTAGACTATAAGCAAATCCATGGAACAGCTTGAGTTCCCTTCCATATTTGATGGTTTTGAAATTCAAAAAAATTCTAAAAAGTTGTTTGGTACTTTCCGATCTTTTTTTCTATTCTTAAAATGTTGCATTATCTGTAGCTGGTAGATGTGATTTTGTGATCATTTATCTAGATTTATATTATTAAGTTTCTCTAGGTATTAAAAGTGTTTTTGCAACAGCTGTTCGTGATCCTCTTGGCGGTTGCTGTATTTCTCCATATGGCTACTCTGTTTTGCTGAGAAAGGTTGGTATATAAATAATTTTAGGCATATATGCTTGTTAACGTGTTTTACATTGTGGACCTTGTGGTACGAATCATTGTTCTTTATGGCATAGTGCTGGTAAGCTTGGTTGTTTACATGTTAATGGTTTGGTATTTGTTAAGTTGAATGTTTTTTACAATCTTGGTAAAAGATTTTTCTGCTAAGTTAAGTCCCCAAAATGCTTGTTGGATAACTGTGCTTGACCAACCATGATAAAAGGATGACAAAGCACATAGCTGTATTCTACATTTTATCTTTGAATTCTTTGTAGGTCCTGTTGCTTACCAAAACTTGCTCTTTTCTTATACTCTGTTTTTGTAGTTAATGGATTTTGCCCAAGGTAAAATTTTACTTTCTTTGGAAGGCGGGTATAATCTTGAATCTTTGGCAAATTCCGCTCATGCATGTGTGCAAGTGTTGTTAGAAGAAAAGCCAATTGATGGATCTTCTGAGGCTTATCCATTTGAATCAACATGGCGCGTCATAGAAAATGTGAGTATATATGTGGTTTTTATTATTTAATTTTGATGTACAGCACCTTGACTTTGAGGGCATATTCCTGTATTACTATGAAAAGTGCATGTATTATCATAGGTTCGGCTAAAATTGAGTGTGTATTGGCCAAGCCTCGCCAATGAATTACCAAAAAAGCTAACAAGCCAGAAAGCGCCTGCATCTCAGGTAATACTTTAACTTCATGAATCTTGGCCATAATGAATTTGCTTGTCATTTTCCATATATTTGTGGCCAAAGCCTATTTGGAATCTTGAGAGATTACAATCGAATGAAATATAATACTTTTCACGATTTTTCTATACCTCAAAATATAGTCTTATGAGATCTTGTTAGATTCATCTTGATTTTTAGTTTCCAAATATGTAATATTCAGACTTTTTTTATATTATGTTGCTTGAGATATTATTATTACAATATTGCATTGAAAATTGTGCAAAAAGCAAATCGGATGAGGCATTGTAAATTTGTAATAGAAGGGATGATGTTGTGATGGTAAAACGAGGGAAATGGATGAGGCATTTATTATTAACCTCAGTTTTGAGTGTGTGTGTTGGGGTGGGGGGAGGTTGATTTTTGGGGTGATAATTCCCCTTTCTTCCCTCCTCGCACAATCACTACCTCAACCCATCTACCACTGTTATCTACCTTCATTTTTATATATATTTTTCTTCTATATCTCCCTTAATGCGTTAATTGCAATCTCAGCATTCTCTTAGAGGTTAACCTGACTTCTCATCTGCCTATTTTATCAAATGACTTATAATTGAGATATATGCTACCTCCATTTTATTTATTTATCACAATCAATATTCCATTAATGTGTCACTGAATTCTTCTGCAAACAGCTGCTGGTTGAAGTGAGCTCTGAGTCTGAAACTGAAGATATTGAGGAAGCTATCAAGGATATTATACAACCACTTTCAGCACTGAAAGTTGATGAAGGTCCGGATAGAAGGAATTTTATTTCTTCCAAGCAAGTATTAGAAGTTTCCAGCCACTACCCTTTTCTGCCCCTCCCCATCTAATTTCATTTGCTGTCTTATTGGAGTGCAGATCAGAAGGATGCTTCAGTCTCTTGGAGAGCTGAGCAGAAGCTAATTGATATTTGGTATGCATCTTTTGGTTCAAATATGTGGAAACCGAGACTTCTCTGTTATATCCAAGGTGGACAGGTAAACTATGTTGTCTACATGCAAGTAATTGCTAAAAATAATATTTTAGAATTGGTTTGATGGACTAAATTAGTGGCTGCTGCTGACTTATGTTTGCATGAATCTCATGCTCTATATGTCCTTTCCTGTTAATAAAAGTAATTATGCTGTTTTTTCTCTGTACGCCATTGTAATTAAACACCAGAGTATAACCTCTAGATGTCCCATATAAAATAGAACATATACGTAGCCTACTGCATTTAATTTCATGCTCAAATGGCAACTTTCAGTGTCTGGAGAGTGGTGGTTTGTGTTGTCCTCAAGGAGGTTTTTGGGTAAAGTTATCTTATAGTTGTAATCTGAAGGTTCTGTGATATGTTACTAGAGTCGATAGTGAGTTATGTATATGTCAGTCCTCATTTGGCTTTTTTAATTTGCTGATGTAATCAGGTGGAAGGTATGCAAAAGTCATGTTCAGGTTCCATGGACAGTAGCCCACCAAAAGATGTCATGTGGAAGTGTATTCCACATAGATTATTCTTTGGCCGTGATTATACTAAAACATGGGGTCCTGGTGGAGTTGCTTTCCTTCATCCTGAAAGTAGTGCAGTGGAAAAATCTTATATCTGCATGTATAAACTTACGTAAGTGATCTTTTTCCATCTTTTCTTATATCATCTCGCCCAACCCCCCCCCCCCCCCCCCCACACACACACGGATGCACAACCCCCCAAGTTGGGTGTACAGCTTGGTATGTCATTAACAGCTTCAGCAAACATCTAACATTTAAAATGCCAACTCTGATTTGTATATAGGCTGGAGCAGTTTAATGATGTTTTGTTTCAAGAAAATTCCTTAAGTTGTAATGTTGATGCTCCTTGGATTACATCGGAAGCTCTTAATACTGTTAAAAATACTGGATCCTTCTCCATTGCTGAGGTGAGTTGTACAGCCCTATATACAGTGCACATCTAAATTCCAGAGTTCGGATATAATTGTGCAATATAATTCTAATAGTCCTGCTTCAAGTTAATTTCATGATTTTACCATAATATTTATTAGGATTCAAGTGGTGTGATAATGGGACCTAAATTTAGTTTTGACATCCACTAGTTATACTTATTCTCCCCCCAACCTCCTTTCACTCCATTTCTCCTGTTTTTGATGGTAGGAGCAAGGAAAATTTTCATCTGCTATGCTAATTAAAGCAATTTCTTTCAAATGCAGGGAGGTTGGTATCGAAATGTAGTCTTTTTGGGCGAGGAGCAGGGTGTTCCTATCCTTACCATGACGTACGTTTTACAAGTCTTGTTATCCGTGGATTGTAAATGATGAGTTCCACAAACCAGTATCAAATGATGTGACTTTTTCTATTTCAGGTGTGATCTGCATGATGTACAGGCCTTCAAATCTGCAAAATTACCACGATGTGCTCCTGGCAGTTTTTATGCTAATACCTTGATCAGGGGACTGTCAGAAGGAGGACAGCTTTCAGAAGAAGAAGCATTAGCTTACATAAAAGAAGCTGCTGCAAGACCTCTCTGATTCTAGATGGAGCAGATTCTTAATTTATTGTAAAAATCATTATTTTGGATAATCATTGATTAGTGATGATGCAAAGTTGCTTGCACTAGATTTTGTAAATATGTTGTGCCCTAATTTGTAAATTAGCTTGGCTACTTAATTCTATGCTACAGTACTGCCTCAGTGATTGTTATTGGGGGGCATATCAATTTCTTAGTCCTATGAACATGTCAAAGTTCTTTGTAAGGATGGATCAGCATTTCTGTTAATTTATTATTAATGAAGGATTGGATTTTTTTTATTTTTTTTTTTTTATTTTTTTTTTTATTTTTTTTTTTTTTGTGTGTGTGTGTGTGTGTACCAGCTTCAGAAGCCAATTTCTGCAAGTACTTACGGCCATTACGGGCATACAAGAGTCAGGCAGCCTACATAAAAATTGGGCATGTCTGCAATCGTTCTTGCAAAGAAACCTCTGTAATGCAGTTAAAGCTATAATATCTACTTACGGGATACACAAGCTAAGCAAAAAACGTAGTCATTGGAGTATATCTCTTTACAGCTTAATTTATATGAAGTTCCATGTAAACATTTAGTACAAAAAATTTTGCCTTTCGAGTTACCTTTCTTCTTTCCTGTCTACTATCTTTCTTGTTTCCAGCACAGTACAAATAATTTTTGCTAACCTCCCTTGCCCCGTCAAAAAATACAGATAAAGAACATCCATCCAAAGATGGCACAAACAATTACATAACCTGGTCATCCTGACATGAAAAAAATTTGGCTACATCCAAAATTCTCTCTTATGTTGAAGAGACTCGAGCAAGATATCCCAATGCAACAGATTTTGTGGATATTAGCTCCCAAGAATTGACAGGCCAAGACAACATCTATTCTTGAACGTAGAATAATCATCCTCATGCAGCTAATCAGCACCATCAATATGAGGGAGAAGAATGTGTTCATGCAAGACAATTTCCAATTCATCATCTAATTTTCACCGTTGCATGACCAGTTTCACTTAAATGTTTGTGAAGTTTAGATCTGTCAAACGCACCACATTAAAATTGAAACAACCAGGACTACGACAAACATCAAAGCAACAGTTTAGTTAAACAAGGATTAGTGACAAATTTTATTATTACCTTGACTCAAACTCTTCCCCACATTTTTCACATACAGGTTCATGATTTTTAGATTTTTCCTGCAGCAATTCAGAATGTAAGTTTAGTATAAGCATGCAAACAAACTGGTTAAATAAATAAAAAAGAGGTAAGAGCTTTGTTCCTAACAAATCAACCAGCAACTTAGCATCAAGTAATAAAGTAAGACATGTTCATTAAAGCATGGAAGTTTAAGGTTAGAGATTCATGTACAAAACTTTTCCACAAGTTTACTCTTCTACTCTTAGGGCAGAGAGTAATGTGAAATAGGCAACCGTAGAATGTAAGATAGAACTTCCAAGAGGACTAATCTAGCATGGTCTAACATTTAACTTAATTTTGTTTAATATAAAATTGTAGTAAAAAAGCAAACCGTGAACGAGGATTATCCAATAATCATACCTATTCTTACAAGAAAAAGCAATAAATTAATTGATTCATTTCAATCAATTGATTGAGTATAGTATATAGGTAAATATTAGGATATAAAGATATCAAATTAAAGGATAGGAAATAGAACTATGCATATTTACATAATATGTTATTGAAAATTTATCCTTCCACAAGGATATTCTTTTTACTAATTAAATCATATGAGGAAATTTATTTTTAAAATATCATCTATTTAAGTTCATTATACTACACGTTATAGCATTGGTAGATTGGTCATAGTAATTGAAGGAATTGTGTCCTCGATAAGGATGAGATTATAGAGCAAATAGTTATAGGTTTGTTTATTTGGGTCATCATTATATCTTATTAGAGACCAATATTGACCATTGAGCTAAAATGAAATAAACACAATGCCCACCTAAACGAATCTTATGAGGTCAGACATAAAATGTTGGATTTTAAAAATAAATAAATAAATAAAATAAACCGAACCAAAGTAGGCTTAGTGTGCCAAACGGAAGTTGCCCTAATAATATGATCATATAATTAGGGATTTGGGAATATAAAGTACTTGTAATACACATCATATTTCACCCAAAGAAACTACATATAATTTCGTCTCCTCTCTCACAAATAGCCGACTATTTTCTCCAAGAATGAGAAGGTAGAGGTTTGATCTACAACGGTGGAATATTTGTAGAGGAGCTTCGGTTGCAGCTCTAGATCTCCCAAAATGTCAATTTTGCATTGAAGAATATCAAGCTACAAAGGTTGTACTCTAATATTATATGATCCTTCAATTGTATATGCATGTTGATCTTGGTTAAGGTGCAATGTAAATGACACATGAATTTTTGCTAAAAGTACCTAAAACCCTATATAGTATGTGAGTTACACCGAGTAAAATTTCATGTATCATATCCATAGCACTCAAACCAAGACCAAAATGCATATACAATCAAAGGATCACAAAATAGATTAGAGTACCGCCTTCGTAGCATGATTTTTCTCTATGCAAACTAGACATTTTGGGAGATTAAGAACCACAACTAAAGCTCCTCTACAAATATTCCATCGGTGTAGATCAAACCTCCGCCGACCGAAGAAAACCACCTCCTCCTTCTTGGAGACTTAGAGTATAGAATTGGCTATGTGAGCGGGAGGGAGAGTAAAACTATACGTAATTTCTTTCGGGTAAAATATACTGTGTATATGTTTTATTCCCAAACCCCAACTAAATGATCATATTACTATAATTAGGGCAACTTAATACTCCCCTTTTCCACTCCACTTGGTCGGCCACACCAAGCCCTTACTTTGGCTCGTTTTTTCTTTTGTTTGATCTAACACATTATGTCTAATCTTATACAATCCGTTTAGGTCAGCGTTGCATTTATTTCGTTTTAGTCCATTGATCAATATTGATCTCTAGTAAGACATAACGAGGACCCAAATAAAGGAACTTATTATATCCCGAATGCGATCTTATTATTTAGTAATTGCAAGTGAGTCAAGAACACAATTCCTTCCGTTTTAACTATTGGGAAATAAAACAAGCAATAAATAGAAATATGGGCATATTACACGCAGGCAAGCCATATGCTCATAATAATAGTGTGCCTTTGAGGGTAGGTAAATCATACTTCCCCCGTCCCACTATATTTTTAATATGAAAATTTCATAAGAATTAAGAAGTTTGGAACATCTATGATTTGCAATTATTATTTTTCATTTGTAATTGTATTTTTATTGGAAATTACACTATTCAATGTCGGGAGAAGATAAAAGTATAGATGTTATTGTTGCATTCTAAACACTCTTGCAAAAAAGACCAAAAATCATTTTCCCGTAATCTCGTGCATAAAAGGGTACAATTTTCTGGAAAAAATGAGGATAAAAATACGAGTGCAAATGTTTTTACTCCCGAAAACATTGAATCATGTAATTTCCTAAAAGATTACAATTGCAAATGTTTTTTCTTCCTCAAACATTGAATCATGTAATTTCCAATAGAAATACAATTACAAATGTAAGGTAATAATTGCAAATCATACATGTTCCAAAATACCTTAATTCCAATGAAATTTTCTCAATGGGAAAAGTATGGTAGGAAGGAGGGACTATTTTGGAATACCATAATAGGAAATGGAAAAATTATTTTAGGACACCCGAAAAGGAAAGTATAGTAGAGGGAATAGTATCTAGAGAAGCAACTCGTCCAGCAGGTATGTGCAAGAAAGTGAGAAGCAGCTTTCAGTGGATCTTATGGTCATAAAGGGTATTTGATGGTACTGAAATTATTTTTCAATGAGGAATATCTTTTATTTATATTTACTCCCTATCAAACAATAACCCAATCTTCCTCAAGAATGAATATTATTCTCCATTCAGCGACAAATGTTTGCATCTCTCAAGTTACTTTACACCAAATACTATTTCAGGATACAAACTAGATATCGCATAAGAAAAAAAAAAAGTTACCAAGATGGATATTATTATTGCATATGATAATTGCACATGATATAAGTAATGTCGAAAACAAAGATCATCGCAAACAATGAGCAGGAAATCGCTACAAAGTACTGGATAAAATTAATACTAGTTATACTACTCACCTTTTGTTTCCTTCCTTTACACGGGTTCTTTGGTTTTGCCTCAGTATCTCGCTTGATGGTACCTTTTTCTTTCCTTCCAAAAGATTTTTTCCCGGCCTTGGTACTAGTTTGTGGGTCATGATCAACTTGATCATCATCCCCATTGTTTGATGTATCTGAAACACTGAGTCCATTGTTTTCCATAACTGGCACATTGTCCTTCTCTTTCTTGGCTCTTCTGCTCTTCTTTTTTACTTTCTTGTTATTATACTCCATAGGTTCTATATCATCCTCACTCTGAACATTATTGCTTTCAAAAGATTCATTCTTTGAAGTCACATGCTTCTTATTCCGGCGACCAGATATCATGGCTTCAAGATCAACTGACTCATCATCGGATCCACCAGGACACTGTCTAATATCATTCAATTCATCATTACCAATGCCATCTTCTTTATCAGAAGGGAGTTCATATCTACTTTTTCCCTCCTCAAACCCAACACTTTCCTGAAACCTCTCTTCTAACTCATCAACATCATCCTCTGCAGACACAAAACCATCATCAACGACAACGTTCTCAGACTTCTCACTGTCCACATTCCCTGCCACATCATTATTATCATCCACATTTCCTGCCACAGGCTCCACAGTTTCATGTTGAATTCCACCATCAACATCCACCTGTTCGACATCCTCAAAATCATCTTCCTCAATAAAAGACTTCCTCAAATAAGCCACCTTCTCCTTATGTTTCTTCGACTGCTCATGATTCTTCCACTGCTTGTCCGACTTAAACTTCTTCCCACAAGCAGCACAATACAACTCCTTCCTCTCCTCCTCTCCCTTCCCATCCTCCTCTAAATCCTCCAACTCCACTTCCTCAACCTTAGCCCAATCTGGCTCCTGATACATTCTAGCCCTCTCCAACTTCTCCCTCTCTCTCTCCTTCTTCTTCGCCATCTCCTCCGCCCTTTTCTTCTCCCTCTCCTTCTCCTTCTTTACCATCATATCAATCACCCTCTTATCCCTCTTCTTCACAAACTCGGCCAAACCCCGAACCGTCTCATTAAACTCCCTCTTCGCCTTCTTCCTCACCTTCTTATTCTCCTCCTCCATCACCCGCCTCGACTTCCTATTCTCCCCAGCAGCAGCATCATACTTATCCACCCACCCAAAATCCATAACAGTACTAAACCCCAACCAATACCCATAAAACGCATTCACCTGACTATAATCACATTTCAAATCCCCCAACAATGGGGCCTCCTTAACTAACCCTAAATTCAACCCCATCAACCTACAATACTTAATTTCATGCGCATAAATTCTATCAAACACATCACCATAAACCTTGTAAAACCCAGTTTTAGGATTCGTATAATCAGTGTAACAAGAAGGAGAAAAGTATGAAAACAAATCAGGGAATGGGGAATCAGAATTGGAATTAGAATCACTTCCAGAATTCGATGAAAACAAGATTTGGGATCGATGTGAATCATACCAAGAACGCTCTTTGGGGTCGGATAGAATTTCATAGGCTCGAACAAGCTCTTGGAATGCGGCGGTTGCGTCGGCGGAGGCGATGCCGGATTGTATGAGCTTGTCGGGGTGGCGTTGAAGGGCGAGCTTTTTGTAGGCGCTGCGAATTTCGTCTTGGGTGCAGCTTTGTTGGAGGCCTAAGACCTCGTAATAGCACCTCTTCTCGGTTGCCGCCATTGTTGTGTTTGTTTTGAGCTCAGAGAAGAGATGGGTAGGTTGTAGGTAGGTGTTGTGAATGTAAAGAGAGGTATTAACTAATTGAGGGTTTGTGTCTTTGTGAGGTTCGATAGAGGTTTGGGTGAAAGTGACAAAAACGGTATTCGCCTCGTGGACTCCTCTGTAGCTAATCAAAAGTCATCCCGATAAAAAAATAAAGTTTAACTCAATATAAAATACTTTCGTAGAAGGTACTCGTACTCGGTATCTTAATTATTGTCGTCCCAACATACATTCTCAACAGTGCCGGGGCTAAAATTGCAAAAAAAATTTGGAGCCCTGTTTAACTTTTTAAAATGGGGCCTTATAGTTCATAAATTTAATACCTAATTTTTATTTGATAAAAAAATTCATTACATTAGAAAATTCATCATTTTTTTTTAAAAATAAAAGGGAGATGATTAAGGTTTACAAAATTAGGATCAAGAAGCACAATGTGGCCATGATCCTTGGGCCTAAAAAGGCTGCTGATCATCAGCAAACAAAACAACTTAAATAACATAACATCCAAGCTACAAATCATACTACAAAATATCAAAGTTTGATTGTTCCTAGAAATCACTTAAAAAGAGTAGCTCTTCTTGTATGTTTTGTAGCAAAGTCATCGATGACATTCTCCATATTGACTTCATCTAAAAGATCAGATTCAATAGCCATCAAAGCGAGTCCATTTAATCTTTCTTGTGACATTGTCGTCCTTAAGTATGATTTCAGCAACTTCAACTTTGAAAAACTTCGTTCTGCAGAAGCAACAGTAATAGGAATTGTTAGAAATATCCTATATGCAATTGTTGCATTTGGGAAGCAAGTATATCGTTTTAAAAAATTCAATAAATCAATTGCTCCCATTTTCTCCTTGGGTAAAAACTCTCTAAACCATGTTCACTCAACAAATAAATCCTCTCCATCAACATCAGAAACCTCACCTTTCTTAAGAGCATTTTCAAAAGCTAAACAAGAAGATAAAAGTTTCTCATCATCCATTGAAGGCAACTTATCAGAATTGAACAAAAAGCCAAAGATATTATCATACGATTCATATTGTTCAAACCTTTTTTCCAATGATGCAATAGTTTGATCCACAATGTATATAAAATATTGGATTCTAAATGATTCCTCGGGAGATAATAGTGTTTCATCACCATCTATCTCATCAAATTGTCTTTTTCTACGTATTATACGTCTTTGTGGAAATACAGGATCAATGCCAACTTCAATAGCTAATTTTTTTGCAATATCTATGGCCTTTGAAAAACCATTCTCCCTATAATTTTTAAAAAAGGAAATCAACCCTTTAATCTCACCAATGGCGATATCAATCAGCATATCCTGGGATTGTAATTGTTTACTAACAAAGTTTACAGCACATAAAATTTCATACCAAATGATTGTAGCAAGCAAAAATTCAAAACTACCAAGTTCATTATTTGCTAAAGATCTAGCTTCACTTTGAAGTTTATGATCATTGTCAGCATCAGCTACTTCAGCTACTTCAAGTAAGGCTTCACGTATCTCAGGTATTTGAAATCTGATTGCTTTGATACTTTCAACACGACTTTCCCATCGAGTGGCAGATAATGATTTAAGAGTTAAACCTTTAACATTTTCTTTTAAATTATGCCATCTCTTAGTAGAACCAACAAATATAGTATAAATGCGTTGGACTATACCAAAGTATTCCCTTGCTTTAGGAGAAACATTTGCAATGTCACACAAAACTAAATTAAGACTATGACAACCACATGGAGAATAAAAAGCTCTAGGATTCAAATCCAATAGTCTCTTTTGCACACCTTGATGTTTACCTTTCATGTTAGAACCATTATCATATCCTTGTCCCCTTATATTATCTATGTCAAGATCATGAGATATTAAGACATTTTCTAACACTTTAAACAGTCCTAGACCAGTAGTATCATTAACTTGTAAGAACTCAATAAAAAATTCTTTCACTTTATAAGAATTTGAACATTTGTCAACACACCTTAAAATTAAAGTCATTTGTTCTTGATGACTAGCATCAGGTGTACAATCCAACATCACAGAAAAATATTTTGCTTCTTTTATTTTCTTCATGATAGCATTATTGATTTTAGAAGCAAGTAAGAGTATCAATTCATTCTGAATTTCATGGCTAAGATAATGATGATGAATAATCCCATTCTCAATACGACGAACATGCTCAATAATCACAAGATCAAATTCAGCCAACATTTCAATCAAACCTAAAAAATTTCCATTGCTACTTTGATATAACCTTTCATGTTTTCCACGAAATGCAAGGTTATTTTTACCAAGGAACTTCACAATAGCAATAATTCTAGTAATGACACTTTTCCAGTACTCCTTTTCTTTATGAAATTGGTCTTGGGTAATTTTGTCTATTGTTTCATTATTTTTCAATCTATTTATTAGTTCACACCAAGCACCCATGTTCAAAATGTGATCAACACTTGTTTCATGTTCTTTAAGTCTATGACTAACACGTGACCAATCATTATATCCTTCATTTACCAAATTGCCTTTTCCGATACCCTTTTTTGAAAATTTTACAGCAAAAACAAAATACTTTGTCAATATCTTTAAAATAAACAAGCTAATCTCTATCACAAGTTTCACCATTAGGCAAATACCTAGTATATAAATTTGAAGTAAATCTCCTAGATACTTTGTCTTTAGGGCCTTTCACTATGGTTAAGTCTCTTTTAGGACCATTGAGAGCCAAAATATCAATCGACTTCTGATCAAGAGCTTCCCATATCCTTGGATCATATATATCACGAGAAACAAAATCATTTTCTTCAACATTGTGAATATTATGGTCTGAATTTTCCTCCACATTTTGTTCAAAATCATTAACATTATCATTGTCATTATCATCAACATTAATATTATTATCATCAACATTAATATTATTATCATCAACATTAACATTGTCATTTATCACATCTACATTATCATTATCAACATTAACATTATCACCACCAACATTATCATTATTTTCTTTTAACTCTGAATCAATAGGATTTTCAGTTGACTGTAGCACTATTACAAAAAACTTATCTAAAGCACCTTTTTGTGATTGAATGAATTGATCTTCCTTCTTTTTTTTTATTGCGTTTTTCATGCCCAGATGGATACTTTCGAAACATTTTAAACACAATTACACAAAATATTTGATAAGAGAGGAAAAATATCACCGGAAAAAGCTTGTAACAAGCCAACGATTGAATTCGACAGATCCGAGATCGCTAATTGCTATGTATAATCCAATACTCCATCAAAACCATTCATCAACCGCTGTAATCAATAAAAAAAATAAAAAAAAAAACTTATGAATAATTTATAAATAGTAATTGCTAAAATTTAACAAAAAAAAATTAAAAAGCATAATATTATCAAACAGTAACAGATTTAACAGGTAAAAAAAAAAAAAAAAAAACAGATTAAATACATACCGTACTCCATAGGCGTATCCACATCCAATGCCGATTCCAAAGAGGTTTGTGATAAAAAAAATTTCCAATTACTAGCTATACTCACAGTACTTGCAAATAATTTTGGAATTAATATTATCTTAAAGATTTCTTTTTTATTTATAAAATTGAAAAACCTAGTAAATTGCATATATAGAAAAATTTGGGGGATTAACAACGGTTTAATAATTAATTTCATCTTAAAATTGAAGATTTAACCATTGAAATTATGAATTAATATGGGCAAAATTATTTTGGAAGATGAAATATTTTTGGGATAATTGAATGATTGAAGATACTAATAAAAAGTAAATTAAAAATGTTGAAAACAAGATGTTAAAATAGTTAAGTGTGAAATTAATTTTGGAAATATAGAGTGAAATTAATTGAATGATATATACGACTTGGAATTAATTGAATGATAGATTGAAAGTTTTTTTGGAGAAAAATATTGGAGAAGAGGAAAGGTTTGGGCGGAGGATTCTAGAGAAGTGACTTAGTTCATTCACTTTATTGAATTTGACTGACATACAACTGTACACTACTACACTTTATTTCCCAAAAAAATAAAAAAATTGCTGGCCCCAAGGCTTGAAACTAGGTCTCGTACACAAAGCATAAGTGCTATAACCAATACTCCAACTATAATCTTGTGATATTATGTACAACTTAATTACATATATTTGAATTTTGGGGCCCCTCAAATTTGGGGGCCCTGTTCCGTCGAACACCCCGCTCCAGCCCAGAACCGCCCCTGAGTCTCAAAAGTCAAAGTATTGGTTTCGATAGCATGAACTTTTAACAAAGTAAATGTAGCAGCATGAACTTTGACTAGCAACCGTAGCAGCATAAACTTCTTCATTAGATGCATGAAAGTGGACACCGATGATTCTACTAGACACCGGAAATCTTGATACTTTATTAGTTACTCCGTTTATGTCAAATAAACCTCAAATTTGGTCCTAAAGGTCCAAATTAACCCTTGACCTTAACCGATGTGTTTTGTAGCACACAAATCAAAGTTGGTTTTTTTTTTTTTTTTTTTTTTTTTTTTTTTGCAAGTTTTTACTAAAATATGATTTCAAAGTTGTTTGTTAAGGGTTAAAATTATCTTGCAATTTTAACATAACAATTTTCCAACATGAAAATCGAGACACGTGATCATGGTGATTTATGGTAATATTAAAATATTAAAGATTCTCATTTCCGACATAATATCTGGTATTGGGTTTCAATTATGATTTGTGCTTCTACGGCTAGTCAGCTATATTTTAAGTCCATTCTACTACATGTATCTTGTTAGTGGTTAAAATCATGTTGTTGAAGCCAACTTTGCCTATTATGTACTTTGTACTTCATATTTATTAAATTTTTTTTGACACAGTATTTATTAAATTTTTTATATTTAATACAAAATTTGTCTTTTAAGAAAAATCATGCTGACTTGTAATATAAAATACAATTAATTATTGTTCACATTTACTTAATTTTTAGTTCAGTTCAGCTCCGTTCAGTTCAGTAAATATAAACAAACCCTTAATGTAACCTGAATCAACAAAGATTTATTAGTATTTATATTTTGCAAATCAAATTCATTAAAATTATTTTCAGTTCCTACTCAAGTCATTATTGCCGGTCAAATGCCACGTTTAATTAAGAAAAAAATTGTTATACTTAAATGTTATGAGTACAATGTAAACATTAGTTGGTTAGTTAGAGTTAAATTGTATGTATACAGAAAGGTGATTATTCCGTGATATTCAAAAATAAGGTATGTTGATCATACAATCATATTGGTATACGCCATCCAAAGTTTATGTCCCTCCAAGAAAATCTCTAGTTACTTTGAGTATATGAATAATAAGTTATCATATAATGACAATATGAGTACTACTAGTAAATGTCTATATATATACCAAGAAAGGCTTTTGCATCCTTGGTAATATGCTTCTATGTTTAATAGATTTTGAGAATGTCTATAACTTTTTATCAATAATAATCATTCTTTTTGTGTCAAAATTAGTATGCAGGATTTGTATGACACTTTATGTACACTTAATCGCCTAGTTGAGCATATCACTTGAAGCCACCTTACCATTGGCAAATGCTTTGCTTCAGAAATAATAAGATAAAGCGTAAGGCAACCAAAAGCAGAAAAAAATATCATTTTTGTGATTCCAAAATTGGGTAACTCCCCTCACTATGCTTTTTCCTTCATCTCAATCAGATTTATAACAGGAACTACACCTATCTCAACTATTCGTAAATCTATACAACAATATATCATCTGTAAATCAATGGATGGGGAAAAAAAATGTCGTCTTCTAAAGAGTTTTTAAGCCACTAGTTCAAAGATCCCTTTTTGTCAACCGAGATGCTTGCAACTTCATTTTCTTCATTTTCTGACCCACTATTGAACCTCTCTCTGAGAAATTCTACTGCCATGAATGTCAGTGCAGAGGCAGGAACATACCATATGACTCTTGGGATGCTACCTCTGAACACTCCCTTCATGCCTTCAATCATCCATGTCCGGTGGATGGCATGGAACCAACCTTTGTACCTACATGAAAAATTAGAGGAATCATAGCCTAAGCAGAAACAAATCAAATATATAGCCTAAGCCCAACAGAATGAACAGATATGTCTATAAGAAAATGGAAATTACGAATGATTATCACACAGAAATGCTCCGTACAAAAATATTATCCTCCAGCAAATTTCCCTCCTTTTTATCTAGAAGGAAGGCCATATCAAGAACATGCTCATTTGTAGCACTAGTGACAATCTACTCGGTCCATTCCGAAAATAAGTGTCAGTCCAGAAAGAAGAGATACATACTTATCATAAAGTCTAATAGATTAAGCATGTCTAATTATGCATAATATATATATGGCACGGAAGAGAAAAGTCAAGTGTAGCTGACCCCCCATTATACCTTAAATCTGGCCCTTGGACTTGCAATCTAGTCTTGATAACGTCTAATGGAGTCGTCACATAAGCACTCAAACCTGCAAAGTTTCATAGTTGTTTCTAATTTGAGCTGAAAGTTGTGACATTATGACGTAACATGTAAGCTTCTAACCACAGAAAACGTAGAGATAATAACCAGAATCCATACCTCCCGCTACTCCTCCCAGCACCAATCCCTCCATAGTACTATTGATTTGGTATTCTGCATCACATGTCCACTTCTTCATCCCTTTATCTGTCAAATCTTTCAGTAATTCATAAAACATTACCTGCAAATTAAAATGGAGCAAAACTTAGCTTTCTCATAGCTCCATACATGTGAACTTTCGCCAATCTTCAATCAAACAATCCTTGGCAAGAATTTCTGAAAAGTACTTGTATACCACTTAACTTGAATATGCATAACACTAAGAACATATAGCACACACGCAAGCAACTAGCAATTTGTAGATTGTTACCCAATGTGTAATAAGAATTTGGGACATAGTGAAAGTAAGATGTAAACAGGGAATTTCATCAAAGTGCCTACCATCAAGCCAGCAAAAGGCACATCTCTAGCTAGTGTAGACCAATACCTGCCAAATATTAAAGCAAAAAGATATTAAAATAGAGTGAAATTACAAATTTGGGAAGAAATTCCGCAGTTGTACATGAACACAAAAGAGTAGATACTGAGACATTGAAGTTTCAGTGTTGTCACATTGATCCCAAGCCTTCCGTTCATCAACATACCAAACAAGCTCCAGCAGAAATTTTGTGTCTTTTTTTTAGTGGGAACTGGGAAGGGGAGAATAAGTGTTCAGTAGGCATATTAATTTTTCACCTATATGTATGTTAGATGGCAGAGAAGATATGGATAAACCTTTTACAGGGAACCAACAGCAAACGTACCCAGCATATAGACCCTTTGGCCCTTGTTCCTTCCATATTGAGCGTCCAGCATGAAACATTCCATTATAGTAACCGTACATATGCACTCCAGGAATCTTACCACTCTCAGCCTTTGAGATCACAGTATTCCAAGAATCAATCGTTCCCTGAACCTGCATCCGTTGCTTTATCACTTCACATGGAACATATACAAAAGAGCCAAGTGCGTCCCCTGCAACAAATTACAGAATAAAACATGGAAAATCAGTATAACAAGAATCAAAGAGACTACATCTCAGCTAATATCACAAAACATTAGCAACACAATCATTGAGCTTATTCATGCAGATAAAATATGCATTTTATAGACATACTCTGATCTTCACCTTTATCATCAATTATAAACACCAGACACAAACCTATCATTTGTACATAATGCTTGAAAGGCATATAAAGACTTGTTTTAAATTCACAAATTAAGCACTAAATTTGCTAGTAAGAGCTATAGCACTGGACAAAAAATCTTCCACTAAATATTTCAATCATCTGAGCGCTTTTGGTCCTTTTGCCAGTTAGAACCAACAGCTACAACACCTCTTCTAGTTCAAATCAAGTCTTCATTACAGAGACTACCACTCATTATCTTACCCCAAACCGCATCTATGGCACTATCAACTACTGTAATACTAAATAGTTAACACCAATGTTACTTGGACTCGGATGAAGTGTCAAATTAGACATGGGTGTCCAAGCATCGGACTCGCCCATTTTCTTGAAAAAAGTTGTGTTTTTAGTTAAAAATGAAGTATCCAAGTGTCGCTGTCCCGGACACGTGAGGTAAATGAAAGAGACCGAGTAACATAGGTTTACACTTAGTAGGAAGTACAGTTGGAAAAGATCACAACAAAATAGTTACTCTATATAGAGATTAAGTGTATACTTAGGATTATAACAGTTTCCTGTGGCTATATGTGTAGAAAAACACATCATTACTTGGAGATTTACAAATACAGTTCTAAACTAAAGGATAATTATCATTATTAGTTACTGTTTATAGTTTGTGTAATAGTACCTAGTGTATCTAGTTGTAATGTTGTATTATTTAGAGATTTTCTGAATTCCCAGCTAATGTACCTAGTGTATCTAGTTGTATTTTATTGCTTACTCGCGTATTATATATACTCATAGAATCACATCAATATAATTAAGCCTTCTCTTGTACTCTCTAAACTATCTCATTCTCTTTAAGCTTTCCAATATGCTCTTTTCTCATAACTCTATTATAAACCTCGTCGTGGAATTTTAAATTGACTTAGAAAAATTCCCATTATTATATGCATTAAATAAGAATATGATATTATTGCAGTAGCTCAAACCTTTTGCCAATTGCTAATCGGAAACTAACACACACATATTGGTCAAATAACCTCATTCTTAAAATAATAGCCTTGTACCAGTAAGATGTATGATTAATAATCCAGGCAAAGCTAATTGAGCCCGCTAAGAAACTTTTCATGAGGCCAATGACAACACATAGCAATAATTAAGCAACAATAACATTCAAACTGTCGACGACATACCCATGCCCCCTGCAAGGAAGTGGGCCCAGTGACCCCCAAGGTTAGGATGTGATTCTTCAATCCACTTTTTGGTAGACTCAATGAAACCAAAATAAGTTGCTCCAGTTAAAAGAGACCCAGTAAATCCAGGAGCAACTCCTCTATAAAATCCTGTAACAAAAAAAAAAAGGGGGGGATAAGGGTAAAGGAGCAAAAAACAAGACATATTCTCTAGCACCATCTACGGCAGCTATCAGTAGGTTGAGAGCATAAAATGCTATAAATCAAAGAAATTACATATGTATTAAATCAATACATAGCAGACCTCTTAATCCATCAGCAGCCCATACAGTTCTAATCATTTGCAACACAGTTTTTTGGTGCTGCAAGTAAATAGATAATTAATAATAACGTACAAATAATGCATCTGCACTCCTCAAACAGACATTATGTAATGTATCAACATGTGAAACTAGGCTTAAGATCTTTTTTACAGAGCTTTATTATGTGATACACGAAATGAAATGAAAATGATCTCAAATGACAGTGTGTTTGCATACCTGAGATCCACTCAGAATAGCTTGACTTTGAATTCTTGTCTTTACAGTATCAATTGGATGCATCATTCCTTCACCAAACCCTCCAGCAAGAGCTCCCCATAAGAATTCTCTCCATACTACAGCCAAGTAAAGCAGAACTCAAAATTACCTATCATTGAATTCATCAACAGCTTCCGATCATATTTGGAGCAGCTTTTTTAAACAATAAAAAATACTGCAAGCAAAAATTATCCATGTTTTATCCCCAAAGATTCAGGTAGTTCAAGCCAATCATGTGCCAAGCTAGTGAAGATACTATCATTGTTTCCAGAACAGGATCGAACACAAATTAAACTCTGAAACTGAACTTTCCAAGGCTTACGCAATTCAATTTCCGGTTTAATCAATCAACTAACAAAACGCAATGCAGAAAATCAGAACAATCTTTACAAAATCAGTACGAAATAATTACAAAATCAACTCAAAATGCTCAATATCATCCAATTCAACTAGTTTCTTGGAACAATTAATCAAAAATTCAAGCTATAATCAGGTAAAAACATCAATTAAAAAACACAAATGACAGCAAAACATACCAGAAAAAAGGATAACAAAAAAGAGAGAAGGTAATGAACTAACCGAAGAATGATTGAGTAGAATGCGATAATAGAGCTTGAGTTTGTAAAGAAGAAGTCGATGAAGACGCCATTGAAGTAGCCGGAGAGAGGGGGGGACCTCCTCGATTGTCCGCCATTGAAGGAGGAGTAAGGTCTGGAAAATTGAGAGTTTTCTCTCTCCTAAAAGAAGAGTAGTTGACGTAGGTGGTTAGGGTTGGGGGGTAAGAAGATGTAAGAGAGAGACAATGGAAAGTGGGCGCGCTATTACTCTACTCCTTGCCAATGATGTGTGCTTCAGGCCTTTCTCTAAACGACGTCGTATAAGTGTTTGCTAAAGATTTTGAGATTAGTTTAATTATGATGTACTAACATTTTTTTTCAGGTGTTAAATCGAGTAGGGTCACTTTGGGTTTTGGGTCGTTGAGTTTCAGTTTTAGATCGGATCAGGTCTTAGGTCAGGTATTTTGGGTCGGTTTATTTCGGGTGTACATATTTGGTCCAGGTATTATAGAGTATGTTCGGTCGAATCAAGTGGAGTCGAGTTTAGACTCCTCGTCAAGTAATCGAGTTTGGGTAACATTGGGTTGGTTTAGATCTACTCATTTCAAATCAAATTAAGTTTTAAGTTCTCTAACAAAAAGTTAAATTTTCAGTCAAGTTTTGTGTCACAACAGGTCGTATTATTAGTCATTTTATTTTTCATGTCAGATTGAGTTTCTAGTTGAGACTTTCAGTAAAGTTTAAATGTGTCACCTTTAGAGAATTCGAGTATTTTAAAGTTAGAATTAATATATTTTTTGAGATTAGATTTTATTAATAAATTGAAGATCAATCAAAATAATACTCAAAATTTGAAATTCATACTTACATAGTTACATATTACAAAATAAAGACATAATAAACATTGCACTTTTCATTTTTTCAACCTTTAGGTTGGAGGTTCAATCCTTTTGCTAGTGACACTTTGAGGGTGGAAATTCGGAAATTCCTTACCCTTTCCCCTTCTTACCTTTAAATTTTATTTATTTATTTATTTATTTTTAAATAGTTATTATGATTCACATGTAAAAGATTTGGGTTGAAACCAAATCAAGTCATTTAAGCTATATATATTGAATAATTTTTTGTTAGGGTCAACTCAATTATCAGGTAATTTCAATTCAGGTCATTTTGAGTTTACGGGTTGCTCAATCAAATAACTTGGGATAAAATTGGGTTAGGTCATCAAGTATTAGGTAACTTTCAGCTCCTATTCAAAAAAAAAAAAAAAAAAAAAAAAAAAAAAACTTTCAGCTCAGTTAAACTCAATATAGTCAAAAGCTGGTCAACAACACCTCAAATAGTGTTCGACTCACTTCGGTCTCGGATTGAACTCTAGATCATTGTACCAGGTCCAAATTAAGTCTTAAATTGGGTATGTCAGCTTGGATCTTTAGAGTCCAAACATTTTGGGGGTTATTTGTCATTAAGTCGAGTTCGGGTTTCGAGTACATTTTATTGTTTGTATAAGATTAAGCGAACATGCACTAAGATTGTATAATCACTTAATTTCCACTTTTGACTTTACATCCCAAACTTATCTTTATGAAATGGATATTTTTTTTTCAATAAAACATATTCAAATCATTTAAACTTGGATAACTCTTGAATTAAACTGATATGAACTTATCATCTGTGACCTTTACTTATGTGATACTTATTTGTGAACTTTATTTATATGATACATAGTATTTGTCTTAACTAATTATTCTTAAAATAAATTAGCTATTTATATTGACAATGGAGTAGTTCCAACTTCCAATTGGGTTTGGTCGAGTTTGGTCAATTCGAGTTTTAAATATGTCCGTGTTATTATATAATCTTGTCAATTTGAGTTTTGGATCAAGTCAATTTGGGATTGGTTTATACTTAGGGTCTGTTCTCATACTTTGAAATTCAGTTAAGTTCAGTTCAATTTGAGTTTTGGATCAAGTCAATTTGAGATTGGTTTAGACTTAGGGCCTGTTCTCATACGTTGAAACTCATTTCAGTTCAGTTCAATTTGACTTTTGGATCAAGTCAATTTGGGATTGGTTTAGACTTAGGGCATGTTCTCATACGTTGAAATTCAGTTCAGTTCAACTTAGCTCAGTTCAGCTCTTAATTTCCTTCTCTTATAAAATATTCATTTTATTTCAGTTCAATTCAGTTCAGTTCGGTTCAGTTTAGTTTAGTTCAGTTTAGTTGAGTTCAGTCAATGAGAACAGGCCCGTAGCATCAAGTTTGAATCGGGTCATTATAATTCAGCTCTCTTTAGGTAAATTAGTTTGGGTTAACACCATCGTGGGTCATTTGTGCATCGATTAATTTTGCTTCAAGTCATGTCAGTATCGGGATATTCAATTCGGGTTGCTTTGGGAATAGAGTCTATTCGAATAAATAAATTGAATTAAAATTGGGTCAATTCAAGCATCAGATAACTTTCGGGTTCGGTAAAATTAAGTTTGGTCACTTTGAGTATTGAGTCAAAACGGATCACCGGGTCACTCCTCTTCGTATTGGACCGAATCATTTTTGATTTTAGACTTTCAGGTCAAATTTGGGGTCACAACTTCAGGTTTAGTTTGGGGTACGGTTAAGTAACTTGGGTCTACTCGTATTAAGGGATTATTCTCATACGATTGTTTTCAGTTCAATTCAATTCAGCTCAAATAAGTTAAGTTAAGTTGAGCTCTGCTCCTAATTTTCTTCTCTTATAAAATATTCAGTTTAGTTCAGTTCAGTTTAGCTCTAATAAATTCAGTTTAGTTTAGTTCAGTTCAACTCTAATAAGTTCAGTTCAGTCAATGAGAAAATGCCCAAGTGATAATAAAACGAGAAAATTTAAAAATGTAAAATTAAAATCGAAAAGTCAAAATTGATACGTTGAGCAAGTAAACGACGGCGTCTCAATACAGAGAGAGTGTGTATGCGTGAATGAAAACCAGGAGGAGAGAGAAAAAGCACCCATATCAAATCCCTAATTTTTGTTCCTTCTCCATTTTCTTCATTCACTCTTCTCTTAAAATACAACAACTCAGCTAGGGTTTCGATCCTCCATTTTTCTCAGCAATGGCGATGTCAGCTTTGAGGCGCGAGAGTAAACGTTTTACCTCCATCGTTTCACCCAATCCCATCAATGTTCTTCGCTCCTCTCTCCTCTCTTCTGAGTACGATCTCTTTTCTCTTTCTATCCCTTCCTTCTGATCTTTATTTGATTTTTGTAATTGTTTTTTTTTTTTTTTTTTGTTAATTTGGTGGAATCGATCGACGTCATCTGGAAATTAGGGTTTTGGTTTTGTGGGAAAAAAGAGGTTTTGTTGATTTCGTAGATTCTCGATGTTAATTTGACATTATGTGATTTATGATTTTATATTGAAATGTAATTGGGGAATGGGGGTGAAGATGTTAAATGTTGCTGTTGATTTTAAATCAATGTTTTATGGATGTATAATGTAGTGATTTATGTGATGGGCATTTATGTTTAGGTCAAATTAAGGATGGGTTTTTGAAATTGGACCCTAAAGTGGCTCCATTTTTATGTTTTTACGAGTAAGGTCAGAATGCTAGTGATCTTGTGAATGCTGCAATAATCGATAGCATTCTCGATGGATTTTAGAGTTATTTTGATGTTGGCAGGGTTATAATTTTTGCTGGATTTCACAATTTACTTGAATAGGTTTCTAGAGATAACTTTTTTCTGAAAATTACCCTGCTCTCAGGCTAATTTATTTTGGAAAGTTGGACATTTGGAGAAGAAGTATTGTATTTGGTTATATAAAATATTTTAGTGTTTGGGCCTGGAGGACTGTGTTATTGCTGTGTTAGGAACAACCATAAGGTTAAGTTAGAGAATGGTATTTTCGAGGTTTGATGACCATCATAAGGAGTTTATCTTTGAATTCTAATATTTAGCTTTTTAGCGGATCTTGGACCAAAAATTAGCGGGGCCAAAATTTTAACCTTTGACCTCGACTTAACAATATAGTCACTTAATCATTGTTCCACAACAGATTATATGATGAGCAATGTATTCTTTTTGTGTAGTACACTAGCTTTTTAAATATTTATCGATGGCCAGGCGGCCTAGTTCCCTATGAACCATAACCAAAATCCTCCTCTGGCTTTAGCTAGCAGGTCCTAATTTTCAAGGCAGATAGGTTTTTTGGGTTTAATGAGTGACACTGTCTCGTGTATGGAACTCAGCTATTTTATATACGTTTTTTTGTAACTCCGGTATTTATTTTCCAGGGAGCAGACATCTTTGGGAGTTCGATGCATTTCAACTCAAATTGGTGAGCATTACGGGGAATATGATTAATATGGTTTTATGATTGTCTCCTTTTTGCCATTTGCTGTAATGGACTTTTACCTATGGCTTTATTATTTATTTTGTGGATAATTAATGCAGTTAGAAACCGTATGAAGAGTATTAAGAACATCCAGAAAATCACAAAGGCTATGAAGATGGTTGCTGCCTCAAAGCTAAGACAAGTCCAAACAAAAACTGAAAACTCCCGTGGCTTATGGCAGCCTTTCACAGCACTTCTTGGTGACACTCCAAGTATGGAATTTCATTTGCGTTTATCTATGAAATGTTTTTGTTTTTTGATAGCTTGATTGTCGCTTTTTTCTGCCTATGTGTTGGCTTTAAGTCAGGGTGGATCAGTGGGTGCTAACTTATTTTCTGACCTTGGCCTTTTTTATTGGTTGAGGATGATCTACATAATTCATTAACATCATTGGCTTAGGTGTCCTTGTTTTGTTTTCAAATGTCTTTGGATTTAGTTTGGAAGACCTGTATTGCACAATAATTTTATCCTCTTCTATTATTGAGAGACACTCCCTCCTCCCATATTCATTTGCTAAATTACATCGTAAGATAGTGAGAAAATTCATAGAGAAAAAAGAATGTTTGGGTATGGCCTGTTGGACCCAATTTTAGAGAACAGGCAGAGACGAATTTACTAAAATTTGATTCTTTTGTTTCTTCTTATTTTTTTATTATTATAAATTTTGAAAATCTAAACTTAAAGACGGGACAGAGATAAATAATTAACACTTTCTTAGGCCTGATGATAAGTTGCCCTCTTCGTATTTTGAATTGTTTGTAACTGATTCCGTTTCTGCTCTTAAAGGTGTTTCTGTGAAGAAAAATGTTATCGTTACAATCTCTTCTGACAAAGGTCTTTGTGGTGGTATCAATACCACTTCAGTCAAAGTGAGCAGAGCTCTTCGCAAGCTGAATGATGGTAATTATCGTTACCTTGGTATAGCTATATTATCGAATTTGTTTCTGTTGGCTTGTTAGCTTTGATCTTCTGTACTGGTCACTAGTAAACAAGTTTACCTTTTGTGGCTGCAGATCCTGAAGCAGAAACAAAATTTGTTATTTTGGGAGAGAAGGCCAAAGTGCAGCTAATTCGTGATTCAAGGAAGGACATCAGCCTCTGCTTGACTGATCTGCAAAAGAATCCTCTGAATTATACTCAGGTTTTCAAATACATAAATTTCTTCTAAACTAGCCTGTTCTCATAAGTCGCAACACATGCTAGTTTGTCTTTAAACACATCACATGTTGATAAGCTACGGTTTGATATATGATGGCTTTTCTGTTGTTTCTCCTATATCATGTCTATGAAGACTCAGAGAGCTTATGGCCCCATACATATGATTTGTGTATATTGTGGTTAATGTTGTGATATGTTTTTGCCATTTTTTCTTATCAATGAATCACTGAACTTCCCTCTGTAGGTGGCTGCAGTTGCAGATGATATCTTGAAGAATGTGCAGTTTGATGCCTTGAAAATTGTTTTTAACAAGTTCAGCTCTGTTGTGTCATTTTTGCCAACAGTGGCAACTATCCTGTCTCCCGAGGTACTATTTTCAGCTGGAGGAAAATCACATTTTATGATTTTTGTTGGTAACTGATTTGAAGCTGTTTTCTTGTAAAGATTGTTGAGAGAGAGTCTGAGGCTGGTGGCACTCTTGGTGAACTTGATTCTTATGAAATTGAAGGTGGAGAGACAAAGTCAGAGATACTTCAGAATCTTGCAGAATTCCAATTTTCTTGTGTAAGTATATTCTCATAGATAGAATTGATTTTCTTACCTTCATAATTGGGATCCTGATTATAAGGCAGGGCATGTAGTACTCAATAGTAATTTTGTAAGTTGTCCTTTATTCCAGAAATGAAGAACTTGTATGTATGCTTGCTATGATGTCCAAAAAGATTATGTGCTCTATTATTCTATCTAATAAGCCTTTCCTTGTTATTTGAGATTTAGAATTATTCCCCAATTTTGCTTGGGACCCTGCTTAATCAATTAATTTATTTCAGGTGATGTACAATGCTGTCTTGGAGAATGCCTGCAGTGAGCAAGGTGCTAGGATGTCTGCCATGGACAGCTCTAGCAGAAATGCTGGAGAAGTGCTTGATCGTCTCACCCTTACTTATAACAGGTTCAATTTCCTTTATTGCATTCAATTGTGCTATTTATGGACTCAAGTAATCGAAAAGCAATGTGTTTAGTTATGTTGCTGATTTTTTGCCAATAGTAAACAGACTGTCTAGAGAAAAGTAACTAAATTTAATGTTATTTTTCACCATTTTCACATTTCATGTGGTTGATCATCTGGTTGTGGTGGTGTAACAGGACCCGTCAAGCATCCATCACAACTGAACTTATTGAAATTATTTCTGGAGCGTCTGCTTTGGAGGGTTAGACGAGAAGAAATTGTCTGTGCTTTACCTTGACGTTGACGAAATAAGTTCTGTAGTGTAGACTTTGTTTCAGCCTTTTGCTGGCCCTTGGGAGAATCCTGCATATCTATATAATAATATCCCTGACAAATTTTTTTGGGAACATCAGAAAGCCTTTTCTTCATCCCAAGGGGGTTTTATTTTTAATTTTTTTTTTTGGATTTGAAAAATTCATACATGGTGGTTGAGGTTCTGTGCAAAACAATCGATGTTCTTGTGTCGGCAATACTGCTGAACTGCCGGCGTTGTAATTTCCCTTTCATCCTTGGACAAATGTACTGTATCAAACATGTTTCTATTGGTATTTAAGGGCACATTTTTGCTCGTTTTGCATTCAAGTGAATTTTCTAGTTCCAAACTTCCAATTCAACTTTGCGATTTGCAGACTGTGAGCCTTACATTCCTTTAGAAACTCAACCCAGTTAATTGTCCATAATATGATTTAAGTTGAAAGAGATTTGTGGCACTTAAACCCAATTTGTAGACTGGTGTTGAGGAACTTACCATTTTGACTTCAGTGTTGGATACTGGAGTTTGAACTTTACAGGGCGGGCTTCTTCCCTCTGTTGAATTTGCTTATTTTGCTGGTAATGAGAGAAAATCATTTCAATACAATTGCCCTCATATGGAGGTCAAGTGGAGGTTTTTTTTTTTTTTTTTTTTTTTTTTTTTTTTTTTTTTTTTAATTTAAGATTAAAATAAAATTTAATAACACATAATCAAGGTTGAAGTGACTTAAATTTAGCAGAGATCAGTTTAGTACTGTATAAAGCATGGAGAAAATAACAATAAATCTAGTTAGTGAAATCTCTCTTAATCATCTATTGGCACCGTACAATTGTAAAAATGATTTTACAATCCACTACCCAATAACATAAGGATGAATCAAAATATACTACTAGGTAATAAAAAACCTAGTGAGCAAATGTGAGGAAATTTGCTTGTACAATAATCAGCATGACTCTTCACCCTACATAAGCCTATTCCTGTTGCAAGGTTTTGCCACATTGATTACATAATCAATAACCAATGTCGCCTGGGTCTCCAACGAATTCAGCTATTTGTTCAAGCTGCACATGAATCAGCTCATGTGTATCAGCGTCTTGAACTACACCAGTTCCCCTCTCGGAATCTTTTTCCACAAGACTGCCATAAGTACCCTTGTGGTTTCCGAAGAGAACAAGAACAGGACCACCTCGCCTAGGAAGAGCAGTTTCCAATATCTCCTGTTCTACTCCCTGAACAATCTCCCTACCATCATCCATCGATATATCACAGGTCCTGACTCCAGCAGCATCGATTACCACACCCTTCTTCAAGTAAAACTTTCCTCCTTTAAACGACTTGCTAACAATTCTGACCCTAATATGACTCCTAAGCCAAGAAACTCGACTACTACTAGTCCTTTCCTCATCCACCCGCACCCTGCATTCACTCTTAACTTCACCAACATCACCTCTCCTATCCTCATTTCTACCACTCTTACTTTCCTTTCTTTCACTCGACGAATCTCTACTCCCCTTCTTATCGCTGCCCCTCAAAGATTCTTTAGAACCTCGAATCTTCAACTCCTTCAAACACTTATCTTCCTCCAAAGAACCCAACTCAGCTACTTCATCCACTCGAACCTTGACTTCCTCATCACTACGCGAAAGCCTCAAAAACAACGAACCGCGTAACACTTCAATTACTCTACCCTTATACCCCATCTTCCTACCACCAATAATCCTAACCTCTTTCCCAACCTCAAACTTTCCTTTATTCTTATTATCCCTCCCATCAACTTTCTTAGGAACCACATCATCATCACTAAACCCTAAACCCTCTTTCGCGTTCCGGCGTTTATACTCAACAACCTTGAAATCCTCCTTAGCATTTCTCCCAATTCCCATCCCTTGTCTCCACCCATACCCAGCTAACAAAGCTTCCCCAAAACCCTCAACAGGAACCTCCTCAAATTGATCAAAACCCTCATCTTCAGGCAACTTATCTAAATTATTTCTCAATTTCTTAAGCATAATCGCATCAATTGAATTAGAAACATCGAATTCACCCTTACCATCAACCGCATCTTGCCGAAGATTCAACCCGTATGAAATTTTCGATTCAGATTCTGGGGCAACAACATCAGCTTCAATCTCAACTTCAAATTCAAGGGGTTTTCCTTCTGAATGAATTGGGGGTAAATCGAGATTCTTCATCTTCTTCGCGGGACGCCATTCGTTCTGTTTTGGCGGGATGGCGATTTTTTTGGGGCCTTTTTCTAGGGTTAGGGTTTGAGATGGGTCGAATTCAGGGATTGATTCACGATTAATTTGGGGATTTTTGGTTTTGGCGTTCGATTTAGAAGAAGATTGATTTGATGATAAAGAGAAAGAGATCTTGTTCATGGTTTTTGATGGAGGAGAGAGAAAATTCCAATGATATTTTAGCTATTTTTATGGGACTTGTTAAACATCGCCCGCGTTTTTCTACATAAAGCCCACAATTTATAAAATTTTGACAACTTTGCCCTTGTTCTAATTTTAACCTAAAACGAAATTTTGTCTCACCCAAAATGTGGAACAGCGCCGGATCGCCGAGGGACACCAAAGAGCCGCCGTCGTAGCCGGAAAACGAGGTCTGAAGTGGTTAAAAATCAAGTTTTGCCGGCGAACGTCTGGCCGGGACGCCGCCACCGTGGATGGGGCGCCTGGCCAGGACGCCATCACCGTGGCTGGGGCGCCTGGCCAGGACGCCGCCACCATGGTAGTGGCGTCCTGGCCAGGCGCCCCAGCCACGGTGGTGGCGTCCTGGCCAGGCGCCACCTCCTCGGTATATTTTTTTTAAAATCTTTTTTTTCATTTTGGTTTTTTTTTTTTTTTATTTTGTTTGAATTTTGATAAATTTGAATTTTTTTTTAAAAAAAACAAAAAAAAATATTAATTTATTTTGAAAATATGCTTTAGTAAATTCAAAAAATAAACAAAATTAGAAAGAAAAAACCAAAATAATAAAAAAAATTTAGGAAACAAAAACATAATAAAGAAAAAAATTGCAAAGAAAATCCAAAAAACAAAATACATTTTAAAAAAAAAATAGGAAAAAAAAATTGAAAAAAAAAATTAAAAAAAATTTGAAAAAAAAAAAAGGCTACTGGCGCCTGGCCAGGACGCCACCGCCACGGTGGCGGCGCCTGGGCAGGACGCCGTAACCACGGTGGTGGCGTCTTTAGTGGACGCCGCCACCGTGGCCACGGCGTCTTGCCCAGGCGCCGCCACCGTGGCGGTGGCGTCCAGGCCAGGCGCCAGTAGCCTTGGTTGTGGCGCCTGGGTGGGGCGCTGCCACCACGGCTCCTTCGCGATCCGGCGACTTTGTTTACTTCCACCGCGACACCGCCTCCGGTGCCGCCACTTCCCGTTTATTAGCCATAACAGTGTGTTTTAAGATAAAAGTGTGTTTTTGATGTTGAGGGCAAAAATGTCATTTCATTTCAAATTTGTGGGCTTTATGTGGAGATTTGCGGGCGATGTTTAGCGTTTCACATTTTTATACTTTGCGGTCACCCAATTATCATTTATTGCGTCATATATTCGTCCTGATAACATTCCTAACTTTGTAAATCTCTTCGTCAAAAAAAATAAAAAATAAATAAAATACAGAAAGATAACATATTATTTTATTATTAGGAAAATGCTATACATAGCCCTAAGGGCTACATATAAGTATTTAATTTACTCTTGAAAATTGTTTAAATTTAGAAAATCATACAAAAACACACTAATTACACCGATTTGCGCGTGTTTTTATCATGCATTCCTAACTTTATACATTTTCCAAGAGTAACATTTAACAACTCATAATCAAGGCTGAAGTGCTTACTTTTAAACTTAGCACAGACCAATTAAGTATTGAAAGTCTGAAAGTGTTAGAGATATCGGAATATATGTGTGATATATTTTCCGTGTATATTATTTAAGAGAATAATATATTTAGGATATTTATGTTAAGATATTATTTTGAGAATAGAATAATATATTTAGGATATTTATGTTAAGATATTATTTTGAGAATATATCATTAGGATATATGGTATATCTATTAGGAATATTGTTTCCTATCTTATGAGCATAGGTTTTGTATAAATACTCAACCTATTGATAAATAATAATCAAGCAATACAGAAGTCATTCAATTCTATTTCTTCTCCCTAATTTGTCAGAAAGCAACTAAGCAAGGGTAAAATAACAATACATCGAGTAAGTGAAATCTCTCGGCATCGTACAATTGTAAAAATGATTTAACAATTCGCTATACATAAATAAAATTTTTTTTTAAAAAAATGTACTTTTCCGTTCCAATAATATTGCAACAAGAATGAAATTAAGCATCCCAAAGCACATTTTATATGTTAATAATTGTGCAAGAGGAAAATTATAAAAATATGATATTTGTAAAAGTATTTTATAAGACGAATCTAACAAAATCTCACGTGACTATATTTTGCTTAATGTATAAAATTTTATTTGATGGTCAAACAAGAGTGATAAGCAGTATAAATATCCGGTTATTGCAATATTATTAGAACGGAGGAAGTATAAAGTACTCGTAATAAAAAAAAGCTAGCGAGCAAATGTGCTCTGGAATCCTGACTGTTTACCGTACAAAGGCCTATCCCTGTAGCAAGGTTTTGCTTTGTTCATGCTGTATGCCAAAATCACATTTACTACTAGTACAAAAGTTGATGGCCAAATTCTTTTGTGCATTCCAAGTACTGATATTGTGAATATTGAGGACATAATGGAGTAATCCTTTCAATAGACCAATTTTCACTCATTGGGAATCATGGAATTTTTAAGATATACCCAGGTGCACCTAGAGTTAGGTACACTCAACTCAGAGGTTTTCTTTTTTCCGCTCATTTGATGTATTTTGCTAAATTTGAAATTTTTTAAAATGAGCAAAAAAAATTTAGGGTACCATGCATGCATTGCTCTAAGGATTTTCCTTTTTCAGAAGATATGATGCTGGCTGAGATACTAGCTCAAGTTTAAGTTGGAAAACTTCAGAAAATTCCTGAATCAGTGATTTCTGGGCCATGTCAATTAGTAAAATATCATCAGCACTGAGTTGATCCATGCTTGAATCATTGTGGGATGCTTGGAATTCTCCAAGTAGTTGCTTGATGCTTCCAACTTTTCGGTCTCGTATCCCACAAGGTACTATCTGTTGGAAGGGTGTCAGGTCCACAGAAACATTCAGAGCTAGTCCATGGTATGCTATCCATTGAGATACCCGTATCCCAATCGCTGACAGCTTCTGGTTTCCTGCATTAGAATTTAGAAGTGAGCAACTGCAGACTTAGAGAGAAGATTTCTACACGTAACATGGAGACGAAAGACACCTAACTTAATGATATTGCTCACTCCCTTAAAGTCACAAGAACATAAATTATGGGATAACTAGACCATGGTACATTGGTACCTATATTCCAAGTAAGTTAAATATATTCCAGAAAATTCGACATAGATATGTGAATCTATGCACATAGTAGATGATTGCAAGGTTTTTAAAAAGACTAGACTAAAATGATGAACAGTAATTATGCATTGTGAAAGTCAAATGACCATTTCATTTAATCTTTATCAAGATCCAAAATTCCACTACAAACACAACATCATCAAGCACAACCACGCAGGCATAGTTACACATAATGCTCAAATATACTGGATGCAACCTATTGACAAATGACCTGGACAACAAGGTGATCAACTGATCAAGGAATATTACACATACCAACCCAAACACCAGTAAAGCCCTGGAGTCGAGAAGCCTCAATAGAAAAAGTTAAGAAAAGAACACGAATCACCACCTCCTCAAGAGCCCTCAGGTACCAATGAAGATCCATGTTGTGATTTCGAAGGTTGATGATAGGATACATAACCAACTACAGTCAAAGATAAAACAGTTAAAATAATAGGAGACAGGGATGATCTAAAAAATATACATTGCAGAACTCAGCACAATTAAGTCTGATTTCAAGTACTTTTCAGACTTTCAGCAGAATGAAAATATTGCAGTCACATTTTCTTTTTTCTCTACAAGTATCACATTATAAGCCCTCATGTGATCTTGTGCAGGAGTACCGTGTGTATGCAGGGAAAGTGACAGCTCAGAGGTTGAGCCAGGGAAGCGCTTCTATAAGCTCTTGGCTGCTGTCTCCTTAGGGTGTGGTTAGGATCAATTCTGATGCTTCAATTTCTGGTGATGGCAAGTTCGGCCTGGGGGTTGTGATCAGGGATGCTAATGGAAGTATTATTGCTGCAAAAGTGAGAAAAATTAAGGGGGATGGCAATGTGAAAATGGCCGAAGCACTGGCTGCAAGAATGGAAATTATGCTGGCTAGGGATCTGAGGTACAGAAGAGTGGAATTGGAGTGTGATGCTCTGGGTTTAGTGCGGGCTGTGCAAGTTCAGAGGGCGGGGATGACTCCGTTAGACCTGTTTTTTATTAGTGTCCTTAGTAGTGAGTTTGATATGTTTTCTTGTTTTCATGTTAAGAGAATGGGTAACACCGTTGCTCATTGATGGCTAGGCTTGATCCAAGTGATGGCTTAGAGCAGACTTTTGTAAGCTCCTTTCCGCCAGGCATCCTGGCCTTGGCGGATCTTGACTATTTAACTTATAATATGCTTGCTCTCCGAGCCTTTTAAAAAAAAAAAGCCCTCATGTGATCTTCTTAACAAATATTTTCTATTTTTAGCCTAAAAAATGAAATCTTGATAATGTAAACAAGCAAAAAATAGATGCATAACCATTGTCAAATACAATTAAACACATAACACAAGATAAGTTTCAGCAATAAAAGAAATGATACAAGAAAAAGTTACAGAAAAGAGACATTCGAGGTTATATTAAAGAAGAAACGTACCTGTCCAGGTCCATGATAGGTAACTTCACCACCGCGTTCAGTTCTAATAACATCATAAGGGGAATCTTTCACATTAAAATTCAAGAACTCCTCGGAGCTACCGGTGCCCAAAGTATACACAGGAGGGTGTTGCAGCATAATCAGAGTATCAGGGCACTCTTCATTCCTCTCAATCAAAGCTTTCTTCTCTTTAACAATGGCCTTCTGCAACGCCCACGCCTCACCATAAGGTACAAGCACATTATGAAGGTCAATATACTCACATCTGTTGCACAACGGTCACACTACCAATTAAGAAACAATGTTAAACTCCAACTTAAGTTCATCAAATCAATATGTTAAAGCTTGTCAAAATGAGTCTTAAAGGTGTTCAACTTAATCTCACCTTTTGGAGCATTTTGACTGATTTGTTAAACTAAGTGAAACCCGGTTAAGTGTGTTTAAACGACGAGCATAAGAGTCCCGGTTACACCGCCATCGACTGTGAATTGGGTACATTATTACCGAGTCATGCGTTACAACAGCCATTGTATATCTCTGTACAATAATATGGGACAGAAACCCCATCAATTGACCATCATCATTAAGATTGAAACAACTCAAAATCAAATTCACTAACAAATGTCCAAATATGATGAAACTTTACTAAAAATTAAGCTCAAATTATCCTTTTTTTTTTTTTTTTTTTAAAGAAAAGCTCAAATTATCTTACAAACCCCATTTCATTATAATTCTGCAATTGCAATGAAAAATTCACAGCTTCCACAATAATTATCAATCCACAATCATATAAAAATAGCATTAATAGCATACTCTATATACTGAAAGAGAGAACTAATTATAAATTACAGATGACACAAAATACTCAAAGAAATCAAACTAATTCAACTGTGCTCATTAAATTACTACAATGGGTCAATTTATAAACCAGAAATTTATGTTATAGAGTGAAATTTGAAACTTAAAAATTGAAAATCATACCGCAATGTGAGGGCGGCGGACTGGTGGCCGAAATCAGGCGAGTAGATTCTCCGGCAGCCGCAGAATTAGTCGCTTTGGCTCTTTCAAACACGGCCAACAGAAATTCAACAACTTACTAGCCACTTAAAGGTCCCAAATTTGACTTTTTTTTTAATTATTATTATTATTACTAATAGAGAATATCCATAGAATATTCTCATCCTAGGTTTAGGATATAAGATATGTACAGATATCAAAGATAATCTTATATAAAAATTATCTGACATGTACAGAATTATCTGAAGGAGTTTACATTATCTGACATGGTATCACAGCTTAGGTTAGATCTTGGGATCATATACAAAAATTATCACCCTGCCGGTGGCCGCGGTGGGTTAGAAAATTAAATCTACTGGCGGGATATACAAAGTTTTTTATGCTTCCGCAAACACACATAAAGATTTTTTTTTTTTCTTTTCTCAAAGTTTTTTTTATAATCTTTATGTAACCTTGCGCCTCCTACCAACAGTAGCAATCGCGAAAGCCTCCTCCATCGTTGTTGGCAATCGCATACACTACCGCCTCCCCCTACTGGCAGTAACCACATCTGCCAACCTACTCCATGTGTCGCACTCTATTTCCACCTCCCCATGACCAACAATGATTCTTACATTGCCTCATTGGTTTTTTTTTTTTCTTACACATAATCACATAGATTTTGTTTTGGTGGTGGTATATCACAATAAGGTCAACTTTTGCACATCTCTTTTGCTATCAAGTTAGCTCCTTTTATTGTTGCAGCACTTGGAATCTTTGTGGAGTATTAATTCTTGCTACCTCGTTTCTCTTTTGAGAATTGATTAATTTCAAGCGGTGGGATTTAATCTTTTCTTGCGCAATTTTATTTGTTTTTCTTCAACTGTGATTTCACGTAGTAGTGTAGTGTCTTCTCCCCGATGATGGTTTGATCCCTTAACTTATTCTTCTCTGGATCTGCAACTTGGCCCAAGTATATGCGTGACTCTTCTCCTTCGGCCTAAAAGCGCATATCTCTACTATACGTAGGTCGTGGTTGTTGCTTCTCATCGTCATCACCAGCACATGCCTACTACTTCTCTTTTGATCATGGGTTACTATACTATCCTTACCGTTCGATGCGTGATTCAGATCCAGTCTGAGCATTCGATTTTCTCCCGCTCTGACTGCGGGGGTGTGATAGAGAATATCCATAGAATATTCTTATCCTAGGTTTAGGATATATTTTGTATAAGATTATCTTTGATATCTGTACATATCTTATAGTTACCTAATATGATTAGGTTTCTCATTGTAACCCTATAAATATTGATCAATGGAAATCACTCTAATTTAATCGAGGAGCTTTATATTATCTGACAATTACTACTTATTATTATTTTGGTATTCCACCCAATTCACCCTTTGGGCTAATCCGGATTCGGGATCAATTCTGGGTGATTAGGTTTTCCAATTCCTTCCCAATTGTTGTTGGGGGGATTGAACATGGGTCCTCCCTACCAAATGTAGTCTCAATCACCACTACACCAATAACCAATTGGTCCTAATTTGATACGTATGTTTGATGTTCCGGACTTCCGGTAAGTGTTACACTTTGACTAATATATAGGTTTATGCAATTCAATTGACTTTAATTTAAAATAATCAGAGTATGATACTAAGATTGTAGAGTTGATACTAAGATATATTGAAAAATAAAAGATGTTAAGTGGAAAATAAACATGAGTAATAAAAAAGTTGTGGTGATTTTGTGTGATGATCACGAGATAAGAGAGAAATAATACTTTGTATTAAAAAATGTAGTTCGGTCAAGTAGTTGTTTGTCAAAAAATGTGGTTAATTAGTCCTAATTGGCTTTGTTCCTAATTGGTTAATCAGACTAGGCTGTGGCGATTCCACAGCCTAGTCTGACCACAGCCTAGTCTGAGTATTATTGAATTAACATCATCAATATTTCTCAAAAAAATGCTTTTTTTTTTCTTCTCGAATAGTGCTATTAAAACTCCTATACATGTCAATATTTATGACAATAATACATGAATATTCATATGAATTTTCTATACATACATCCCACAATCTCTAATTATTTGAACAAATTATTTGGTGCATCTAACATAGATGAATATTCTCCTCTTATCATACACTTATTAAAAAATTTGGTAGGATTAGCCTAGACTATACATACAATGATACAATTCACAATAAATCTTGATCTAGCTTTGAAGAATAAAATAAAATAAAAAAACCGAGAAAACCTAGTAGTTTTCCTTGTGGAAGACAAATCTAGTTGTAGTTTTGGTAGAAAATTTGGTGCACAAACCCTCCAATTCCCTTGCCAACTTCAATGAGCCACAATAGAATACCCCTGCAACAAGCAATCCTTTGGTAGTTAGCTAACTTTGCTTCAATTCATATAGGTTTATGCCATTTTTATGGTGTGACAACATTTCCATGTTTATTTGTGTGCCACACTTGTTTTTGGCATACAGTCATACCAAAACTCGGATGATTTTCCTTGATCGGGCGAATTTATATCATAATTTGAACAAATAATGGTGAAATGAATAGCTGATTATCAAATATCAATCAATAAAACTAAATTTTCATATATACGGTACACAAAAAGTGGGATAGATGATTTGAATTATCACTCTTAAAGACGTAAAATTTACAATAAATGGAGATGTAGAGTAGTATTTATGACAACATTTAACTTTTATCTTACCAATACGGGATCCTGCATGTTTACATGCCAAATTTGAGAATATTTTGAACCAATTTGGTCGAGAAAAATGAGTTCGCACCTATTGAACAAAAGAAAAAGAAAGAGAGAGAAATGCTTTAAATATGAATTATACACCAACTTGGCTCAATTGGTCAAATTCTTACTTTGCATTCTCAAAGTATATCAAAAACAAATATGATCTACTATACGAGTATTATTTAAGAATGAAAGGAGTAATGTATACCCGGGTTTTAGAGAAAACATCAAGCCCACTTTTTGTGAAATACAAGGCTTGAATAATGCTTAGCAAAATTGATCTTGCATCACCACTTTGATATACACTTGTAAGAAAGTTGTGCATCTCTATCACTTTCTGAAAAAATGCAAATAATACACATTAATCTCTTACTATTTAGATTAATCAATTGAAGAATAACAATTTAGAGGTATAAATGTGAGTCACCTGTTTTTGGTTTTCTTGTGAAATTTCGTTCATGGCATCTTTGAACCACCCTAAAGAACTTTGTTCCCTAGTAATCCAATATAGATAAGCCTTCAAAGGACCTTTCGAGAAACCGATTTCCACATCATGTACCTATTCATTAAATTCATATCAAATTAGATTATTAGAGCGCACATATACTATGATACGGTACTTTAATGATATTTTTCTTTGTCTAGAATTAATTATCACATTGTTTGAGAATATGTTAATATGGTGTGTGTGACAACTATATCTGGATAGAAAGAGTGTTATTTATGTGAAATCACCGGATTATTACTTGATTGTTAGATGGTTTGTGAAGCCTATCTCCTATGTCTTTAAGGACACTAATGAAAGGTGTTGCTCCTATGCCAAGGCCAATGAGTACAACCACTTCGTACTTAATATGATCTTGAGAAGCTGCTCCATATGGACCGTCGATGTATACTTTAGGATAATCGAACGGTTTTGACATCATTGCCTGTTGAAATTAAAATTGACACAACAAACTTTTATCAGATCACTTCGAAAGTTTAGACCTTACAGAAAAAAAAAAAATAAAAAAAATATACACGCTTAAATATTGCATAATAATGTTAGTTTAACCAAAGCTTACTTGATGAAAAAGGTTGTGGATTTGGTAACTCCAATCTCCAAGGGTTCTAACATGAATGCTTAGATGGTTATCATTTGGTCCAGATGTTAATGAAAATGGGTGCCTGAAATGAACATACAAATTAAGTATATACTCGAATCGTACAAATTAAGTATGTACTACCTCCGTTACATATTAGTTGTAACTTTGAAATATTACCAAAGTTACAACTAATACGTCACGGAGGTAGTATATAGAAGTTGTGTATGTTGCATACGTACCATTCAAAAGGTGAAACTTGGGGACACTTGATGAAAATATACATGCCACTACTGTATGTAAATGTTGCCGGTTTGGAAAACTTCAAGTTTAGAACTTTCCCTGGATACATATTGGCCTGCAAACATGATATTGTAGGTTAATATAGATCTTGTTTGAATCGTCATGATGATAAGTACCTTTTAAAAGTTAGATTAATAGAAATTTTAAAGATATAATTACCTGAAGAACATCAACTTCATGAATCTCTGACCTAATGCTTCGATAGATTCGCTCACCACAATATAGTAAAACTGGAATTGCCAGGTACATCCATGTCTGACCATCAACAAGTTTAAGGTAGATTGTAGAAAGGAATACATAAAAGATGTTATTAAACTCTCCATGATTATAAAAATAAAAGGCTACAAAATGCAATTTAGGTCTATAATTGGCTAATTATATGCATAACTAGTCAATATTTTCAATAGTCATCACTAAACATTGTCATTAGGTTTGCAATGGTTGTAATTCATGTAAGGTTATCTAGGGTGGTACCGTGGTAGCCTTAAGTCCATAATACATGGGTGTGCACGCACATGTGTACGTGTCCATTATAGTCTAGCCTTACCAATGACGAATTTTTTTAGGTAAATTTACATACGTATGTAGTTAGTAATTGATATAGTAGATATCACGGTCATAAGCCTCAATCATCCGTTTAAGTTTTTGGGTTAAGTTGGTTTATTAACATGGTATCAGAGCCAACGTAATACAAGGTCACGGGTTCAAATCTCATCCACAATCTACTTTCAAGTGGAATATTTCGCGCAGTGTATGTGGAGAGCCCATGTTTCATCCACATTTCAAGCCCAAAGGTGACTATGTCTATATGATGTATATTCTCTATCACATCATTTTTGTGCATTTTATGCATGCATGAATTAAGAAGAAAAATAAGCAAGCATACCGTTTTCTCGGCAAAACTGGTGACAAGGAAGAGGAACATAGAGTGGATGATGAGCAAAACATAGACCACAATAAGAAGATGATGCGAATACCAAAATGTGTTGTACCCGGTCACCCGGCGAATAGGCTGAGGCAACGACGGTGACTGGCGGCGAGGCATCCTCGTAGCCAAAGAGAAGGCAATGACCATTATAATGACCATGGCAATCCCAGTTGCAACCTCAGTTGTGCACAAAACTTGGAAATATGAGGGTTGTTGGTTCCCAAATTTGGTCCCAAATGTTCTTTGGAAAACTATTGGGTTACTGCCTGTTATTCTTGGGAAGTCACAGGCAAGGTGAGTACCTCCATGTAAGATCACCCCTATTACAATGCCTCCTGCAATTAGCTACACTTCAACATATTATTCAAGTGTTAGTACTAGCAAATTAAATTCTTTTTACTAACTTAATTAGTTAAGTTTATAATATCTAGTTCTCTATGCTTTCATTATAGTGATTAATTCATATGAAAAAGTAAATTCAAAATTGTAGTTTGACTTGAAATAAAGTTGTTACATACATATTTCACTTTATGTTAGTTGCATAACTGTTAGACAATTAACTAGTTCAAGTAGGGTTAGGTTGGAAGCACAAAGGTTACTTTTTTGTTTATACTTGTAGACTTTAAACTTATTATGCACCCCGGACCCTTTTAAGATCATGATTGAATATAGTACATGTGTCTTAGCAATAAAAAAAGTGTTTTCTTATTTCTAGTCGCAAATAAGTACTTAGAAATGTGGGCTATCATTTACAGAAAAAACTTGAAATAACATCGATATTGCAATAGTACCTTATGGAAGTTGATAGTATCATTAAAGGGAATAACAGAGCTAATCCGAGGGTTCCTCCTAAGCCAAGTAACCAAAATGCGGCAAACTGGGAGAAGTATAAGAGCCATATTGAACTTGAGTGTTTCAGCAGCACCTTTGGCTGTACTTAGGCAATATCCCATTACTTGGAAGGCAGCTCTATGCTTATACTGAATAAATTTCCATGTAAATAGAGTAATGCAAACAATCAGCCATAGTGTTACGATCCAAGCTCGCCGCCAGTACGTTCGAAACAAGATCTCAGGCAACGATTTGGTTATTATGTGTTGTTCTTGATGAAAATTGTCTTGGTATATGCTAAGATGATCATAGCTTGAAGTTGTGGTATACTCTGTTATATTCTGTTCTTTTGAGAGGTACCCTTTTGTTAAGGCTGTTCTGAAGAGCTGGTTTAGCTGATAGAACTACAAAACAATTTAACAAATGTTTAAGTATGTTACACAGTACTAGTTTATTATGATGTCATTTAGTAGGATTTGCTTCAATGTGTACTTACCAAAAAAAAAAAAAAGTGCTTATAAATAACTGAGATTCTGTTATTTCGTGAAGAATAAAGATGTATGTTATTGACGTATTCTCAATGGTTAAGGTTAATGGCTATTTAACAGTTTTAGGCTTAATAAGGCCGCCACAAATGCAAGTTTTTAATAATAGAGGGCTACTATTGATAATCACAATGAAAATTGACTACAATGAACAAAAATAGAAAACTACCATTGAAAATTTCCCATAATTAATTACTCCGTAGTTGTTTAACAACATCAAAAGTCAAATTGAAATAAAAGTTCCTTCGAATTGGAAAAATGTAATTAGGTCAAATCATGAAAAGATATACAAGCATATCATACAAAGTTGTACTTCCATCAAAATGGAGGATAATCATAATTGCCTTGAATAAGTAGAGCTTCGGGCTTGCTATGCTATGCACTGCTAAGCAACAATTATAAAGTCCTAGAAGTTGAAACTACTTAGTAAATCATGTCTTGCTCCTTTCTTTTTTTTTAATTGCTCTACTTTGACTAACACGTACTCCACAATTTTAAGAGCTTGACAAATAAACTATAGAATAGTAAAAAGAGTAGGGGTGATACAACTAAGCACCATAAGAGGACAAATATCACTATTGACAAACGATTGATTATGTATTTCCTCCAAAATACAAATATAAGTATTTATCATCTCAATCAATTTTGATTAATGTCTTAACATGATATATTCCTTTAATATATTAAGTAAATTAGAATATATATATATATATATGAGGTAAAAATAATTAATAATAATAAAAAAATAATAATAATAATAACATTCGAGACAACGTCTGAACCACATACTAACTATACAAACCGTAGAACATAATTATTACATTAAAGAAGTACAAACTAGTAATCTGAGACATCACCCGCGCCACATACTAATTTTATTATAAAACTCCTCACATGAAAATTAGAGCAATTATTTAAAAATGAACCGACTACTTCGTAATTGACTTCATAATTTAAAAAAAAAAAAAAATATTGTGTATGGCGACTAGACCTGGTTATTGGGCGGGTCGGTCAGGGTCGATTGCGGGTTAGGGTCAAAGAGGGTCACATTTTATAGGGTCAATATAGGGTCGGGACAATGCGGGCCGCGGGTCGATAATGGACGGGCCTACAAAATATCAATTAAAATAAATATTGGACAAAGCCATTATTAAATACATACGAATACAAATTAATCTGATCTATATAATTATTTTTACATTATGTATTTTCTTTATCAACTAAATTGGAAAAACATGTTGGCCCTATATTGACCCTATTCAATAAGGGTCCTGTCCATTAATAGCTCTGTCCATTAAAAACCCTATAAGCTTGGTCCTAACCCTATTATCATTGGGCTACCCTGTCCAATAACCACCTATAATGGCGACCATTATTTAGGCGTGGGTCCATGTCGTGTAATCAAAATGTACTATTGGGAGACTTCTAAGACTTGGGCCAATCTTTTTTGACTACGGCCATCGGGCCCAGGCCGACCCATGACAAGCTTTACTCCACAAACATCAACGCAAATTCCATACATCATCCTCTAATTCAAAGTAAACCATAAAAATGGATTGACTTGAGTACTAATAGACAATACAAAGCCAAAGAAAAAAAAAAAAATCATGGAATCTCAAATTTTAATGAATTTGGAACATTAGGTACTTAAATAGTCCTTTTCCAATTATCAATAATTCTCCTTCAATACCTAAGAAGCTACTTATTAATTCTATGTACGGACTATATTAATTTTATAGAAATCATACAACCAACGCCAATGAAAAAATATGTGCTTCTCCTTATCTTATTTACATAGTATTAACATGAATGTGCAATGTTTGCAAAAGGTAAACTAATGAATTTATGATGGTATTCATGCAACTATCTTCTTCCGATTTGGTTGTAATATTTTAAGTAAATTACATTATCAATTTGACTATAGAAATCATGTAGTCGTATATGTATTCATTATGCTACAATGTATACATACTCTAAAACAAACGTTCAAGATACTTGAATAATTTCTCACCTCAATGTAGCCCTTTTGTTGAGTATCAACTTCTAGCATGATCATAGAAGCAAAATGCTCAGCCTCCTCTTGCTTCATGTCCAATTTATTAGTAGTAACGCTTAACATTATCATCTGCTTGAAATCATCTTTTGTTATTTTTCCATCCATGTCTTTATCACACCTGAAAATATGAATCAATCAATCAAATACAATGTAACAATCTTTGTTTTTTTTTGCAATTAACCTAATTTCGAGCATTAGTACGTTCATTTTGCTATGAAATTTGATGGGTTTAGTTGATAATTACATGTCAAAAAAGATTTGCAATGAAGAACTATAAGAAGGATTAGTGAGGCGATGCCAATATCCATAAATTTCCTTTTTGGTTAGCTTGTTGTTGTGGTTCTTTCTTCCCTTTAGTACTTGTAGAAGCTCACCAGCAAATTGTGCAGTTTGTTGCATGCCTATAAACATAAATTACAAAAATCGATCAATTAGCTAGCTAGGGTCCTTGGTCTTATTAATCAATAACTTAATTGAATTTTTAGAAGCGAAAGAGCGTAGCTACCAGTAAGAACCCTGTAAAATATAAGAGTACGTATATGATGTTTTTAATAATAGTTGATTGGTAAGTGGACATGTTTTTTTATTACACGAAACACATTTATTAATCCATATATGTATATCAGTATATGGAATACAACTAGAAAATTAACTAAGATCCTTCTACTAGAAGGCCACATTTTCATGTGTACACCTTTGAGATCTTTTAGTAATAATAGAAGGTGTTCATGCATGTTTGAAGTTTAAATAACAAATCATACACACCAAGTACACACCGACCTTAACCAAAATAATGCAATACTTATATCAAGTCTCACCTATGCAATACCCAAATTGTGAGGCATCAATCGTTGGGAAAGACTCATGGTCATCATGTCCATAGGAACCACGAAAGGCAACCCGATCGAATCGTTGCTCAACTTGTTTCCAACTCATGTCACCCTTGCCATCAACCTCCCCTGCATCAATTAAGTTGATTTCAATTTCCTCCTCAAAATCATCATAATAGAGTACGTATGTAAAAGTTATGTTATTTTTTAATCGCGTAACATTTTATTAATATAAATAAATGCTCGGCCTAGGGCTCCCTAAAGGGTAGAGTCGTACATACCCAAAGGGTCAACCTCCCCTGCATCAACAAATCTTAGCCATCGATGACTACCCTCTAGATGCTCTCTAACACCCTCATCGTCAACATCCGAACATAGTGATGATAACGACGAAAATGATGGGTCACCATGCTCACGTCCGAGAGTGGAATTTGATGTTGATGAATGTGAAGATGATGATAAATCTAACTCCTCCTTGCAATCCTTCATCACCTCTTATTTTTTGTTTTTTGGGTTGAAGTAATTTGTTGAAATAAATGAAATTCCTAGCTATATTGCTCTAGTATGTACGTACAAGAGTATAATAGAAAAATTAGGTGAAGTAAAAAGGGAAAGAAAGTAGATATTATGTATTGGAGTTGGACAAAACACTTAATTATTGCATGTATGTAGAAGAAGATATCTAATTATGAAAATTAAATATTTGGACTTAAGATAATATATTGGAGAGAAAAATGAGGGGTTGTTGGCTTGTAACACTTAGTTAAACCAAAGTGTTTAGTATGTATAATTAAGTGTCTATTCTTGCCCATAAGAAAAGTTGGTACAACTTATATTTACTTGTAGAAGCATATATATATACTTGTATCATTGTATGTGGTAGTCTCAACTCTCAAGTCAATGCAATTGATCAACTCATCAAGCAAAGTCTTTTGGATTGTCGTTTATTTGGAGTAGGTTTTTAGTATGAAACCTCTATAATTTAGAATTTGATAATGATCTTTCAAAAAAAAAGGTTAATCTTCTTGCATAGCTAAGCTAACAGAAATTATAATTAATTTTACTAAACCTCAACTATGCGTCTATGCTCATAAAAAATTATATGTAAAAAATAATTAATTGCATCATTATTATACGTAATCCTCATAGAATTCGGAAAAAAAAATATAAAAAAAAGACATAATTCACATAGGAAGTGATCAACATTTGAGTTATCTAAGGAAAAATAACATCGAGGAAGTTGGGGAATTTTCATGGAGTGACTTGAACACGGCCCGACGGATGAAGCTAAAAATTAACCCGAGCCGAACTGACCTGATCCGATTATATGTTGACATGAATATGATCCGATTATCTATTGACCAAAACTTGACCTGATCCGAACCGAAATGACCTAACTCGTACCTAACTCAAACAACCTAATTGCCAAGTCTACACACATACTCTACATCCATTTCTTACAATCTAGACAAGACTAACTATCATTAATACAACATAACTCCGTAATTTTATTCGCTTAAATTAAAATCAAATCAAATGACAATGAAAACATACAAGTAATTTGGGACAAAGAGTTAAAAAAAATACTTCAATAGTTACCGTCGAGCCCTCGAACCAGGCCTAAAGTAACCATTGAACCAAGCCATCCAAAAAGTGTATAGGGGTGTTTGGCAATTGGCTTTTTGCCTAGCTTTTGGCTTTTTAGTTTGGTCAAACAGCCAAAAAATTATGTTTGGTAGTTGGCTTTTAAGCTAGCTTTTTCGACAAAAGCCAAAAGCTAAAATAAGAGTAGCTTTTTCTATTGGTTTTGGCTTGTTGGCCCACTTTATCACTAATAAACAACTAACAACCATTAATAATTTTACCACACACTTTTGTAAACAATCGGCTTAAACTAGCCCTGGTTATTGGACAGGGTAGTCCAATGGGCACCAGGGTCGGGCCAAATTAAAAGGGCTATGACCCTCTAATTATCTAACTGGACAGGGCTCGTATAGGGCCTCTCCTAAAAGGGTCATTAATGGGCTCTTGTGAACAACCCTATAAAAATGAAAATAGATATAGGGTCATTAAAAAAAAGACCACCTAAATACATAAAAAGTTGAACACTCTCTCTCCTCCTTTCCTTGTCCTCTCTTTAACGGCCTTTTTGGTTGGGGGAATTGGGTGGAAAAGAAAGGAAAGGAAAGGAAAATTAATTGTCCTTTATTTGCTTCAAAATATTATATGGGAATTGATTGGAAATGAAAGGAATTGGATGGAAAGCTCCCTTAATAAAATATACTCTCTCCTTTCCTCCCAAAATTGGAGGAATTTGACAGGAAAGAGAAAATTAAAATCTGTCAAATTATAAAAATTCATTTATCTAAATTTTTATTCCCTCCAATATTATAATTTTCCCTCCCACGACTAATATTTCCCTCCAATACACAAAAACCCTTGCCGTCATACAAATTATATATAACCATCAGCCACAATTCTCTTTCTCACTACAATCAAGCATACCCCAAATTACCCAAAGCTATTTGAAAATTTCAAGAATTTATTCACTAATCAAGGTCTGTAGCAAATCCTAGTAAGCTTTCTCATTTTTTCTAATTTTTTACCTTAATATAATTTGGGTTTGATTTTTGTCACTGCTATGACGTTTGATTATGGATTTATTATGGGTTAATGAAATTGTATTTGACCTTCATTATTATTGTTCTTTTTGTTAATATATGTCAGTATTATGAATTTGGTTCTTTTTGTTGGTATTATGAAATTATACATGTTTATTTATTTTTCTGCAATAATTTACTCTGATTTATAATTATATTTATGTAATTTTGGTGCATATTATGCCGTAGATGGAAGATTTTATTGGTAGTGATCATGAGCCAAATGTAGAAGATGACAGTAGTGAATTTGATTCTTTGGTAATGACTTGGGATAAAATGAGGCAATATGCTACTATCAAAATAATTTGTTTAGTTACATATGGATTATACATAATCCAAAAACGGAGTGTGATTCATAACCATATGCCATCTAGAGAAGAAACTATTGCACGAGAGATTGCAAGGAGAAATCTTTTTACATTTCTTATAAATCCTAGAAGAAGTCGTCATTTTTTACATATGCTACCAGAGACTTTTGCTCAATTATGTACCCTATTGCGTACAAGGGGTCAATTAAAAGACACACGTCATGCTAGTGTTGAAGAGCAAGTTGCAATATTTATTTATGCTATAGCTCATAACGTAAGGAATTGCGTTTTGCAAGTTGTTTTTCGTCGTTCCGGTGAGACCATAAGTAGATATTTTCATAGAGTTTTGGAAGCTATCATTTCTTTAGAGGATCAATTTCTTATACAACCTGACGGCACATCTATTCTTTCGGAGATTATGAACAACAATAGATTTTACCCATATTTTAAGGTAAACTATATGATTTAAGTAACTTTAATTATAATTGTACATAAAAGATATAAGGTTGTGTAACTTTAATTTTTATGTCAGGATTGTATAGGAGCTATTGATGGTACACATGTACGTGTCAAAGTTTCTAATTCTAATGCACCAAGGTATCGTGTTAGAAAAAATTGGCTTACTCAAAATGTCTTGGCTGCATGCACGTTTGATTTGAAGTTTACTTATGTGTTACCGGGATGGGAGGGAACAACATCAGATTCAAGAATAATTAAAGATGAATTAAATAGAGAATATAGATTGCATACCTTTGAAGGTAATAACTATAACTTAAGAGACAACATTTGACTTCATATAACATACGTCAATCATCTAATTTCTATGACTTATTTTAGGTAAATATTATCTAGTTGATGCTGGTTTCATGCTCACTGGTGCGCTCTTAACCCCTTATAGGGGTGTACGCTATCACCTAAAAGAGTACTCTTTTCGTGCGCCAGAAAATGCACAAGAACTTTTTAATCTTCGGCACGCGTCACTACGCAATGCTATAGAGAGGGCATTTGGGGTGTTAAAAAAAAGATTTGCTATTATTGCAAGTTCAACTGAGCCACACTACACTTTTGATACACAAAGAGATGTCTTCTTAGCATGTTGTATATTACATAACTTTTTAATGAGCATTGATCCTGATGAGGAGCTTATTGCTGAAGTTGATCGTGAGCTCTTAAATAGTAGGAGACGGCCTAGGCGCAATGCAATAGATGAGGATACCGAAGAAGGAAAAATTATTCGTGATAATATAGCTTCTCAAATGTGGAATGCCTATGTACTTTAGTTTGTTAGTTGTCTCATATAATAAGATGTCGGATTACCAAACTTGAATGTTATGTATTTTTTTTTATAATTAAACTAACTTATCAATGCCAACTATTTTTTAAATGATACGAAATTTACAAACTGCATACTTGTATGTTATTTTATTGAATTGTGTAGGTTAACTAGATGGACATACCATCAAAAAAGAATGGAGGAGTCATCAAATGGACCGAAATCATGGATGCACTGCTCATCGAGTCACTACTTCACCAACAACAGATTGGTAATAGAATTAATGGTCAGTGGACTTCTTCATCTTATGATTTCATGGTCAAGGAATTGCGTGAAAAGCTCAAGCTTCCACTACTTAAGAAAGAGCATTTGCAGAATCGCCAAAAGACTCTTAAGAAAAATTTTAATGATGCACATGATATGTTTAAGCATTCCAGTGGCTTTGGATGGGATTCAGAGAGCAAGCTATTTTTAGCAGAGCCTGAAGTATGGAAAACCTTGATTGAGGTATTTTTACTCTTTTTAAAATGAAATTTAAGCATTGTATTATTTTGAAATGTTCACTGATGACATTGTGTTAATTTACATATTACAGACTAAACCTGAAGCCAAAAAATGGATGACAACACCTATACCATTTTACGACAAACTCATGGACCTTTATGCAAAAGATAGGGCAAATGGTGAAGGATCCCTAACAGCAAAAGAGAGAGCACGCCAAAGGAGTGACAATGGAAAAGATTCCCCACCAAATAACATTGAAGCTATCGATGACCTAGTAAGCCAAAATGAAATAATACTAGAGGATTTTGGTTGTAATAATTCTCCAATTATGCAAAAATTAGGATCTTCAGGTGCTTCCAAAAATGAGAGCAAGGGTGAGAGTTCATCTAAAGGTAAGAAAAGAAAAGGAAGTCCAGATGATGACTATGAGATCCAAGTTTTAAAGGAAGGACTTGATAGTGTTGCTGAAGCAATAAGGGAAGGTAATTCCATTTTGAAGCAAATTCGTCCACGGGTTTACTCAAGTGATGAAATATTTGAGGAAATTGTGAACTTGGGAGTTGAAGAAAGCAAGCAATTTACAAGCTCCTTTCATTCTTTCCCCTCTTTTCGATCTTGCTTCAATCTCCATTAAACCCTAAGTTCTTCAATGCAAAATTATTGTGATTTCAAGTTTTCAAGCTTCACTATTAGGCGACCTTTACAATTGCGATTTTGAGCCTTCAAGCTTCACAATTGATTTCGAGATTTCGATTAATATTGAGGTTAGTTAATTGAAATTCGAGCAGAATTTGTTGTAAATCAGTGAGAAATTTTTGCTTTATACTTTGTAAATTTAGTTGCACACCATGTGTTTGTCAAAATTCCTCAATCTACTTACCGTATTTTTAATTTAATTTTTGCTTTGATTTATCTGTTCTTGCTATTCAATTCTGAAAGGTGCTAACTTTATCTATCTCATTGTATAACATGCTGGGTTTTTATCAGATTGATAAGAGATAACTTAGAATATTTTGTTGATTATGTTAATTATGATTTTAGCTTGTAATATTTTGCTTAATATTGCTATGCTTGGTTACACTTTATACACTGACCTTAAGGTTTCTGAGGTAGCTGCCCTCTTTGGAATCGACCCAATTGCTCTATTAACCGCAAATTCAATCGACATTTCGTATAAGGAAATCAGTTGCAAATTCCTCAGAATTTCGTATATACAATTTTTGCAAATTCCTCAGAATCCCCATTAGTTGTTCTTGTGTTGATGGTATAAGGAAATCAGTGTCTACCCATTACAAAACACGACCTTCTGATTCGCTTTCCTCGATTGCAGACTCAGATGTTCAAGGAGTATTTATGTTCAAGGGAGTATTTTTGTTTCCAGTTTACATGAGTAGTTAAATAGAAGTATGTGGGTAAAGGCCCGTTAATGGCCCGTTTCATTTTTATCCCGACCCTGACCCGCATTGGCCCTGACCCGACCTTGACCCGCTAAATATTCGTTATGATCCACACTGACCCGACCCGCTAATGACCCGCACTGACCCGCCCAATAACCATCCCTAGCTTAAACAATAATTTAAAAGGCCAACCCATACATCTAATACTTCCAGCTAGTCAAACAAGCTAACAGTCAACCGTCGATTGCCAAGCAACCTCATAGTTCGAGGCTACTAAGCTTAAGCCTAAAGTTGCCATCGAGCCAAGCCACCCAAAAAAAGTATAGTCCGAGGCTACCTGGCTTAAGCCTAAAGTAACCATCAAGCCAAGCCACTCAAAAAAAGTATAGTCCGAGGCTACCAAGCTTAAGCCTAAAGTAACCATCGAGCCAAGCCACCCAAAAAAACGAAAAGCACTCATTCCATACTCCCTCCTCTTTAGCTTTTTCAGGCAGCCATTGTTGTGTATTGCTCATCTCACCAACAATTTTCTTCTTACTGGTATTTCTCTCTCTCCTCCTCCTCTCTCTTTAATTGGATTAGAATCTGAATTCTAGATCTGTAATTAAACCCAGTTTCGTTTTTCTCTCCATTTCCATTGTATTTTTTGAGGTATTTATTTTAAATTTTTTTTATTACTTTGCCAATTTGTAATTTAATTTCAAATCTGATTTTTTTTCAAAATATGTTAAGTGGGATTTTTAGGTATTGCAGATTGTTAGTTTTCTATTGAAAAAAAGAGAATATCGAATTGCTCAACTGAAATTGTTCAAGTGTTATATTATGGGGAATGTATCAATTTATTCATGTATTGGTACTTCTGATTTGATTTGCCAATAAATTTAATGTGTTTGATTGTGACTATAATTTCATTAATTGGTACAGTATATTTGTGGCCTAAACTAAATATGTGTGAATGTATGCAATTTGTTAATTATGATTGCTGTATTATGGTCTAGGATTTTCAGAGGTAATAGATTGTATAAGGAGTTTAATTATCATTCCTTTTTCAATACTAGTTGGGAGGAATGGATTGAGTATAATATGTAGTTAAATGATGATTGGAGGATAATGTTTACCGTTGCAAGTCTTGGAAAATTAGAGCTAGAAACCCGTCTGTGGCGGAGCTGCTGGCTATCAAGGGTGGTATGGAGATGGCTGTGGAAGCCAGGCTTAAGAATGTGACAGTTGAAACTGATGTATTATCTTTAATAAGTACTCTTGAGGATGTGGGGAAGCATGGAACTAATGAGCTCACTGCGATTCTGAAAGACATTGGAGCTCTGCTTATTTTGGGTTGCAACTTTGATTTCAGCTATGATTCCTAGAGAGGCTAATGGGATGGCCCATTATCTTGCCAAGATGGCGCTAGATATGGAGGATGATGTTAGGAACCATGCAATTGCCCCTCATTGTGCTAAGATGTCTATGAAGAAGACATTAGAGACAGCAGCAATTGATTTCCCTGCTGCTTGTGCTTGTTAAAAACTACGTTGGTTTGCTGCCTTTGCCTCTTTTTTAGCTCTTTGTTATTGCATTTTAAGTGTTGCTGTTTTGGAGCCCCTTATGGGCTTCCCTAAACTGATGCTGTTGGATAATTTCTAATTTTAATATATTTTCTTTTCCATTAAAAAAAAAAGTAACCCCCCTCTTCAAAGTTATACACCCTGTTTTTTTTTTTTTTTTTTTTTTCCTATGAGTTGATCATTTATGAAGTGGGTTTCTTTTACTATAGCAGATTATAATTCTCTTACATAGTTGATTTTGTGGTATCTTGACTTCAAGAATAGAAGTATTGTGTGCTAACTTTTAGTGAATTGAAGTATGTGATTTCAAATTACGTACCTTCTTGCTTTATTTTTTAAAATTTTATGCACATTGTGCACAATTTTTCTATTCTTTAAAACTAAATTAAGCCTTCTGCATTAACAGATAAATTTGATGGAAGCCTTGTTGAGTGCGCATGTTGTGAAGGTTCCTGTTTGTCATGTAAAGCAGTGTAATTACTCTTTACTCACTCCCTCTCCTCCGAGATTAATTGGAAAGCTACATCGGAGTGCATTTGGGATGATGAATAGCTCCAAATTGACAAATTCAGTTACTGCTTCAATCCAGCCAGTGGAAGCTTCAACCACTGAACGGTTTGACAACACACTACCATCCAAAGGTTTCCAATGAGCTGTTACATCAAAATCTCTTATGTCCTTATTTCTGTTCCTGGAAGTAGAATAGTGTTTTTAGCTTGTCTTTGTCCTCCTCCCTTGAACAGTTATTTTTGGGCAACAACCATTTGAAGCTTTTTCTTTTTCTAGACAAAACCTTTTACTGAATGAAAGAGTTACATGAACTCTAGATTTTTTTTTTTTTTTTTTTTTTTTTTTTTTTTTACTAGGCTAGTACACTCGTATTGCAGACTAAATAAAGGCTTTAATAGGAGGATCATCTTTAGTTGGAACCAGAATCATTTTTATTTTCCCTAAAATAGGTGAAATGTGTTTTCTGATGGATTATATGTTCTCTTTGTTATGCTTACCTGGGTTTGTTTTTAATCATGAAGATTGATTTATCTGCAAGTTGGTCTAAAAAGAAAAACTATCAAGAAGCATCCATTTGAAGAGTCATATACACCACTATGCCTGTGGTGATGTCTAGGACATTTCCATGCAAGCTAGTACAGTTTATACTTGATGCATAATAATAGGCCTTTTACAGTTCTTGTACTTTGCTCATCATACTATTCTTATTAGCTTACAACTTGATTTCTTCATGATCGTTGTGAGTGACATTTTTTTTTTCATAATTCTGCAGTAGTACTCGACTTATGGAGAAATGTTGATGCTGTTTGTTTTGATGTTGATAGCACCGTGTGCGTAGATGAAGGTATTGATGAATTTGCTGAGTTTTGTGGAGCTGGAAAAGCAGTTGCTGAGTGGACATCAAGGTTGAGTTTATGCTTACACAGTGAAGGTTCCTGGTGGGTTTCTATTAGATGCTGATACAAGTTTTTGAATTTCTTTCCGCAGAGCAATGAATGGATCAGTTACCTTTCAAGAGGCACTAGCTGCTAGGCTATCTTTAATAAACCCAACCCTTTCCCAACTCCAGGATTACCTAGAGAAGAGGCCTCCAAGGTAAGCAAATAACAAATATGTGGATGAACTAATTTCAGTAATATTACTGAACTCTTATGATGTCCAAATGCTTTATATAGTAACTTGCCAAAGAACTCCAAGATGTCATCCTCTTATCTTGGCTTGAAATATTATTGAAAATTGATCCATCTTTTTGATTTGAACATTTAGTGCTCAATGTCTCAGCGTCACCTAGTTGACACGGACATAGCCACTAATGTACATAGGAATATAGGATAGGCAGAGTAACATGTTGTTTGTACAATTCTTCTTACCCATGCCACTTTTATTTGATCTGCGTATCTAAATTCATAGCCTGATAACTTCATAACTCTGATAAGCTGAAAGGCCATGTGGTTTATGGATCTCAGGATCTGCTTAAAAATAACGGACCCCATTTATTGGATTAAAGTACTATTTTCCTTTTGTCTTTTCACTATTGTTCTTCGTTTTGTTAGCCATGTAAATTTTGGAACAAATGTATTGACATTGTGGATATAATCATCTTCTTTGGGTTTTTTCCCCCTATATTTTGATTTATTTTATTTGCATTTAGCAACATAAATATTTATCTTTATTGATGGTTTTTGTTGGCGTAGAACTTGACTTTAATGGAGACTATGGTTACTTGTTTTAGAATTTAATATTTGAAGCTTATTAATATATATATCTACTGGTATTGTTCTTTAATGCGCACTCCATGTTTATGAATCTTGCTCATGAATTTTGTAGATATCATTGACCAGTCAACCTTATTGATATACAGACTATCTCCTGGCATAGCAGAGCTGGTTAGGAAGCTTAAGGCTAAGGGCGTTGATGTTTATCTGGTCTCAGGAGGCTTCCGGCAGATGATTAATGTATGCTATCCAGTATTCACTACCTTATTAGTGTCCTTGTTAGTTGTCATCTCTGATTACAAAAATGAATAATGGATGAAACTTTATCACTAATTAGCACTGCTGACTCAATATATAATTGTGATAGCTTAAATAGTTCTGGTCATATTTTTCCAATTTGGCTTCCAAATATTCATTTTAAATTTCTCATCCTGAAGCCTGTTGCATCGATCCTTGAAATTCCAATCGAAAACATTTTTGCCAATCAAATGCTTTTTGAAGACTCCGGAGAGTTTCTAGGGTTCGATGAAAATGAGCCTACTTCAAGGAGTGGAGGAAAACCCATAGCAGTTCAACAAATACGGAAGGTTTGTTTAGTTGCCCTTTTTATAATTGATTTACAAAGTACTACGTAATATTTATGGACCATTACTAATCTTGAATTTTCAGGCTCGTGGGTACAACACGTTAGCCATGATTGGTGATGGAGCTACGGATCTTGAGGTAACAATTCATTTCAACATTTTATTTTACGTTACTTATGATTTAGATTTCAGGTCTACTTGCTGATTTTTGTTGATCTAAAGGATCAGGATGTTTTAGAGCATTTTATGATCTCAGATGGCTTTTAGCTGTTCTAATATTGGTGCTAGTTAGTGGAAATCTCCAGACAATAGTTTAATTAATTGCAGATTAAGAATTCATCAAACTATTGGGTTCAAAAGTGGAATTGGAGTTTGTATCAAGTAACCCTTATCTTCAGACCAGTCTGGGTTAGCTCTAACTTCTAAACCCCAGCCACTTTGAGTTAAATTGTTCCATCCTTGCTTGGGAACTTCCATTCTTGTTTTGATTCCTATATCAGTTTAAAATATTGTTGCCCTTCTTTTGTGCCCTACTGATCCAAGCTTCATTGCTTTCCACAACCCATGCTTCTCAAAAAAAAAATCTGGCCATTGGAGGTAAATTTTAAGAAAACTAATATTATGTCTCACATTATGTCTCCTATGACCTTTCTAGTTTTTGAGGCGAATATTTGTTTGTTTTTTTTTTTTTTTTTTTTTTTTTTTTTTTTTTTTTTTTTGTGTGTGTGTGTGTGTGTTAAGCTTCGTAGTGTTTCATTATTTTAAGATGCTTTAAGATCTTATGCAATACCAATTAAAATTTGCAAACTTTGACTGAAAAAGTTAAGAGGATGTGTAATGAGAGAGAGATAGAGAGAGCGAGCTAGTGTTACAGGTTTACAGTTCAGTTTTTTCTTTATCTCGACAACCAGCATCATGGCAAAGTGATTATGTTTTGCTAAAAGAGTAAAAGATTTCTACATTGTGCATGGCTTCTGGCTATTTGATTCTGTAGTGTGTCTTTTGTGGCGTATTTTCGTAAGGGTTTATATTTTTTGTGTCAAATAAATATGACTCGGGTTTTTGTGCAACTGTAGGCTCGTCAACCTGGGGGTGCTGATTTGTTCATCTGCTTTGCTGGAGTTCAACTTCGAGAGGCGGTTGCTGCGAAAGCTGACTGGCTAGTTTTTAATTTTAAAGATCTTATCAATTCCCTGGACTAGCTTAACCTTCTAGAAAAAGTATCACCATTTTTTCCTCATTTCCTGCTCTTCCGGTGCCTCTTGAGAGCGAGGAAGTATAGAGGTTTTATTTCAGTCAAAATATTAGATAGATGCGCAACATATAACATAACACATCAGCTGCAACACCGTCCACAACCCTCCTACTTTAAAGGCGTACACCACTGAAGATCGGTAAATTTTTCTAAGAAGTGACTGGTGTCTGGTTGTATGCATAGGTGAGACAGGTTCATGCATGCTGTTCCATCTTGAGTTGTATTTACTATTTACGTTGGATCTATTTGTTTTTGTATTTCATTCCTATATATATCTGTATGGTGTTTGGAATATGATTAATCTTCTATGAATGGAATTAAACTTTTGTTGTTGCTTGGCTCCCATTTGTTGCTGGAGTAGTGGAAATGTAAGGAGAGAAGCCCAGAATGAATTACAAGAGTTATTTGTAAATTAGGATTTTTTTTTTTTTTTTGTTTTTTTGTTTTTTTTACAAAGGTAAATTAGGATTTTACTTGAGAAGGTTTATCGAAACGTTTGCTCAGTCAAGTAAGTCATCACAGCCTCTTTTTGGTCCGATTTGCTACTAAAGTATCAATACATTTCTTTGTTGGTACGGTGGTACCTAAAAACTTCTTTGTTCATGCTAATTAATACGGAGTATTCCAGTACCTAAAAACTTCTTTGTTCATACTAATTTATACCGAGCACTCCATACCAAGGGCTATTTGCGTTCATTTTAAACCCAAATCATTAAGAGTAGACATTTTCAAATGGTACACTATTTCGTATAGCTTGAAAATACTCCGTATCCGTAATAAACAACGATTTTGATAGCCTAGGACTCCCCACAGCCCCACCGGACCACCGATATCAATAATTCCCTAGATAATACATTGATTATTGATTTGTGGGTTGCTTACTTGCTTATCAAGTTAGATATTTGGTGGTGACCCTTGTCATAAATCTCATAATGATAACTTTTCCATCGAATTGTTGGCATGGACACAATTAAGTACAATTGGAAATCTTGACAACTATAATTGTATTACTACCTGAGAGAGACCTCCTGGTGCAGTGGCTCAAAGGTCACCTCGCATCCTAGAAATACGAAGTTCGATTCTAATTAGTCATAAAATCCCCTCCCCTTAGCCCCCGGGCATTGTGAGTCAGGCTTCCTGTGATAGGTGCCTAGGTTAGGGCCCAGTTGTCCTTATCGTGCGGGTAATTTAACATTATCCCATTGTTCAAACAATCTATCCCATTGTTCAAACCATCAATGTAGACACATTAATAGTTGGGGGTTAATAAATGCCATCATATAATTTGCAATAAACTAAAATAATGGAGTTTTAACTCTTGATTACTTAAAAGATTTACCCAATAAAGAGGTTGTTATACGCCTTAAATTTTATTCTACATGATACCGTCATATTATCAATAATGAAAAAATAAACTTTTAATTTTTCAATTTTAAAAATTTGTTTACAATATTAACCTGGTTAACTTTTTTGTATCAAATTTTACAAAAAAGTTGTGGAATTCAAATCGATAATAAGTTTTTTTGTGAATTTATTTTGATTGAAAAAATCATTTTAAAACAAAATATTATGACCCCTTCTTTTCCTTGTGGAGTTGTGACTTTCTATGATACAATTTTATTTTACCTTCCAAATGCTTTCTCATTTTTGTATTCACAAATTCTATGATTAATTTGTTGTAAAATCTTTAATAATTAAACCTGAAATCAAATTTTAGTAGATTTCAAATTGATCTTAACAAAAACCTAACCAAGAAAGACATATTTCGACATTTCGCTAATAAAGTCAACAATTTGCTAATTAACTACTCTGTACTCCATACTTAATTGTATAAAATGCAAGATTATGTACTAAACATTTTCTTCATTCTTTATTAATCACAATGTTATCTTTTTAGAAAACTTGCAAAATAAATGCAATACTCATATAATTTATCGGACTATTAATTTCTCTATTTTTCACCATAACACAGTACACACGTATTTCTCTTTTTTTTTTTTTTTTTTTTTTTTTTTTTTTTTTTTTTTTAATCTCTAATCCCATATTTTATGATTAACATACAAGATTTTCACACGAAACAAACTCACCCACACAACTACACAATAACACAAAATATTGAAAGTAAGAAGCCTTGTATTTTTCCCACATTAATTTGTTTTTTTGCATTTGACCTTTTTCACCTTTTTCCTTAATTCCTTCTTCATTTTTCTTTCCATTTACAATTCGAGCTCAACCGTCAAAACATTATCAAATTGGTTTTTTTTTTATTTTTTTTTTTATTTTTTATTTTTTATTTATAATAATTTTGTCCAATTCAACCAATTTAAAAAAATTAAAAAATCAGAACGGCTTTAAATTTTTATGTTTTTCAATTCAAAGTTTCAATGTCATAGATTTGGCTTAGGCTTACCAAACCTTTGAGTAATCTCTCTCTACAATAAAGTAATCCTCTTTCTCTCTCCTAATAAGTCTATTTTTATTGAGCATTAATTTCAATTTCTTAGTTAAGTTCATCAGCATCACCTACAATTGTCTCTTTCAAGTGGGTATTTTTCAAATTTTGATTTTTGTTCATAAAAATATCTGTTGGGTAAATCCATTTTTCTGTTTTTGGTAAAGGGTTTTTCTCATTTTTAGTTGGGTATCTTACTGAGTGAAATTAGGGTTCGTGATATTTGTTTTTGAGATTTTGTTCTTATATGGTATTGTGCTCTTTTGGTTGACTAATTTGATTGGATTATTGGGTTGCATTTGATAATTTGGTGCATTTTAGGGATTTTGTTTTCTGGGTTCGTATGAAAATGGCATTGGAAATTGTTTGGAATTAGGTAATTGGTGATGTTTTGAAGGGTTTTGCTTATTTGATTGGTTGAAATTAATGGAGTTTGTTTAATTGAGATTATGGGATTTGTGAAAATTGTATGCAATGGCACTTGGACACAAAGAATTGGTGCAAAAATGATTGTTAGTGTTGTAGAATTTGGGTAGCAGATTGTGTATTTTAAGGAAAATGCAAATGGATTTGTGGGTTGTGGCAGCTGCTACTGGTGCTGGATACTTAGCTAAGTACTGGAAGAATGTTTTAGGGGATAAAGAAGGCTCATCAGGGAGCCCTTCTGGGAGTTCACTTCCGGATAATCCTGAATCGCCGTCTTTGATTCAACCGCTAGGTGGCAAGACGTTGCCTAGCCGCAAGCCCTCATGGACAGAAAGAGGAGGGCAATGTTTCAGTGATCCTGGAAAGGGTGGCCATTCGGATGGAATGTTTACGGAGACATTGGGGAGGGATGATCGTTTCGCTAATGATGTAGCTTGTACGGAGGCAATGGGTCATGAGAAACAAATTGATAAGTTTGAGGAGTACAGTGATGGGTATAGGTTAGATGCTGACATTCCTGATAAACCTGAATACAACATTTGGGAAATGGGGGTTTCACCTAGCTCCAGAAGAAGCAGTAAATGCTTGAGAAGTAGACGGCTCCAACGTCATCCTTTGCAATATATTAATCCCCGTACTTCTCTAGATAGTTGCCTTATGGCTCAGATGCAAAGGGAACGTTCAGAAATGGAAGAATATCTTCTTACACCACTTTCTTCACCTTGTGCTCCCGTCTTGAGGCCATTTCTTGTTAGTGATGGAAAACGAGTAATTAGTAGAGCGAGTGATGATTTCAGAAATGAGTTGCACAAGGACGTACGCCCAAAAGCAGGTGATAATGTAGTTGGGGTTCCTCATCTTCCACAAATCATTAAAACTGGCTTGGAAAAAAAGTTTAGCGTAGGCAAGAATCAAGTGGGAAAATCAAGCAAATCCAACAAATCATTTGAATTGGACACAAGAGATGGTATTCTTTTTACTGACTTTTTTTTCATTAACTTTAATTCTATGTTATTTATTTTGGAAAACTGTCTCAATAAGTTTCTGCTGATAACATACAAGGTGGATTGGCATCAGGGGCTTGTGCTTGTGTTTCTATTACGTATAATTCAGTATATTCACATTTTTGCAGTCTTTGAGATGCATTACCCTGGGTTATAATTGTTCTGATTATCCAATTTATAGTAATATGGAAGGAAGTGACTGAAGTTTTTAATTTTTGTCTCCAAAAACTGTCATAACTGGAGAAGGGGGATAATTAATTTGCTTTAGTTGCTTTTGTATACTACGGAGAACACATTTATATATCAAGATATTAAAATGAGACAATTTGGGTTGATACTGTTGCCTTGCTCCATTAGATATGAGGGTGAGTAGATATTGAAGACATGGATTGAGAGAGCAAGCAGGAATGGCTATTGAGACTTGAGAGATTTGCCCCAAAGCACAGATATGACTTGCATTTATTAAAAAATACTAGGTGGATTGCTATCTTGAAGCAGCTCAAGCCTTGATATTAATTAGTATGGAATAATATAGAAATCGTAGATAAGAATTATAAGATGCATTCCTAGAAACACACTTATGGCAGTGTAATTAGTCCTATGGTGATTGTGCTTTGGACAAATATGATAATCCATACAAAATTTGTCTTCTATGTTTGTCATCAACTTATTGATGAAAATCTCTCTGGCCCATCTGTCGGATGGTATTATCCTTAAAAATGTTGTTAGGCTGCCTGTTGCTTTCAGCACATGTTTGATAGTTTTATGAATTATATCCTGAATCATTGACCTTTTGATAATGATATCGTTTTTTCCAGTTTCTTACCCTAAAATTGTGATCTCTATCAGGATCCTCAAGTAGGCAAGCTCTTTTCTGTTTTGGAATTTCAATCGGTGTAATGTGTACAATGATAGCTGACAAAATGGAAGTGCAAAAGCTGAAGGATAGCTTAAAGCAAACTGAAAATTTGGTTGAAGATCTTCAGGAAGAACTGGAGATGAAAGATTCATTAACTGTTAAAGAGCTGGCCAATGATGACGACTCACAGGATATACTTGAAAGTTTGTGTGGTCATGATAAAATGAGTTTGTACTCCAATCTAGATGATACAAGTGTGCCGATAAGATATGCTGACGAAGAATCAGTAAGCCTGGAAAAAATTGACTCCATGAGTAAAATTGAAGCAGAGCTTGAAGCTGAACTGGAAAGACTAGAGCTAAGCATGAAAGGATCGACTTTGCAAGGAAAATCATCTGATTCTATTGAGGTACATGCTAGTTCTTTACCCAATACTTTAAACTCTTTCATTATCATTATCTGAGTAAACTCTGTATTTAAGTGCTAATCCAGTAGCTAATTTGACTATGCTCATATCACTGTATAAGAAGATGATTTGAATGCTTTTAGCTTAGTTGGTATCATACATGCATATAATTCTTACGCGCTGATTTGTGATTGAAAACTTAACAGAAAATAGTACCTCATTTGTATAAAAATGTAAAAGGTAGCCCTAGTTGTTTAGGATTCTAGTAGCAGTAGTCTTTATATATTCATGAAAGATGCACATAGGTTAGTTAATACTGCTGATTTTATTATGATGCATTGTTTTTAGGCTTATATATATATATCCTTTTCTTACCTTTCTACATGACAGATGTGTCCCCTCTTATGTCATTCACATATAGTTCTAGTCTGGATTTCCATGAGATTGGTGCTAATAATCTTACAAAGCAGGGTTAGATTGTGATTTGATGGTCATTGCAGTGGTGTTGGGAATTGAGGTGAAATGTTAAATGGTTGTGTGGATGTTAGAGGGGAGAGGAGAAGGTGATGCTTGAAAATTAGGCTGGGAAGGTGCAATATGTCAAGTTCTGGCCCCTTCATATATTTATCACTGTCATCTCTTTTTTATAGTCTAACCCTCCATCCTATAAAGCTAGTATTATTCTTTTTTTAGCTTCCTAAAACATGGTCAAAAGACTTGAAACTATTTAGAAATCATGAACAAGTGCATAACTATTGCATATGCGAGTATTAAACATGATAAACAAATCAGTGGATACAATTTACCTTGTCTTTTTGAGTATATTCATAGCATCATCAACTTTATGAAGCAGCAGAAGTATCAAGGTATCATCTATACCATCTCATCTCCCTGCTGGTGGGAACTTGCTTAAAGGGGTGATCTACCCTACTGAGCAAGGTTTGATATATCGAGATGCCTCTGAAGGGTTTTAATAAAATCTGAACAATGTGAATAAAATTTGACTTCTAAGTTTCCATGATTTATTTATGAGGTATGAATTGTCTTACTTGTATGATAATAATTTCGCCTATTATAAGCTATATATTATACTGAAGCAGAGACCACCTTATCAGGTTTTCCCTATCAATCATACACACTACAGTAATAAAGCTAGACAAAATTAATTATTGGCTTTAAATTGTGATTCCATGTAAAACGTTGGAGTATATAAATTCCCCATGTCTTTCTCATGTATGTTAATTAAAAATTGAGCATTGCTCTGGGATTACGTAATGAAATATAACTAACAGTTGATTGAGCTTAATCATCATTGCTGGTTGGCTCCTGGTGTGGTTTTGTGGCAAATGTGCCTGTAATGAGATATTTTGGCCTGAATAGCAGGGGTAAACCACTTGTACAGCTAACAAAGTTTGCTCATGCTTGCTGCTATAAGAATTCTGTATTGTGATTTTTCACTTGGACTCTTTGACACTCTGTAGGTGTTTCCTGTTAATGTCAAAATGTACAGAAATAATGGAAAAGAAAAGTATGGAGTACCATGTATTTTGCTTTTGTCTTTCCTGCTGCTTCCTAGACTTGGATCTCTCTCTGTCATCTCAGTTTTCTGCTTGTGATTATGGAGAATATCCAGTTAGCCACCTTGGACATCATCTTGTTAGTGGATGGATTGCCTATTGTTTGCTCTTTCTACTATGATCATTTAGTGATTGTGATTTCACAAGTATTACCAAAACCATGTTAGGTATATTGTGAATCACAGGTATTACCAAAACCATGTTAGGTATATTGTGCAGCCTTATTATACTGTCTCGTGTTGTCTTGATTCTTCTATTAATGCAATGATCATGGAGTTGTGACCCTTAAGTCGTTATATATTTATCATACTTATACGGTTGCAATGACAATGCAATTTGGTCAGGAATTAGACCAGGATATGGCTTCGGAATTGGTGCATGGCGAACTAAATGCTGATATATTTCGAGGAAGATCCAGCTCAGAACCAACCCCTGATCGAGGCTCAACCCCTCAGTCAATGAAAGAAGGTGTCTCACCTCGTGAGCTGAGCTTGCGCTTGCATGAGCTCATTCAATCAAGATTGCAAGAACGAATCCTGGAGCTTGAGGCTGAACTTGCCAATAGCCAGAAAAAGATACAACACTTGGAATCAGAGAAAAACTCGTGGAGAGAGGTTTCTCCAAGTGAATCCTCCTCTATCCCTGACAGCCCTGTGGCACAGCCTCTTGTAATGAATTTGTCCGGTGAGGCCCTTGATGCCTATAATGAAGCTTTTGGGGAACTTAACAAGCTGAACGGATCCCAAACCGGGGATTCGTGGATTGATGGCAACAAACAGCAGGATAATCAACTCACAATGAATCAAGGGATGGGTGACAAGGTAAACGGCATCCAAAATGGTGGAAATAAAGTACCTTCAAATGAAGGTAGCCCAAACGACTATGTCAACAGAGAAGACAGTGATGATGATTTGCTACTGATAAAACAGATTGTTGAGAAAGCTAGGCAAGGCTCTCCAGCTATTTTAAGGGCACAAAGAGCCATGGTATGGTTGAAAAATGATGAGAATTAGAACAGTGGAATGTAATTTTTTGGTACATTGTAAAAAGAAAAAACAAACAACATTTTGTCTTGTAGAATAGTAATATTTTTTTTGGGATCCTTCTCCACTTTCGGCTAAACAACCGGAGCAACGGTTGGTGAATAGTAATGTGTGACCATTTCTAAATCATGAGAACTCACCTTTCCCTCTCCTTTTTATTCTGACTAATTTGTTTAATATCTTCACTTAGGTAAGCATAAATTTTCTATTCAAAAAAAAGAAAAGAAAAGGCAAGCACAAATTTTAAAGTGGAAGGGAAATTTTGCGCTAATGTCAAAATATTATGCTGTTACAGGCCTGTGTTAGAGTAAATAGAATTGTCTCGGATATAATTTAGTCATAGTAAGTACTAAGTAGTAACACATACTGACTGAGCAATGTCAATGCATATATTAATGTCATTTTATATACTTAGTACGCGCAGTATCACTCAAGCCACAGTTCACCAGAATGGTACACACTCACTTACCCTTAAAACACCTTCAAATCTTCAATCAAATGTTTAAAAGTTGATATACCTAATACTATACTTGAACAGAAATCACTTAGGAATGTATAAATGCAGTAACAGCTGCCACAGTCAAGTGCCAAATACGGGTATAAACTATATGATCAACAGATACAAATAAAATTTGGACAACAGATGAAGGGTAACTGAACAAGGATGTAGAGGATACATCGGACAACCACAATATGAATATGGAAAAGTTGACAATAAAATTCTCATAGCATAGAGTTTAACATGTTGCTAGCTCCAATGCAACCAAACCCAAAATATCTTTAACAATGACAGCATAAACGAGAAGAATGAAAATTAAACTATACTAATATAGTCCTATTGATTAAATGTATGTCTGACATCATATTTGTTGCGGGGATCAAACTCTGATTCATTTCTTCCGATAAAAAGGAAGAGCAATTATTTATGTTGCCAGCACTCAAACTAGTCTGAAAAAGATCAAGCCCTTTTAGCAAAGTCATCATCCTTGAAGTTATCTTCAGGTAAGTTTAAATCATCACCCTGGAATCCGCCGCTTGCAAAGCCAGTATCACTGGGGCACCACCAGGAGGACCGTAACTTCCACCATCAAAGCCTCCACTAGGAGCGTAGCCTCCAGGAGGAGCGTAGCCTCCAGAATTACCACCTCCATAATTTTGCCCTCCACCGTAACCACCACCACCACTACCGTAACCTCCCCCACCATAACCACCACCTCCATAACCGCCGCCTCCATAGCCTCCACCACCAAAGCCGCCTCCGCCACCATATGGTCGTGGTGCTCTATCTGTTGCATAATTCACCCTCACTGTACGACCTTGCAAATCCTACAGAATTTACAATGAAACTGTCACCCAAGCCATAAAGTTATCATAATAAACCATACTCAGTATTCTGCAAGTGTACAAATAAAATTCAGAACCATAGATCAAACTAACAAATTCAGACATGAGACCTAAAGATACTACCAGTGAGGGTGAATTATGCAACAGATAGAAAACCATACTTTTAAGCATTTTAACACATGAAATTTATAGGGCAACATAAGTACAAACTACAAAGTAAATAAAGACTGAGCAGTCATTGAAGACTTTGTAGTATCTAGAACAATATATTTTGTTAAAGAACCAACTCAAGAAGATGAAACTAGAAATGAATTATACCTGTCCATCCATAGCCTGAAGAGCACTTGAAGCCTCTTCAGTAGAAGCAAATGTAACAAAACCAAACCCTCTAGATCTGTTTTGCTCACGGTCAATAATAACTTTTGCTGCAAGAGAAAATGTATATTGTCATATTGTAGTCCAAAAATTATCTACGCTCCAACAAAACAAAATATAGAGTGGAAGCAGGAGATACAATATGCAATTATTTGTAAACATGTGAGGGCAGGGGCAGAATAAGTATTACACTTTGATTTATTCAACAGATGTTGCAATTTCAACTTTCAACCAATTCCACGAACCAGATTTTGCAAACAGTGCTCAAGACATCCTACATTATTTAGTTAATTCCTATGATTCAAGTCAAAATCAGGCAATCCTACAATTCTTCGTCACTTTGTCTATGAAAGTCAAACCTCATACTTGCAGTTTCCTTGAGCACTTCTAAAATCATAAATGGATCAAGCAATTTCACACATGGTTTAAATAAGGTTACTTACATAATAAGTATAAGAACAAGATAAGTATATCTTTCAATAGCACAAGAAGACAAGAAAAATACTGGTAGATTGTGACACAGCATATTGAAGTCTCTTGGCTATAGCTTTCAAGCCAAACTATCACCACAAAATATTGATCAAATGTGCCGTACCAACAATCTACCACCGATACTGGGCATTGAAAAAAAATAAATAAACAAGAGGTAGACAAGCACAATGATACACACCTTCAATAACTTCTCCATATTGAGAAAAGGTTTCCCTTAAACTTCTTTCATCTACAGCCCATGGGAGACCTGCAATAAACCATGAATAAGTTCACTAAAGGTCACAAGGCAAACCATTTTATTTGGCTCACTGAGCAAACACGTGGCAAACCTTTAACAAATACTATAAAAGAGGAAGCATACCTCCAACAAAGAGTTTTGAAGATGACATGCATCTTAGAGCCTGATAAATAGAGGGATTAGATGCTGAAAAGTGTGAGGTGACCTGCTTGCTCACACTCTGTTTGAGTATATTCCCAACTTTACTGAAGAACGCCATACTTACAGCCTTCAAAACTAAATCAAAAGGGGAAAATGTTAGAAAAAAGAAAATTCTATATGCACCTTATGGCTTCTGTTCTACTTACAAAGTGATAGTGACTATAAATTGGAGTAAGGCTACTCGGATATTAAAGAACCCGAACTAAGAGGAAAAATTAGCACAACGCTACCACAATGAAGCTTCAATCACATTACATTCTATGCATGAAGTGTGAACAAAATATAAATCACATTACACATAATATTAAAAGTTTCTAATCAAGCAACAAGCTTTACCCATTAGACCAATAGTATTGCAGATTAAGCTACCTAACATACTGAACAATTGAGTGGATCCTACGAAAAATTAATTTCCCCAGATACGATACAGGCACTGTATAGCAGAGTTAAAGAAGGTAGCAAAAATCAAGCACCACACTTTACCCAACAGAGTGGCTGGTTTAGCTATCTAGCATTCAGAACCGTCGAGGCGCTGCAACGAAACTTTACCTTTCCAATATGCCAAACAAGCGTAAGGTTAGGAAGATGGGAAGAAAATCCCTTTTCCAATTCATCAATATATCGCAATGCTCTTAAACCCGAGATTTCCAGCCCAAATAATAACCAGAAAACTACTTTCAAGATGAATTAAACTTCCCACTTCAACAACATGGGCCAACTCCCAATACCCAGCCATAAAAATCCCAAACCCTAAACTACAAAGGGATCGAAACTGAACTAACCTGGTCCTTGTCAACCCAACAAAATTTATACAAAATAACCTAAATTCAAACATCAAATCGTGCAAAAAAACCTCATTCTAGTCAAACTAAACCCTAATTTCAGTAACCTAATTCCACCAATTTCCGCAACAACAATACATCACATTTGCTATACATTTACAGAACAAATCAAACACATCAAATAGTCAACTAATCAAACACAAAAATTAAAAAAGACAAATTTTTTGAAGCTTCAACAAAACCAAAACCGAAAAAACAAATTCATCGCAATCAAAACAAATAGCATCAATCAACAAAGAAACGAAGAACAATAATCAGATAAACACAAATAATCAACAATCAATTGCAAAAATAGACGATGAAATTGTAAAATCAACTCAAAATTTAAGAGAGAGAAAGTAGAGAGAGAAACCTTGAAATGTAGAGTAGTGCGATGAAGTGTTTGGACTCTACTAAACCCTAACAAGGGTTTTTGATCGAAATTTGAGGTCTTTGAATTTGGAGAGAGAAACAGAGGAGTTTTTATTCGGTGTGGTAAGGTGTAGGATAAGGATGGTGAAGATATGGTTTAGGGATCGTTGGATGGGTTGCAATGTTGTTTTGAACCGTTGGATAGAATTTGGGGGGAATGTAGGGTTTAAGAGATAACACGTGGTGTGTAACGAGTGGTTTGTGACTTTAGAACGTGACAGTGTTATGGGTATTGATTATTGAATATGGATATTATTAATTTTTATTTGTTTTAAGAAATTTTGATATTATTATTATGGCCCTAGAAAAATCTATATCTTCCTTTCAATTTAAGCCGAAATGATCCCATCGCCGTTTTGGGGTGTGGGAAAGGGTGGTGGACCGTTCGTTGTAAGGAAAAGGGTGTAGAAAGGGTAATTAGTGTGTGACCCGGACGATACCCCGGGTTATTACTTTGAACACTTATAATTGAATAGATAGGTTCATTCTATATTATTCCATTTATTCATTATTAGTTTTGTGCCCCGGCGATGTCCGGATAGTTTATGGACTTTTAAGATAAAATTAACTTTTAAATTGTAAATAGAATTCTAAATTAACTTTTTTTTTTCTACAAAGTCAATCTATGTTTATCCAACGTGGTACGATACTTGGCGGAAAATTAAAATGCTAAACGATGTTGTCTTGTAGCCTAATTATAAATTTCTTATTTGGTATTTTATCGAAAATATAACTCTAAACTAATAATCTTATTCTAAAATTCTATCCTAGTTTGATTGAAAATAGAATTCTTACCTAATTTTTTTTATCTTATGAAATCTATCTAAGGTGGTGCGACACTTAATTAAACGGTTTTTTATCATATGAAGTCTATTTAAATGTGTTTTTGTGACGATTTAAACTTGTACACATATAATGACTAATAATAATAATATTGGTGAAAAATATTTCTTGACCCGTAACCTGAAATAATGACCCTGTCTGAAATGACTCGTGACCCAACCTGATTGACAAGTCGTACACACAGTAATTAAATTATATTAGATTCTGAAGTATATTTTTAATTGATTAGAATATATTATAAACAATGGATGTGGTACATTTTGAACTAATTCTTTCGCTCCAAAAAAATATTATGATACAAAAAATAAATTTATATGATAATTTATGAGAGTTATAATCTAATTATTTTTGAATAAAATTATAATTCAATTTGTACATATGAAATATTGGTACTTTATCAAAAATAAAACTCTAAGGGCTTGTTTGACATCAGTTTTGGTTTTCAATTTCCTTTTTTTTTTTTAAAACCAAAAACAAGAAACAAGAAAAAGGAGTTTCCACTTTTCTGTTGTCAGTTTTCATAATTATCATAATTTTAATAAGTTTATATAATTTTTGATTCATTATGGGACTCATATCATATACTTTTAGAGAACAAAAAACCAAAAAACAAAAAACCACAACAATGCCAAACAAACCATAAATTAACAATTTTATCTTAAAATTCAATCCAAATTCGATTGAAAATAAAATTCTAAACTAACTTTTTATCCTACAAATTGAATTCTATATAAATCTATCCTACGTGGCACGACTTGGCGAAAAGTTGGAATGCCAAGTGTCGCTGCCTCATCGCCTGGCTAAAAGTTTAGCTTTATATATTAGTTATATGATATGATATGATTTGTTTATTTATATAACTAGTTTTGTGCCCCGGCAATGCCCGGGTAGTTTATGGGATTTTAAGATAAAATTATACTATTATAATTCAATTTGATTGAAAATAGAATTCTAAATTAACTTTTTTTTGCTACAAAGTCAATCTATATTTATCCAACGTGGTACGATACTTGGCGAAAAATTAAAACGCTAAATGATGTTGTCTTGTGGCCTAATTATAAATTTATTATTTGGTATTTTATCGAAGAAATAACTCTAAACTAATAATCTTATTCTAAAATGCTATCCTAATTTGATTGAAAATAGAATTCTTACCTAATTTTATTTATCTTATGAAATCTATCCAAGGTGGTGCGACACTTGACGTTTTTTTATCATTTGAAGTCTATTTAAATCTATCAAAGGTGGCACGACACTTGGCGAAAAATTGGAATGCCAAGTGTCGTTATTTCGTGACCTGGCTAAAAGTTTAGCTTTATATATTAGTTATATGATAGTTTAACATTTAACCTTTAAATAAATTTATTTATGGAACAAATACTAATTATATAAACATGTCTTTTGTATATAATTTATAATCAATATGAAAATAAAGACATAATTATTATCAAAATAATTAAATAAATAAAATTAGTATATAACAATAGTTAATATTTCTTGTTTGCATTACCTCATCGATAAGCATTATTAGCAAATAATAGAATAGGTATTTTAAGAATCGCAGTCATTAAATGTATATTCAGATCTTCAGCCATATATATATTTATGAATTGAGTATACAATCATTATTAATCAATAGATGAGATGGTAAAGCTTCTAATGCATATTTTTTAGGTTGTGAGTTCAAATATCAAGATAAACATTTTCGTTAGAATATGCTCATATTTTAATGATGACATGGCAGAGTGCCACATGACACATAAACGTTTTTATAACGCTTTTTAATATATGAGTCGTTAGAATATGCTCATATTTGAATGATGACATGGCAGAGTGCCACATGGCACATAAACGTTTTTATAAACGCTTTTTAATATATAAGTATAGATATAGATTAGGGGTCACAACGGGTGGTCGGGATAAGGGGAAAGAAAGGGGGTAGAGTAGCGGTGGATACATGGCTCGCCGGGGTTGGGGAGATCAGGGCGGCGGGTGGGATGAGGGAGGGAGTGGCTAGTGGTGGAGGTAGTTGTGGATTTTTTTTAAATTTATTTATTTATTAATTAATTTAATTATCGGATAATTAAATGAGTTAGATGAAAATTAGAGGATACTTACAAGAAATGGGTGGGAGTAAGAAAAAAAAAAAAAAAAAAAAAACATGTGCAAGGCTTATGGGAGTCAACATCGACATCACTAAGTTATAATGAGAATCAAGATTATAATGATAACTATGAACTAATCTGGCCATTTGATCATGTTAATCAGACGATCCACATGCTTCCCGTGCCATTAATTATCGGATAATTAAATGAGTTAGATGAAAATTAGAGGATACTTACAAGAAATGGGTGGGAGTAAGGAAAAAAAAAACATGTGCAAGGCTTATGGGAGTCAACATCGACATCACTAAGTTATAATGAGAATCAAGGTTATAATGATAACTATGAACTAATCTGACCATTTGATCATGTTAATCAGACGATCCACATGCTTCCCGTGCCATTAATGGCATTTTCATAATATTTCAACTTTACAAAGTATATTTCAGTTTCTTTTCTGCTAAAAAAGTAAATGAAATCAGCTATAAAGTAAAATGAAATTGCCTTAGAAGTAAAAAAATGGAAAAAAACAAAAAGTCTAAAAAGCTGTAAAATTACGAAAATGCCATTAATAAATGCTAGTGAAACGTGAACCGTCATATGAAGCTCGATTAAAGGTTGAATTTGGTTCCTAATTCTCATTATTCACCTTGGTTAGGTTCTCACATGATCTCACGTAAATAGTGTGGATGTCTTCAACCAAAATAAAAAAAAATATTCCACGCAAATTAAAGGACATGTCTAAAAATATTATGTTGGATAATAACAATATTACTAGGTAGAATCTAGCTAAATTTCTCGAAAGATATTTTACATGATGATATTGTAACACACCTCTCAAGAATGACTCCTTTGAGAAGCATTGGTCCATTGTGAACAAGAATATTACTAACCAGACTTATCTATGAACTCAAAAATATATGTTGATTTGAGCCTAAACATTGTCATCATATTAGCCAGCTGGAGTGCAACTTGACATGCTTCAATTAAATCAAACCAGAATGCATGTTCTCCTTGATGTAATAAACATCAAGATTCTAATGTTTACTTCTCATATGTTTTGTATTCTCATGGATGCAAGGGTTTTCAACAATAAGTTGAGTAGAAATATTATCGCAGTTCAAAAAATTGATTAATGCTTCGTAAGTCTTGAGGATTTAACTACCAGTCAAAGACACCTCACAGGTAAAACCAACCTAGTTATTATGCATGTTAGGTTCTTGGGATAGGGGGAGATAAGGTACATGAATGTCCATGATTTAGGCCTATTTTTCTTCATATTATTCTTATTACTTATTCTCGTAAAAACCAAACCAGATCAGATTTTTTTTTTTTTTTTTTTTTTTTTGAAGATTAGACCAGATCAAAATTTCTTAATATTGCTTCCTTATTGCCATATTTATTTATTTTGTGTATTTGTAGAAGTTAAGAAAATTGTATATTTGAAAAATACACTCATGTTGAGATGAATTTAGCAAAATCTCACTTAATACAATGCCTCTTTCTCATATATTGATTTGCATTGGTCAAGGTTTATTAGTCGATTCAGACAATAATCAAATTAAGACTTTGTTCACTTCAACTTATTTTTGCTAAATTGATTTTTTTTTTTTTTTACTAAAACAAATTGTTTTTGTTGAATTAAATTATATTTACTAAACTGATATTAATTTGGAAAAATTGCCAAGAATAATCCGAACTTTGGCCCGTTCGCTCAAAATAATCCCAATTTTTGATTATTTTTTTAATAACCCCAACTTTATATTCTATTATTTTTAAACAGTCCCAAGTGACTTGGAACTGGCTAAACAGGTCAAACAAAATTTTGTTAAAAATAATTAAAAAAAAATTATCAATTTTTTTTTTTAAAAAAATATGAAAAAAAACCACCACCACCTCAGCAGCCCAGCCACCAACATCTCCACTCCCACCCAAACCTAGATGCCTTAACCACCTCCCCCACCCCACCCAAACCCGAAACCACCACCCCCACCCAACTAGACTTTCATCCGATCCTAAATAACTCCATCTTCGAAAATCAAACAATCCCCAATTACATGTTCTTCATCTTCATATTAAAAATTAACAGTTGCAAATTGGAAGTTTTGGGAATGGGAAGGAAAGACATGGCAAAA